GGCCAAAATTGGGCCAAAATTCATACCTTCGTCTCCAGCGGCATCTTCATCGGCATCGGCAGCTGGGGCCAATTATTGATTTGAGGGGGAGGAGTTGGATAGTCGAAATGTGTGAGTGGCATCGATGGTGGCGCGGTGCCAATTCCAGGGTATGCTGGCGGGGCATCCAAGGAGGTCACCTAAAACCCGAAATTTAATGACATATGATGTAGCAACATTAAGGAGAAATCCCGGGGCACTAATAGATATGGAAAAATTTTAAGATAATTGAAAATGAATCTCAAAAAAATTCGAATCTGCGATTGTGGAATTCTATTTGCACTGGCAGAAAATTACCGGGTGAAAACGACGTAGAGTTACGCTTCAAAAAAATTACGCAAATCTTAGCATATTTAATCCGCTTGATCTTTGGGAATTGTATGAATGGCGCAACAAATTACCTACAAAATTTCCGAATTTAAATTTTTAAGTTTTTTAGATTTGATGGTACGCTTTCCGCTCCACCATAGTAAGGTATCGCAGTCAATTACCGTATCCAGACCCCCGGTTCCCTGTTTTTTCACCTGCTGCATAAACGGGCACTGCTGATAGGTCTGATTGCTCCAGGCATTTGGATCCAAACTCGGATGATCGGGTGGTAGTAGATGAGTAAAATCTCCGAACTGATGTCCCGATTGGAATCCTTGTTGCATCATGTCACCCGGTGGGGAAAGCGGGGTGGGCGAGTGAGCGAATTCCGAGAGTGGCGTCGCCTGAATTGGCGAGAGATATTGATTGGTTCGGGAGCCGGGTTGTGATGCAATCAGTAATGGTTCGGACTTAATTGCGTCCTTGATAGTAGTATGGAAAAATTCAGATAATCAGGCCATCAAAATTGGTCTTTCACGGAAATGCTGAATAAAACAAAATTTGGGCTTTACCGATGCGGACGTTTTAAGGTATAGAAAAGGTTGGTTCTCAAGGGTTGCGTATTTTAGCAAATTCTTACTATTTTTGGCATGCTGAATTTTGTAAAAATTATCTTAAAGGCAGTCGAAGCGCTAAATTCAACCGCTCACGACGACCAGGTCTCGACATATCCGAGCAACTATGAGCGGCGAATAAGCTATTTTTTAGCGCTGGTGGCTGACGGGCTAGAGTGCAAATTAAGCTGCTTCGAAGTCCGTATTTTGGAATGCCGCGTAGTTGTCGAGACCTAGCCAGCCGAATGGGGTCGAATTTGGCGCTTTCTAGTCCCTCTAGGGCTCCCCGGATTCGGAATGTTGGAGAAGTTAGCATAAGTATAGCAAAAAAAGATTTTTTGAAAACTATTCTGAGCCCGAATTTCCGCAAATAAAATGGATTGTAACAATAACATGCAAAATTAAGGTATCGTAAGACCAACCGTGGAGCTCCTCTCAAAATGTTCGACCTCCGACACGATCTCCCGGTAAATATCAAACGGCGTGCGCTCTTCTGATGAGAGTTGGATCTGGAAAAGTCAATTTGTCAAATTTTTCCATTTTTCAATTTCAATAAGTTCCAAAAGCGAAAACTTGAACTCTATGGTCTTGTTTTGTCAAAATGTGTCGAACTCCCCCGGGCTACCGTACCCCCAAAGATGCTGACTATTCATATAATCCGTGCCAAAATCTTGGCCTAAATAAGCCCCGGAGATCCAAGGCATGGGTTGGATTATTAAAGGAGAGCCCGTTGGCAAAATCTGTTTGGATTCTGGCATTACAGTAATCCGGTGGAAATGAGAAGCGGAAGTGCGGCTTTCTGAATATTGAAGGCAGGCCAAATATGGACCTGAATGAGAGTGTATGTAAGTACAAATTTCCGGTGGGGTCCCCGGGGGGCTTCTGGGTGTTTTTGAGTCGGTTTTCAGGTTGTGATAATTAAATCTAATCAAAGAAGAATTATGAATACTTTACGGGTCGTACTTGGGGCAAGAGCAAGAGAAAGAGAGAGCGTGAGAGATAGTGAGAGAGAGAGGGAAAGAGAGAAAGAGAGAGAGAAAGAGAGAGAGATAGAGAACTTTTTTGAGCATGCTAAAAGCACTCTAAAATTGAATTATTTTGATTTTAAATTAATTTTTTTGTTTGGAGCAAACCAGCAGAGTTTATTTGAGCAACAGCCAGAGCAAAAAAGTGAAAGAGAGAGCGAGAGAGCGAGAGAGCGAGAGAGAGAGAGAGAACGACCTACCGATGGCAACCGGACTTGTTCCTCCTGCTGTTGTTGCACCAAAACTTGCTCCGGGAGCGGACAATTCGGCTGCACTGTCCTGCTCGAGCATGGCGCCTGTTCCGTTGACGACTGACGAAAAGCTGAAATCCAAGAATTGAGCTTTCTTGCTTTGCTGCTTTAGGATTCAGCCCTAAATCCAACTTTCCGGATTTTCTTTGTACCAGTTAGATCATCCCTACTAAGCCCTAATTTATTTTGTTTTTCTGGTGATTCCTTGATGTCTGTTTTATCGAACCTTTCAAAAATCAAAGTAGGATGAGTCAGTTAATTAACTTGGTCAGAACCAGGGTTTCTCCATCGGACTTACCTTGTGAAAATCGGGGCACCTTTTTCTTGAAATTAATCAGCGATGAAAGGATGCCGCCCCTCCGCAGCATGTCATCCGGTTCGAAGGCCGAGGTTTGCATGGCTGAAAAATCAAATGAAAATTAACGCATTAATGAACCCGATAGGTGAACAAGAATAGGGGACGAATCTGGGTCAAGAAAAATCTGAGTGCAACAGTTAATTTTCCAGCAATCGCAGGAAAAGACGAAATCAAGGATCAGGGAATGACTAAAGGGACTGGGAACTCACGAATTCATCAAATTTTCTATTTATCGAGACTGAAAGATATTAGTATCGCAAAATTAAACTGATAATTAAAAGCAAGTAAGACGGATGTAAAAAGCAAGAGAGAGAGAGAGACAGGGGGAGAGCGAAAGTGTGTGGAGAGAGAGAACGAGAGATAGAACATGAGAGAGAAAACGAGAGAAAAAGAGAGAGACTCCGCGACCGTGACTGGTGGTTCTGATCGCACCTCCGAGAAAATTATTACAAAGCTAATGGCACCTAACAGTGCATTTTTGGACTGGGTTAGAGAGAGGGACAGAGGGAGAAAGAGAGAGAGAGAGAGAGAGAGAGAGAGAGAGAGAGATAGATAGAGAGGGAGAGGAGAGGAGAGAGAGCGCTAAAGGAAAGTTACATACTTAGCTGAAGAAACGATAACTAAATTGTTTTCTAAAAAACACCCTTCCGGGGCGCTGACGAACTTTTTCGGCAAAAACAACCGATCAGAAGAGAAGAGGCTCTTTTGCGGAGCCTAAGCGGCAATATGTGGGGTGGCCTCTTCTCCTAATGGCCTTCCCTTATCAATATTGGGAGGGAGGGGGATGGCTTCACGTTCTTCCGCTCAGACTACTATCACCGATATCTCTGTCTCTCTCTCCCTCTCCCTCTATCTTTCTCTCTCTCCCTCTCTCCCTCTCTCTCTCTCTCTCTCTATCTCGCTCTCGCTCTCTACCTCCCTCCCTCTCCTTCTTTCTTTCGCTCGCTCTCCGATCAGCAGCGGCCTCCCCCAATCGGCGGCGGCCCACCTCAAAAAACGAGCGAAACGGAAAGTGAGAGGGGGACGCCTTGTATATTTTATGACCACCCGACAGCGGGTCGGCTTCTGATCTGGAGCCTAGAGACTACGAGAGTAGACAAGGGATGCAAAATGTGAGAATTTAAAATACCGGAATTTTTGTTCGTTTTGGATAGTCGCTGAACCTGTTTTCAGGCTGGAGAACGTGACGACGACGACGTAATGGAGCATGAATGATGATGAACGTTTCTAAACGCCTGGTGAAGATTTGGTATGATATTCAGCGAGCGACGGTCCGAGGCGAAGAAAAAACCGTGTACAGCACAGTAATGGGCCCATTCACAAAGAGCTTATGTGGAAGCCAGAACCACACTGACGCCCTAGAAAACCGACGAATTCAGAGACATTGAGATGACGAATAAAAAGCGTTTCACGATAGAGAACTGGTAATTTTATAGCTGCCAGGTCGACCAGATAGCCGGCCTAGATTCTGGTGAAAACTAGAGACCACAGGACTACGAAAATATCTCAAAAAAAAGTTTATCAAAATCAAGTTTCCGCAATGGGAAGTAGTACTCGGTACGAAATGTAGCTCTGATCGTTGGGTGGTGTGGCACTAGACTCACCGGGTTATTGTTCAATCATAATGCTATCTTTTTGAATTTTCGCGCCGAATCACGCCGAATTTTTACAATACCGAATTGCATGCTGTCGAAATTCCTAACACCCAATTTTCATGATAAAGAAATTCGAGAATGCCGACTTTTCACGGATAAGAGCCGATATTCGTAGGATTCGTATCTTTTTACGCGGTATTTGAGGTAATCTTAGGTTGGGAATGGGCAATTTCACTATACTCCTTGCGGTTTAAAGGGATGCCGACGGCATAACCAATCGGTTACGCGCGGAAAAGAAAATGTCTCTGCGCCTCTCCCCTGGGCGCGCTCTCTCCCTTGTACTTGCCAATTTGTTGACTAGGGGGATCGACACATGCCGTCGGCAGCCCTTTAAAAATTTGGTAACATCAAATTACGGCTTTATGCTAATTCCGCGTCGTAGCACTCATTCAAATAAGGTTGTTTCCTCTTGTAAACCTTTCGAAAAACCCTTTGATGATTTCACAGCCCCCCAAATGTTCCAAGGGATTCTTGCCTAACCCGATTTCCGATGTGGAGGCGGCTGGCCCGCGACGATTTCGAAAATTCCGCCCGACACCTATGGCTTCGGGGAATGAGAAACCCCACGGAACGCCCCGGAGGCGCCTGATTGGAAATTTGGCGCAGGCATCACACACAACTGTACTAACAAATCTCTCTCGATTGCCATACACAAATCATCACAAGATTGGCGCAAGGATCGTCTGAAAAATTTTATTGATCGGCTGGAGTACCGTAATCGAAGAGCCCACCACTTTCTTCCTGTAAAAATGATGCTCTTTATAATTCTACTATGGATGCGGACGGGACAGGTGAGTGAAAAATTTTTGATAAATACGTCGGACGTTTTTGAGATCATTTTCGATGTCTTAAAAATCATACTTTAACTATTATTTTATTTTTAACTTTCCTAACTGATTTTTCTTAAAATGCCTATTTTATGGACCTTCAAATTTTATTTATTTGTTACTTTAACTTTTGTAAATAAGTGTTGTAGGCTGATTTTTTAAGTTGAGTTAATCTACCGTTTTTTTGGAAGCGTTCAGATCGAAAATTTTCGGCTTAAAAACAACATTTTGCACTGATTAAGTACATTAGCGATTAAAATGTGATTTGGCACAATTACAAATTATTGATGCTGTTTAAGCACGAGTAATTAATAACCATTTAGAATTTTAAAGCTGATAAATCGTGTTCTCAATTTAATTTATTAGTTTTTTTTTCAGGCTCAACTCGACACAACACCCGCAATTACCAATCCGTTCACTACCGTAACCAGCATACCCTCCACTTTGGCAATGACGACGGCTTTTGGGGTCACGGATGCAGCTACCACCGGAGCTACAACCCCAACAACAACCCGTATCCCTCTCACTGGAGCTGCTGGGTACCCATATCCGCCGGGGAGCAAGAATCTCAGGATCGGGTTTATTGGTCGGTTTTTAAGGCCTTTAAATGGGATTAAGCAGCACGGAAAGCGATGCGTAGGCTACGACAACGTTTTCTTGAAACTTTCCGAAGTTTTTCAAGGCTTCGTGGATTTTGGGAGTCGAAAAATTAGCGTTCTGATTTGAGTATCTGAACGTATAAGTCACCAAAAATTGGCCTGCATCTCTCTCGCCCTCTCTCTCTCTTTCTCTCGCTTTAGCAAGCAAGGTTTAGCTTTGACAAGCGAGTTTTTTTTAGCAACCGAAACCTCATCCCGCGACATTGGATTATCGACCTGTGGTGGAGCGGTGCCGTTCGCGATGGACTACATCGTCGAAAATCAGCTGCTGAATGACTACACTTTTGAGTGAGCAATGCCAGGCTGTAATTTGTTCTCGCCTGGAAAATGAAGAACTTCTAGAACAAACTTCAAATTGGCCAGTTCTCATATCGGACTAATTAAATTTTTGGCTTCGGCCGGCCGATTTTGCCAGCTCGGATTTATTCAAGTGAAACCGAATGCCATTTGCATAAGACCAAAGCGCCAAAAAATTTTGTACTTGCGATTTTTAGGTTCGTGGTGAACTACACGGACTGTGACGAGCAATCCGCGGCCGGGATTACTGTAGAGATGATCACCGACCATGACGTCGATGTGATCATCGGACCGCCTTGTACCAGCTGTCGGTTTTTTGGGATTTCAATGGGTTTTTTTTCCTGAGCATCTGGTCTCATGGGGTGCAGCAGCACCCAAGTTTACCTGAAGCCCTAAAACCTACGGAGATCTGCGGCAATTTCACTTTCGGCATCATAAATGCCTAGATACCAAAAAACGACATTTGCGTTGCGGTTTTACGTTTCATTACAAAAAGGCTTCCTAGTTCCGCAGCATTTACTCCAACGTTTTGAACAAAAATCGTCATTTCGGAAAGCGTCGACGTTTTCGGAGTATCGTAAATTGGCGAATTAGAACTTTATAAAAAGTGAATACACGGATAGTATGGTAGAGTACACTAGACAGCTTTCAAAGCAGCGGAAAAATCGGCAATAACTAGAACAATGTTTTAGCCATCATTCCATCGGCCATGCTCACCGCGTTCTACTCTAAAATACAAATCGCCTGGGGCTACTCCACAGCTGCGAGACTGACTGATGTGGTGCGATTTCCGACGCTGACCAGTGTTACTGCGAATACGTTACAGTACGTTAAGATACGGACTTACAGGGAACTGCGAGAGAGAGAGGGAGAGAGAAAGGGATATAGAGAACGAGAGAGAGAGAGTGAGAGAGAGAATGAGAAGCGGGTGAGAGAAAGAAGAGGAGGGAGAGAGAGCGAGAGCTAGTCAGTAGAGAGAGATCGGAAGATCTATACCATTATTTCAGAATGGGCTACGGCCTACTCGCCTTCATGAACCTCTACGGCTGGGGCCAATTTGGCATCATGTACGTCGACGACCCGAGCGGATTCTGTGATTCTTTACTTACTGACGTGGACGTAGGTTTTCCTCTCAAACCCGACCGATTTTTACTTGTCGGTTTTCCATTTTCTCAAAACAAAAATTTAAATTCGTTTAGACAGCAGCTTCCAACCTCGACACCAACTTCACGCTCACCTACCAGGTGAAGCTGGCCTCGATCTCGTACTCGGATCTGAAGGCCGGGTTGACGAAGATGAAGGCGAAGGCTAGAAGTAGGTGTTTGTTGTCGAGCTAGTAGCACGCGTATCTGTCGAGACCTAGTCAGTATGAGCCACGTGTTTAGCGCTTGAAAGCTCCTTTAGGCTGGTTTTCAGTTTTATCAGAAGCCATTTAGGACTATAAACTTAATTAAACGTTCTAATAAAGTTTTTTTAGTCATCGTCATGTGCCTCGAAGGCGTCACGAAGCGTCAGATGCTTCTGGCAGCTTATGACAATAATATGACTACTCCCGACTACGTCTACATCATGATGACGATGAGGGGAACAGGGTTCGGTGTCCAAGCCACAGCAAATTACACGACTGAAGTCTGTAAGTCAAGGTTCTCACGAAGAATGAATTTTGTCTGGGATTCTAGTGGAAAATGGATTCACGCCAATCTGGGTTGACGTCAGCAACCAGCCACCGGATGGCCGAGACGATCAAGCGAAACAAGCGGCGACCAGGCTCTTGGTGGTGAGTAAAGGATAACGGAGTGTAACGGAGTACTGTAACATATCAGGAACTGGAATACGCGAGTAATTCAGCGTCTTGCTACCGCTCATGAGCACGTACAGATACATAATTGCGTCCCTTTAAGCGATAAACGATCATATGATAGGCATGGCCACGTACGTACTCTGCCACGTATTTTGCTAGTACGGATACGCAACGCTACGCTTTTACGCACGCCTATTTCTGATTCTTATTACGCGCGCCAACGTTAGCCAATCATACGGGTCCGGGGCCCGGGGTCCTGGTATACGCAATGCTACACCTGACGTGACGGGTAGAACGCACGACGGTTGGCTAAGTAACTCACTAAAGCCCCCCGCAAGTACCATTTCAGATCGACACCGCCAGCCTGGTCGCCATCGGGACAGACCCGTTAACGTTCAAGCAAGAAGTGTTTAGTAGGGTAAGTTTGATCGCGATTTTCCGTGAGAAATATAATTTTCAAAAATCTTGAAAAATCCCTGATCATCCGTGAAAATTGTGAAGTCGCAAATTGACTTGGAAAAGATAACAATTAGAAGGAAATGTTGATTTATTAGAGCTAGATATTCCTAGAGGTTTTTTCGTAATAGTTGCACCGTACGCACTGTACTCTACGTCATACCTTACGTCATGGCTCTAGAAATAGTGCTTCAGTAGATAGCCTATCGATGAGGTGGCCCAAAAAATTTACGACATGGTTTGGTTTTCATATTTAGCGTCCAAACCACTTAAAACTTACCAGATAAATAATAGTTAATGAAAACGAAGTCGCTTTTGACGCTATAGGTAAAAATACAGATCCTGGAAAATTCTAAGAAATTGTTTTTGGAACACCTCGTCAATAGTTTTTTGTAGTATTGATAGAAAAACTAATTAAACAGACCAAAATCCGCTTTTCAGGTAAAGGAATGGCCATTCTTCTGCGACACTATGCAATGCCAGCTTTTGTATAATGTGACGGGAGTAGACTTTAAACGGTTTTAGGGAGTCAAATTCCTTTGAGGCGGGCAACTTCATCTCCTACCTCTACGACGCCTTTCTATTTTATGCGTATGCTATGAACGCGACCCTGGCTCAGGATCCGGTTGGCGGGCTGAGGAATTGGACCCTATTCAATGAGCTGAAACTCGGGGTCGAGTTTACCGGTGAGTAGGGCGAGGAGTTGTGATTTACCAAACTGCCAAAATGCCGACATGCAAAAAAATCCCGACAGGCTAAAATCAGGATAGTCAAAATCGAAAGCCAAAATACCGACATCGAAGATCCGTATAGACAAAATACCGGCAGCAGGGGCCCCGCAGCCGAAATCCAAATAAGCAAAGATCTCAAAAGATAAATTTCGACAGCGATAATCAGGAAACCCGAACTCCCGACTACCAAAATACCGACAGCCAAAATCCCGACACGTAAAACCCCGACAAGGATAATCCCGACAGCGATAACCTTGACAGCCAAAATCCCGACGGCTAAAGTCCGGACAGGCAAAATCCCGACAGCCAAAAATGCCGATATGTGGAATCCCGAGGCAGAATTCCCAATTTTCGAAAGTTTTGAATTTTTAGCGACAAAATTTCAAAATTTCTAATTTTCTACAAGAATTTTTATGACTCTAAAACAATAAAAAACTTCTAAAAATGCTCTAAAAATAATATCAACAACATATTAACTGAAATTAAGATAACTATGTTGAGGCTAGCCCGTCCAGTTCCACAGTTCCTATTCTCCAGCTCATTTCTGTAGGTTATGGTAGGTATTCGCCTTTAGGCTGGTCCGGCGTCGTGGCGATGACCCAAAACGGAAGCCGAATTCCGCGGTTCTTCGTCACCGGAATAGACGGGACCGGGACTCCGGTCAATTTCGTGAATTTGACCTATGCCTTTGATGGGGAGTTGATGGTAAGGTATCCAAAAATATCATACTGATATTATTAGGACGCTACTGTACTTTACGACGACGCTGCCACTTCAATATGGGCAACCAGAAATGGGATTCAACCTACTGATGAGCCAACTTGCGGGTAAGGGAGAGAGAGCGAGAGAGAGAAAGAGAGAGAGAGAGAGAGAGAGAGAGAGAGAGAGAGAGAGAGAGAGAGAGAGTGATAGAGTGAGGGTGAGAGGAGAGGGAGAGAGGGGGAGAGAGCGAGGGTGTGAGAGACAGAGACAGGGAATAGCGAGAGAGAGAGAGAGAGAGAGAGAGACAGTCAGAGCGAGAGCGAGAGAGATACAAATTTTTCGTTTCAGCTTTTCCGGAAAAGCCTGTCCAATATCCATGTGGGCCCAAAGTGGCGGTTATATCATCGCAGCCATTGTAGTGGCTGTATTACTTGTCATAATATTGATTTTAATCGCCATCTACGCAGTACGGTAGGTTAAGCACCCTTTAGAGAAATCCTGATTTCAGAGAAAAACGACGAGAAATCGAGCGGCTCAATGCCGAGTGGCGCGTAAACGAGCCGTCTTTACAAAAGCCGCGAAGCCGGGTGAGTTAGACTCACTGCCTCTCTCACTCATTCTCTCTCTCTCTCTCTCTCTCTCTCTCACACTTTCTCTCTCGCTCTCCCTCACTCCCTCTCTCTCTCGCTCTATGAAGCTTTCTAGAATGAAGCCCAAAGCATGCACTCGATCCACTCGTCCAAGTCTTCCGTTTCCGGCGCGGGCTCCAAATTCTCCTTCGGCAGCAAGCACAGCGACACGGGTGAGTTCATCAAAACTCGGGCAGCTCGAGGCAAGTCCTGGAACGTGAGACCCACATCATTTCTAGACAAAATGAACTACTACCTCCTCGACGGGGAGCCGATCATGGCCTTCAAGCACAAGGTGGTCAGCAAGTTGTCGCCGACGGATCACCAGGAGTTGAGAATGGTATGTGAATTTTGCAAAAATTGTCTTACTATATCTAATGTAGTTTGTTCTCTTTTTCTGAGACTGCTCATCGCCTTTTCTAGCTTCGAAAACTCGAGCACGACAACTTGCATCGATTTTTGGGACTTTGTGAACATGCCAGTCCTATTTTGACGATTTGGAGACTAGCGTCAAGAGGGAGCTTGGAGGTAAGTTTTTTATACCACGTATTAACAAAATATTTTGCTTATATAAAACTCAAACTCCACACTTCTATTTTAGCAAGTCCTCGTCGGCAGCAGCATGACCATTGATGGATTTTTCATGTACTCCTTAGTCCGTGACCTCGTCGAAGGACTGGTCTACATCTTAAAGTCACCCCTGAAGATGCATGGACATTTATCGTAAGCGTAGATTGTGTCGTAGCACAATGTAGCGTATTCCGAGATGCTACGACACTACGCTATGATACATTGCGTTTCGCTACAGTACCCTACGCTACTATGCTGTGCGTAAAATGAAAATACAACCACTATGATACAGCTCCCAAAAAAAAGCTACGCTACGGTTGGCTAGAGTATCGTCTCTTCTAGAACCTTGCGGAATGGAATGCATAGCGTACATCGTTCATTTGTATCAGATCAACCGTATTGCCTTCCCGGATTGCTGCGCAGCATAGCATACCGTAGCGCTGCGCAAGCGCAACACCACGTTGCAATGTGGGGCATCGTACTGTCGCGCATTGAAACGTAGCATGGGATACAGTAGTGTGTCGTAGCGTTCCTTATTGCGTATCGTAATAGAATCAATCGTACGGTACTTTTTTTCAGCTCCACCAATTGCTACATTGACGATCGGTGGCAGTTGAAAGTCGGTGGATATGGGTTGAGCTTTATTCGAAGTCACGAGCAGACGTCAAGGAAAGGTAGGTCTAGGTTTTGTAGTCTGCACTAGTTTTTCAGAACAACTTTGGTTTGCACCGGAAAAATTGCGAGAACCCCTGATACATTGGGATGAGGCAATCGACGTGTATTCCTTTGCTATAATCTGCTCCGAGATTATTAGCAGAAAAACGGCATTTGATATGGAGAACCGGAGGGAGAAGATTGAGGGTATGCCAAATCTTCAAACCAAGGATTCAAGCGCTCGTTAGGAGGTTTTTCGTGGCTTACTGTAACTAGGGCATTTTATAACTTGTTGTGAATTCCGGTCATTTCGCCTAAATCCGTTTCGCCTAAACCCGTATCGCCTAAACCCATATCGCCTAAAACCCATATCGCCTAAAACCCATATCGCCTAAAACCCATATCGCCTAAAACCCATATCGCCTAAAACCCATATCGCCTAAAACCCATATCGCCTAAAACTCATATCGCCTAAAATCCATATCGCCTAAAACCCATATCGCCTAAAACCCATATCGCCTAAAACCCTTATCGCCTAAAACCCATGTCGCCTAAAACCCATATCGCCTAAAACCCATATCGCCTAAAACCCATATCGCCTAAAACCCATATCGCCTAAAACCCATATCGCCTAAAACCCATATCGCCTAAAACCCATATCGCCTAAAACCCATATCGCCTAAATCCCATGTCGCCTAAATCCCATGTCGCCTAAATCCCGTTTCGCCTAAATCCATTTCGCCTAAAACCCATATCGCCTAAAACCCGTTTCGCCTAAATCCCGTTTCGCCTAAAACCCATTTCGCCTAAAGATTTGGCCATTTTCATATTTGAATTTTCGACAAAAAAGATCGAAAATCGGTCAAAAATGCAGCATATACAAAATGGCCAAAAATTGAGGCGAAATAGGTTTAGGCGAAATGGGTATTAGGCAAAACGGGATTTAGGCGAAATGGGTTTTAGGCGAAACGGGTTTTAGGCCAGACGGGTTTTAGGAGATATGGGTTTTAGGCGATATGGGTTTAGGCGAACCGGCGGTCACCTCGCTCCTTAGGAGATTTTTCGTGGCTTACTGTAACTAGGGCATTTCATAAGTTGTTGTAACTCCGGTATTAATGGTTTTTGAACTTCTAGGCAATTGATGTAGTTTCGAGATTTTGCTATTGACTTTTCAGAGGTGCTCTACATGGTTAAAAAGGGCGGTTCGGTCCCGCTGCGACCCGAGCTGATTGTTTCGCATGATGCCGATGTGAATCCGGCTTTGGTAGGCGTTTCGAAAAACAGTGTCTAGACTTTTTTTCAGCTTCATCTAATCCGCGACTGCTGGACCGAAGAACCGAATAATCGGCCCAATTTTGCCACTATCAAAACGCTGTTGTTGGCTATGGTAAGAAATTATTTATCTGAAAACACCCAAAATCGTAGCGTAGGCTAATAACCAAAAGCCGTTTTAATAGCAAGATATGTACGCTTGAAGTGTTTAGAAAACGAGATATTTTAGGGCGCGGACCGGAAACAAAACCTGATGGACCACGTCTTCAATATTTTGGAAAGTTACGCAGAGACGCTGGAAAAGGAGGTAGGCTAGAAAAAAAGCAGTTGCAGGCTATTCTTTGGCTAGGGCTTACGGTACCGCGGCATACTTTAACACAACAACCAAAATCCCAATTTCTAGGTCCAAGACCGAACCGGAGAGCTGACAGAAGAGAAGAAGAAGAGTGACATTTTGTTGTATAGGATGCTGCCAAAGTAAATACTCTCTCTCTCTCTCTCTCTCTCTCGCTCTCTCTCTCTTTCTCTCTCTCTCACTACAAAAAATTATCTTCTATTACATCTTTAGACAAGTAGCAGATCGTCTAAAACTTGGCCAAACTGTTGAACCGGAGACGTACGACAGCGTCACGATCTTCTTTTCCGACGTCGTGAAATTTACGAATTTAGCAGCAAAATGCACGCCGTTACAAGTATGTTTCAATGAAATCGACAGCGAAGCAATCATTTCAGATCGTCAACCTCCTAAACGACCTCTACTCCACGTTCGATCAGATCATCGAGGAGCATGGGGTTTATAAGGTTTGTAAGTATAACTAAAACAAACTCACTTTTCTCGAAGTAATGACAAGCTAGAAGAGCTCCTTGAGGAAATAGTGCATTCATGAGATACGTTACAAACTGTATAACCGTAATTTAGGTAGAAACAATTGGCGATGGATACCTCTGCGTGTCTGGCTTACCTCATCGAAATGGAATTCAGCACATCAAGGATATTTCAGAAATGTCATTAGGATTCTTGCGGTCTATTCAGGTAGCGAGAGCGAGAGAGAGGCAGAGAACGCGAGAGACAGAGAGAGAGAGAGAGAGAGAGAGAGAGAGAGAGAGAGAGAGAAGGAGAGAGGGCTAATAGCCAATTTTCAGTTCTTCCGCATCCCCCATATCCCGAGCGAGCGTATCAATTTGCGTATCGGAATGCACTCTGGCTCCTGCGTAGCCGGGGTAGTTGGATTGACAATGCCAAGGTGATTTTTAGACACTTAAGGATGCTAAATTTCAAATTCTGCATGCTTTGTTGTCTCTAGTCCCTATCTAAACTAGATTTTAGCTCTAGAAAATAATTTTAGCTAATTCTAGCTAGTTTAATTCATGCCGCACATGGGTTTAATTAAATTTTTGCATGATAGTTTTGTCAATATTCAATTAAGCGTACTTTTTTAGGTATTGTCTTTTTGGCGATACGGTAAACACGGGCTCGCGGATGGAGAGTAACGGCAAACGTAAGTAGATATTTCTTGGCATGTTGAATTCAATTTTCAAGCCGGTCAAATTCAAATGTCGTCCGGCTCTCATGAACTCATCGAAAAAGTTGGCGGCTACGTGACGGAGCCGAGAGGAGAAGTTATTATCAAGGTACGCTTTTCACCAAATTAATACCATGCCTCGTGATTTAACGATTTGAAAATTTAATCAAGTAAAAATTCGTTTCTTTTTCTATTACAACGCGCAAATTCCTTTCTGAAAACTTACCGTTTTATTCTTCTTAAACTATTTATTCTATTATTATTATTTATTCATTATTTTGTTTTAATATTGTTTTGACTTTATTTAGCTGAATAAATTTTTTAATCTCGCAGAATTTCAGGGTAAAGGCGTAATGTCGACCTACTGGTTGCTTGGTCGGGCTGACGACCCGAACTTGGCGCGCAACACCGAGCGGCTGAGGATGCAGATGAGCGATGAGATCCCATCGCGACCCGTTGAGGTAATTCCTTTACCATAATTAAACGGCTACGGCAGTTAAAGGATTACGGTAGCCAAAGAATAAAGAGACATCGTGAAACAGAAGGAGAAAAATAATTCGATTCTAGACCACGGCTCCTCCAGACCCTTTACAACGACAGCCCACCGAAGCCAGCGAAGGTCCGATGACGATGGCAGAATTTGTAAGGGATTTTGGAGTCCGTATTTTTGCAGTTTGTTTGTTGCTTTGAAGCGGAAGAGGGGATAACTAGTTTTTGTCATTTTTCCAGCCATGAAAACCTTGATGAAGCCTGAAATTTCAGGCTCGCCGCCCCACTGACCCAATGTTGGAAGACCTGGACGACGAGCCGTTGGGCATCTACCGGAAACATCTCAAACACATGCCGTCCACCAGAAAGAGCAGCATCGAAGAGATCCCGAACGCTCAATATTGATCGAAAAACAGGACTTTGCATATGATTGGCATTTAAAAGTGTCTGAAAGAATAAATAAATATATATATATTGTATTTGATGTCGAAAGTTCACGAAAGTCAAGAGAGAACATGCACAAAACATCATTTCGATAGGATCACCGGCAAAGCTCCCTAAAAATCAGGCATCCTGGCTGGCTGTGACGTATAGCGCGCACGACTATAGAGCTGAAACCCAGCGCTACGCGGCCGCAATGTTTTCATAGGATTTTAGCGGCATTATCCCCTTCAAAAATCAATAAAATAAACCGAGCTTTTGGCATCGTGCAATTGTTGGCTGCCTTCAGATCTTAGCGGGCGCGTCACATCGTTGTCTCGCACTAAAAAGTTGCGGCTTCGATAAATAAAGCTAACATTTGCAAGTTGCGGATGGGTGCACTGCGTCGCGGCCGCGCCTCATCCATGCGCCGCAACGTGGACGCTACGCATTCGCACCGCGTTCGATGGATCTGGGCGAAGGAGAGGTTCTCACTAGGTCACCTTCAAAAAGAGCAAAATTGAAATCAAAATTCTTGCGCTAAAAGTTTAATCTTGTCTCGCTCCCTCAAAATATGTCTATTTTCCCTGTCGTCTTTGCCAATTACACTGCCAATCCGCGCTGACGACCGGCTACAGTACCCGAAAATAGATGTACTTGCCGGCCCCCCTGTCGTCAGCGTCAAATCGAGTTCCACCAGAGATTCTCGATTCCGCCAAAATTCTGTTGACTTCATAGCTATCCGGATGAGGCTCAGAAGGAGGAGGAAGACCTTTCCGAGTTCCTCCCCATAAATAGCCCGGCCTTCCGGTGATTTCCAAAGAATCCTGAGAATCGTGAGGCTTACCGGATTGATGCTGGACTACGCGCATGGGTTCAAAATTCCACTTTCCGAGAACCTTGCCAATTCGGTAAATGGCAAGCCCCAAAAATGGTGAAACCTTAAAAAATGGCCTCGTGACTGTCGACGAAGCACTCGGGAAATTTCTAGAGAGTGCAGGAAGAACGAAAATTTAGATGGATTTGACTTGATTGGCGAAATTTTTGAAAAGTTCAAAAATTCCTCGGTTTTGCTTTACTATTTGCGCATTAATAACACCATTGCGCGTTCGATAGACTGCTATGACAAGAGGTTTGCGAAGACGAGGAACTTAACGAAGACCATGCGAGTCCTCAAGGTCGAGCTCTACATGCGCCGCGGCCAGTGACGCGTACGCACCGCTTGAAGGCCGTCACGAGGTCTCAACCGCTTACGCGATCAGCGAGCGAACGCGCCCGTTGCGTATCACGGTTTATCAGCGCTGGCCGGGAACACCCACAGAATAGAACCGCTCAATCATGTGTTGGTGGGGCCGAATTGTCGAGACCTAGTCGACCGGGGGGTCAAATCTCGAGCTTTCTCGTCCCTTTAAAGGGACCTGCAAGGCTATGTATTTTGGTATGTTGTTGTGGATTTCCCATGGATTTTACCGCGCCCGCGACACACAACGCGCACGCCGGGCGTTCTACCGCGCGTTCCACCCATATGCATTGGTCATGCGGGCGCATTGCGTGTAGCCAGTCCCTTGAAAGCCACAATACATTGACAATCAAAAATTTAGGGCGAATCTATAGCCAAGTGCCGCAGTCTTGGGTTGCATATCCCTTTAAAGACACACTTCCTGGCGCCAGTCAGCTTCTACAACGATTATTTTTGGCCTAATTGCTTCAAAGACTGTAGATCGCTTTGCCAGTTACGCAAGTCAAATAAAAATTTGTGCAGAATCTATAGCCAGACACCGTAGACATGACTTACTCACCACTTTCCACCCGAACTTCCTGATCTCTTGGACCAGCAGTCTAGATTGATTAAATTTTCGCTTCTCAAATTTCCTCAAAAAAAGATGCGGAAATCCCCCTCTCTCTGCTTTGAGCACCTGATTAAAGGGATTTCCCCTTTGATCGGATTCCATCTCTCTTCATCGGTCGGCTGACATCTTCGGTAACTACGGTAGGGTTTCCTGGGGGCGGACGCCCGCAATTTGCTTGGGGCAAATTGGACGCCACATTTTATTCCGGGCTTTGAAGTTTGGCCGGAGGTCTTGGGTCCGATGCGAATCGTCTATTCCCAAGTTGTTATTCGTTAAGTGTGTTTGGCGTCGAATACTTGGGATTCCATCGTGTTTCCCGTGTCCAGGCTTGGATACTGTCGATACTGAGGGCTTCACCTTCAAGCCTGAATTCGAGTTTACACGATTCCTAGTTGAATATTTTGGAATTCTTCCCGAAAAACCCCAAAAATTTTTGTTTTTTACCCTCGGTGCTCTTATATAGCATCAAGAATTCGACATATTTTTAATGCTTAGAATCAAACGTTTTCCAGGAATATTTTGGCACTTTTCCCAAAAACAATCTCATAACTCTTTCTCAAATCTAAATGCACTTCATGCGAGGGCATTTGTATAGCGTTTTACAGTCTAAAAATATAGATTTTTGCAATACCCTCAATCGATTGGCGCCTCCGCATCAAAAATCAATTTTTCAATGATTTTATCGTGTATGATTTAGCCGATCCGGCGTGAGCTTTTACTTTCGGAGTAGGCGCATTCACATGAGCCAAAAATCTCTCTTGGCAAATTCGAACAAAAGCATTAGAAAGGATTACGGTATCTCATAAAAACCTATTCCAGGCCGTTGTTTTAGGGCACTTCAGAGTTTTTAGAGACACGCAGAATAACCAAAATAACGCATTTCAACGATTTTTAAAACGTTTTTGAGTGTTTTTTTTAGTAGAGCTTCATACACAGTATGTTGACGTTAGCATCAAGTGCTTCTGCCTCAATTACTGATTATCTTCCCCGAATTGATCTCGCTGACCCTGCAGTTTGTGTTCACAAATCGAGTCTATTCAAAAAGACTACACCTCAAACTCCTGCAACCCAAGCAAAATATTTTTTGGGGTTTCACTTTCAAAAGTTCAGCTGTCATGCGCCAGACGCGGACGGGGTTTCCGTCCGAATCTCAAAATTTAAGCTCTCCTGGTGGACCCTTAGACCTAAATCTTTGGCTTTATTAACTTCTACTCTAAGATTGTCATAAACTGGTTCTTTTACCGCTCTTTTTCAGGTACTCAGGATGCTAGGTGTAGTGCTCTTCATAAGCATGGCATTTCCTGGCGGCGGCCAGGCGCAGAATGGGACGGAGACTACGGTAGGTAGCTACGGTAGTTCAGCCAGAGGGAGAGAGAGAGAGAGAGAGAGAGAGAGAGAGAGCGATAGCATCTGAGAGAAAGAGTGAAAGAGGGAGAGAGAGTGAGAGAGAGTGGGTGAGAGAGAGTGAGTGTACGAGCGTTCTGGAACACTGTTAATTTTAGACAATCGCCCCAATAAAGGATACCTTTACTGTTGGCATGATCGTCACCGAGTCGCTTCAAGCCCAAATCGGCTTCTCCATCACCGGCGGAGTGATTCCAATCGCTCTGCAACAGATCGCTAAGCTTCATCTGCTAGATGCTATTAATTTTGAGTAAGTTACGCAGGAGTGAGGGATTGAGAGTGAAAGAGAGAGGGAGAGAAAGAGAGATAGAGAGAGCGTGAGAAAGAATGAGAAAATGAACATCTAACATCGTCATTAGATTCGTGGTCAACTACACCGACTGCAGCGAGGCTAATGCCGCCGGAATTGCCGTGTACCTAATCAACGAGCGGAAAGTGGACGTCATTCTCGGGCCACCGTGTGCAGCAGGTAACTTCAGCTTTCTAGAGGGACGCAAGACCGGTTTTCAGCAAATACTTTTCAAGGCGGCGACGATCAGCATTTTTTAAACGACATTACGACGTTTTTAATCTTTTGTCAGTTGAAATTCGCGGATTTGAACCCAAATCCTAGCTAACCTGAATGATCAAAGCTAAACTCCAAAATTCACAATTTTCAGCTATCATCCCGGTTGGCATCCTCAGCACATACTACGAAACGTTGATGGTATCGTTGCGTATTTTTCCGATAACTTTCGCTTAGGTCGCTTGGGGCTTCGCTTCCTCTTCGACACTAACCGATGCTACTCGATTTCCCTATATTACGACGGTGGTGCCGAACTATCGACAGTAAGTTGAGAGAGAGAGGGAGAGGGAGAGAGCGATAGCATCTGAGAGAAAGAGTGAAAGAGGGAGAGAGAGAGAGAGAGAGAGAGGATGAGCGACAGTAGTAATATTCAAATCCATTTCAGGCTCGGCTACGCGCTCGGCGCTCTCCTTATCGAGATGGAATGGTAAGATTCAGGCACTCTCTAGGGAAAATTCAATTTTTAGGGAAATCGCGGCCCTGTTCTACGGTAATCAGGGAGCCGGAATTTGCGACAACATGATGTCGGACGTTACGGTTCGCGAATGATTCTAGGCTTCAACGATCCAAAAATCTTCCAGGATGCTCTGAACGATCCCATCTTCAGCAACATCACCATGGCCGCCTCGATCAAGGTCGAACTGTCCGGTGGAAGCTCACGTAGCACGCTGGTGACCGGGCTGAAGCGGTTGACGACGAGGGCGAGAAGTGAGAATTAGTATTTCTTGAAGTCTCTGTACTGCTTGAAGTCGCGGAGTTGCATTTATTGCCATGCCCAAACGAAGCGTCAGCCCAAGCTTAAAAACTACGCTGACTTGGCCTAGTAAGTCAGGAACTAAGCCCACACCTAGGCTCAAGGCTGAGCCAAGTAAAGTCAACTCAAGTTTGGTTTAATTTGAGGCTCAAGTTCGGGCAGTTCAGCCGAACCTTCCAAAGCATGGCGCTAATCTTCTAGTCGAGTTCCACACCACACCCGCTTACGTAACCAAAACCACCGGCTTTGACATGCGTCAGCCCTACCGTAACCCCTGAAACCCGGCTTTACCGGCTTATGACTTGCCTCCCCGGGCAATTTTTAAAATCCGCAAAACCAATTTTCGGAAGCCATTTCGGTCAGGCAGGCTGAGGGCGGAATTTTTTTGGAAGTGGAAACCCTAGCCAAGCCAAGACCAAACCAACATTCAGCGACTACAAATCCAGATCTCGAACCAATTTTTTTCCGGAAGATTCCAAGAATTGAGAAAACGGAAGTGGGGGAAATTGGAAAAAAATTGGAATGAAGCCCTTACTTACAAGGAGACGTTTTTAGGTGGGCACGGAGTTTCGGAACGGGACCTAGCCTACCTTGTGCAGAATTTTTTGCTGATTAAAACGTACTTTGTAGAATTTGCGAAACAACCGGAAAAATAAAGTTATGAGGGTTTAAAGTGTGAAAAAGGCCCAAAATGGCCTACTTTCGGCACCTATAAAATATAGCAGAATAAGTTTCCACGAAAACTAATTAGTGCATCTTGCTCAGAAAATTACGCTCTTTCGAATGAGCCATGTCACGCGGAAATTTGAAAATTTCGGCAAATTGCTGAAATTTCACATGGGGGACCATGCCGTCTAAATTAATCTTTTTGCAAAAATGTTCGAACTTGTTTAATGAGATGGCTGATTCGAAAGAGCGTGATTTTCTGAGCAAGATGCACTAATTAGTTTTCGTGGAAACTTATTCTGCTATATTTTATAGGTGCCGAAAGTAGGCCATTTTGCGCCTTTTTCACACTTTAAACCCTCATAACTTTATTTTTCCGGTTGTTTCGCAAATTCTACAAAGTACGTTTTAATCAGCAAAAAATTCTGCACAAGGTAGGCTAGGTCCCGTTCCGAAACTCCGTGCCCACCTAAAAACGTGGCCTAAGGAGCCTGGAGATCATGGCCGAAGAAATTCCGAGGCAAAGGAGTTACTCAGAAGTTTTAAAGGGAGCGTGACAGTAAAATGTTGGCAGTGGACTAAAAACAAGACAGTAAATTAGCATATCTGCACAAAATTCTGATCAATAACTAGATCATAGTCTTAACATAAAATCCTTCAATAAAAAAAAGATGAAAAAATCATCAAAAACCCCAAGATTTATCGTGTTGACTTGCCGGAACCAGAACGCGCACGCGACGCGTTGACTTGGCGTTATCTCTTAATGAAGGTTATGAAAATATGCAATTGTTATTCTTACGAAAAAATTTTGTACTTAACCCCCTAATTTTCAGTCATCGCCGTCTGTATGCCGGACGACCAGTCGAGACGGAATTTCCTGATCAGCACTTCTGAGGCCGGGATGAACGGGTGCGAACATTTTCTTGCTTTCAAATTTAACACCATAAAGCCTCTAGGACAAAACTAGGAGAAAGGAAAATTTATTTAAAATTATATTTTCAGCACCGATTACGTCTACATCATGATGGACTTGCGCGGGTTTGGGTTTGGTCAACTCGGCAAAGTGGCTGGGGGCGAGACGTGTAAGCTTAGTTAGAAGATATTTCATTAGCCCAAGCCTACACCATTATTTTTGTCTATACTTATTCATAAGCTTAAAACGAAGCCTTTGCCCTTTAGTGAGAGCACCCGGAAGACAGAAACTTTTTAGTGGACAGCGGCTACACGCCAGTCTGGGTGGATACTTTCAACGCTAAACCTGACGGGCTGGACGCTGTCGCAAAGCAGGCGGCTTTGCAGGCTATTGTGGTATGTAGAAACCCATTTTTGAATCATTAAAAAACGGATGAAAAACTAGGATTTATAAATTTAATGTTCATGCCAATTTCAGATCGATCTGACGAACCAGGGTACGGTGGATGGGCAGACGACGGCTGATTTGACGCCCAGTGTAAGGTTTTGAATATCCTATGCAACTCAATGAGAGCTAAAGGAGAGAGACAGAGAGAGAGAGAGAGAGAGGGAGAGGGAGAGAGAGTGAGAGAGAGTGACGAGGGGACAAGTAAAAACAAAACTAGCAAATGAGCCATTTCGACCAGACCCTTAGATTCAGCCGGTTTTCCAATTTAATCTGAAAATTTCGGTTATTTAGAAATCTCTAAATTTTTGGAAAAAATTAGACCAAAATTTGATACCCAACTAGCAGAGATTCCTTAAAAAATTTATCCGAATTTTTTAGGTCCTCTCCAACATCCGTGGCCCACCCTTCTACTGCAACACCACCGAATGCATCAACAACTCCGTCACCTATTCTGGGGTCGATCCTTCAGTAATTGCATGCTCGCCTGCCCTCTGGGGCTGACCGTAACCCCTGATTTCAGATCGGCGCCTTCGCCCAGCAGCTGTACGATGCCTTCATGTACTACGCATATGCCCTTAATGCGTCGATCGAAATTGATCCCGTCCAAGGGGCAAGGAATCAGACCGTGTTCAACATGGTGCGCGGGGCCGTCGCTTTCAGCGGTATGTATTCGGTTATGTCTCGCTATCTATCTCTCTCTTTCTTTCTCATCTCTCCCTCTCTCTCCCTTGCTCTCCCTCACTTTCTCTGGCTCTCTATCACTCTCTCACCCGCTCTCTCTCGATCTCTATCCCGCTCTTTTTTCTCTGTCTCTCTTTCGCCCCCTCTCTCTCGCTCTCTCTTCCACTCTTTATCCCTCTCTATCTCGCTCGCTCTCTCTATCTACACTCTCCCGCCCTTGGCAATCTAGCACAGTCCCTTTGAAATTCCAATTTATTCAGGATGGTCGGGCGCCATTGCGATGACACCCAATAACACTCGGATTCCGCGATTTTTCCTCTATGGAGTGACGGGCACCGGGATGACAACCCGATTTGCTAATTTCACGTGGCGAGGGGATGGTGATTACATGGTATGAACTTGACCAGCTCTCTGTGTCTCTCTCTCGCTCTCTCTCTCTCTGTGTCTCTTTCTCTCGCTCTCTCTCTCTCGTTCTCTCTCTCTCTTTGTCTCTCGCTCCCTCGCTCTCAAAATCTATATTTTTTTTCAGAATATCGGCCCTCAATGGACCGAAGCAACGGAGGGCTCAACGATTTGGGCGGTTCGAGGAGGGGTTAGACCGCTTGATACACCGATTTGCGGGTATGAATAGGATGTCTTCCACCCTTAAGGATGCCTGGCTACTTACAGGCGTTAAATAACGTCTATTTTCAGCTTCTCTGGCACCACTTGCCCCCTAACCACCTGGGAACAAAGCGGGACCTACATCCTCGTCGGAGTTGGCATCGTAGTCGCCTTGATGATCGTCTTTGCGATATTGATTTGCTATATTGCCAAGTAAGCCTTATTTTGTGTAACTTATCACTTATTATAATTGCGTATCGTTCGGGAAAGTTATATAAAGGTCAGTAAAGAAATCATGCTTATCATTTTTAGAGAAAAACGCAAGGAACGAGCTCGACAGGACGCCGAGTGGCAGATCCCGTATCTGGCACTGGATCGCCCCAATGGACGGCATAGTCGGGTACGTTAAGAAATTCCTCCGTTTGTTTGGGAGCTAGGAGCTGGGAGCAACATCTAGATGCTCCTTGATCTTTTTGGTTTTTGATGGTTTTTATACTTACCTCAACCTTTAGGGATTGAGCTCGAGCTCCAAATTTTTTGGTTCATTTTTAGCTCGAGCTCCCATATGTCGGCTTTTCCTTTTAATTAAATGGTTAAATGGTTTAAATGGTTACGCCATTTCCTTTCAGAATGAAGAAAAGTCGATGCACTCCTTGCGCTCGTCGAAGTCGTCAAACTCCAAGTTTTCCATGGGTAGCAGAACGGAAACAGCTACGACTGCATATTTCACCTTTCAAGGTACGAAGTTAGTCCTTTACTTTTTCATTTTTTTCATTTTTCAGGAGAACCCGTCTCGGCCTACAAGTACAAGGTTATGCCCAAGTTGACACCGGAAGATTTTTTGGAGTTTCGAATGGTGCGGATTTGCAATTTTTAGACCGACTGCGGATCAAGTTACCTGCGTTAAAAACACAGACCACAACCTAGCTTTTAGCTTCGGAAATTGGAGCACGACAACATCCACCGGTTCATCGGAATCTGCCACGACCACGCGCCGATGATGTCGATCTGGAAATTCGCCAGTCGCGGGACTTTGGATGTGAGGATCACGATCTTGTCGTTTTCTCTCTCGCGCTCTCTCACACTCTCTCTCGCCCTCTCACACTCTCTTTTTCTCTTCTCTCTTTCTCTCATTCTCTTCACTCTCTAACTCTCTCATTTCAGGACGTCATCGGGAAGGGCTCGATCAACCTCGACGCCTTTTTTGCCCTCTCCCTAGTGCGTGACTTGGCGGAAGGCCTCTGCTTCATCCACCGATCGTTCCTCGGAATTCATGGAAATTTATGGTACCTTAACAGGATACCTTAACCATATTATCAACATTTTAGCGCCCAAACCTGTTGGATCGACGAGAGGTGGCAGCTGAAAGTCAGTGGATTCGGGTGCAAGCCGTTTAGGAGGGGCGAGAAGGTGGATAAGAAGAGTAAGTTAGTTCTGTTTTTTAAGTTAAAGTGCGTCGAGGTTAAAGTTTTTAAAGTTTTTTTAAGTCGAGTATTTTAACAAAACAATTATAAAGAGCAAGAAAATATTTCTGACTTTAGGAATGTTATACTACGCGCCAGAACTCCTACGTTCACCTGGGCAAGATGGTACCAAAGAGGCGGACGTCTACGCCTTCGCCATTATCTGCTCGGAAATTGTGACCCGGAAATCTGTTTTCGATTTGGACAATCGGAATGAGAAAGTGGAAGGTGTGAGAGAGAGAGAGAGAGAGAGAGAGAGAGAGCAAGAAACAGAACATAGTCCATCCCCTAGAGCTCCTCTACATGATCAAACGAGGCTCTTCCATCCCGATCCGTCCTCACCTGACCGTGCCCGAAGAAATGGAGCTGAACCCGGCAGTGGTATGCATATCTTTCGGCGCGTTGTAGCTGTACTACAGACAACCATTTTTTCAATTTTTCATAATAACCGAAATAAGCTATGTAATCTTTTTAGCTTCACATGATTCGAGATTGCTGGAACGAGCAGCCAGATGCAAGACCGGCCATTGCCACGATTCGGACAATTATTAAATCGATGGTAAGCAAAAAGTAGAGAGAAATTGTTGGTTTTCGTCTAGTTTTTGGTAAGCTTACTAACTTAGGATAATCTAAAGTATGCCAAGGTACGGAAATCCGCTCAATAATTGCTAATTTCAGGCAGCCGGAGAGGGAGGTCAGCAGAACTTGATGGATCACGTCTTCGGCTTGATGGAATCATATGCAGAGACTCTAGAAAAAGAGGTGTGAGAAGAAAGAGAAAGGGAGAGAGAAAGAGAGATAGAGAGAGATATACCAAGAGAGAGAGAGAGAGAGAGAGAGAGAGCGAGAGAGAGAGCGAGAGAGTGAGAGAGAGAGGGAAAGAGGACGCCTTACATCCATAATCTTTCAGGTGGAAGACCGCATGTCCGAACTTGTCGAAGAGAAAAAGAAGAGTGACATCCTACTCTACCGTATGCTCCCGAGGTCAGTATCGCTTTAAATTTAACATCATTAACTTCCGTTTTTAGACAAGTAGCCGACAAGCTAAAACTCGGCCAATCCGTCGAGCCCGAATCCTTCGACAGCGTCACCATCTTCTTCTCCGACGTCGTGCAATTTACGAATTTGGCTGCGAAATGTACTCCGCTACAGGTACTGAATCTTTAGGATTATGGTAGAAAGGACAACTTTTAGATTGTCAACCTGCTCAACGATTTGTACACCACTTTCGATCAGATCATCGAGCAGCACTCGGTTTATAAGGTAAGGTATTGCTTAAAAAAATCCTTAAAAAAAATCAACAATACTAAATTAAAACCTGGTTATGGTAACAACAAAAAAAATCAAAAATCCCGCAACGCTTGCTGCTAGATTGCCCTTCTAAACTGAAAATTGTGTTGCAAATTAATTGATTTTTCGGGCAATTCTATCCTTTTTTCACCTATAATTCCTCTAGATTAAAATTTCGTTACGATACTGACTAAAGTAGGCTACTATTTACGCCTTCAAAACAGGCAAATCCGATTCCATAATATTTGGCTCGTTGCCAAGTGCAGCCTACGTTCTAGCCCCGTTGACATTTCCGAATTTCTTGGCTTCCGAAGCCCAAAAGGTTGTAGTTGGCTCTAGCGGATTAGCGGATGCGAGGGTGGATTGTTTTGAGAGGGCTGGGATACTGTAGCTGACCCAAGAACACCGGGGGAAAACACAGAAAAAGGTGGAATCTAATTTATTTTTAGGTCGAAACAATTGGAGATGGGTACCTCTGCGTATCCGGGTTGCCTCATAGAAATGGGAATCTGCATGTGAAGGAGATTTGCGAGATGTCGCTCGACTTTTTGAGAGCTGTTCAGGTAAGGGAGAGAGAGAGAGAGAGAGAGAGAGAGAGAGAGAGAGAGAGAGGAAAAGAGAGAGAGAAAAAAATCGACATTTGCAGATCTTCCGCGTCCCTCATCTACCAGCCGAGAAAATCAATCTCCGAATCGGAATGCATTCAGGATCCTGCGTTGCCGGGGTGGTCGGATTAGCTATGCCAAGGTATGCAAATTAGCATACATCAACTAGATATAGCTTTTTATTGATAGCAAGTCGATTTTCATGATAAAAAAGTAGGAGCCTGAAAAAAATGCGTGAAAATGTTTGAAATTCAGATACTGCCTTTTCGGAGATACGGTAAACACCGCATCGAGGATGGAAAGTAATGGAAAACGTAAGGATACTAATGACACAAAAATGAACCGATTTTAGCTGGCCGAATCCACATGTCAGGCGATGCCTATGCTCTGCTCATGAGAATCGGGGGTTACGCTACGGAGTCGAGAGGAGAAGTGATCATCAAGGTAAAACAATCATATGACGTTATAAAAGCAAGAATACGGTAGCTAATAAAGGAATAAGAAAAAGGATTTTAATCCACCCCGAAAATTTGGGGTCTTCGAACATTCTAAAAATTGTGTACCGGAACGCCTCCTTGAACTCGAACTCGTGAGTGACTAATTGGGGCGCCAGACGGGGTGGAAACCAAAAAGTGGAACGTCGCATTAAAAATGGGATACGGTAGATCTGGTGTTCCACTCTACAACATCATACGAGGCTGCTGGGGAGGCGCGTTACCATTGGTGCCACAAGACTGGATTGATCAATAAAAGGCCCGAAAAGTGATACCCTAATTCCGTGTGCGCATTAATGAGATAAATGAAGTGTAGCGTATGACAATACCTAACTTAATAAGTCAATTTAAGGACATTTTTAGGGCAAAGGCGTGATGGAGACGTTCTGGCTGCTTGGACGAGCAGGAGGAGCCGGACCGATGGCTCCGTTGGGTGGTGCTATGAATACAGTGGTGGCGGAAGAGGAGATCGAACAGGTTTTTAGGTAAAAAACGTAGATAAAAAGGGACGTTCAAAACTGCCTTACCCATGAGTTTATGAGGTAGTAAAGGCTGACAAGTTCATACTACCGTAATAGGGTTTGGGGAGTCTTTACGATACCGCAACCAAGTCCAAATGAAGTCAGATTTTTGCAAGAATAGCGCATCTTTTTAGGATAAAAGTTTTGGTAATATTTTTATCTATTTTTTTGTATAACATCAACCAAACATGCTTGTTTCAGAAATCGTGAACCTACCCCACCGATGCAAAACGCGACCCGACTCGGCTCGGCAGAAAGTCGCCACTCGGACACGCTGCCCGGATACCATACGTCTGTGGGCATGTACAGAGACATGCAGACGCCGCGATAAGAATTCTTTGAACGTCATTGCCCTCCTGATCCTCTACAGCTTTCTTTCCTGTACTTTCCGGACGTCAGAACCAAATATATTGACCAATTTACAAAACGTTTTCATATTAAAAAGATTAAGGTCTAAGCAATGCCAGCTCTTGCTTTTACGTTTTTTGAATGTACGCCCGGTTTTGCTCTAAACATATCCCGATCCCGAACGATTCAAATGAAAGTCCAGATTTCTATCTCCATGTCCAGGCTCATCCCGCATTTTTAAGCAACCCCGAAATATGACCGCATTTTTCTGATCTCATTTCTGAACCGATAAATATTTTTTATATTAATTTTCTTTAAATAAACCATGGTACAAACGATACTACGCTGCCCGAACAACCTCTTTGCTAACCTTGCAGGAAAACAACGAAATAATACACCTCAGCCTCATGGAAAGATCTGCACTTGTCTACCGAATTTTTACATTCAGCTATTTCGCGGGGTTGGAAAGCCATAAACTTTCCCCTGCGTCGTTTTAGACGTAAGACGAAGTATCAGAGCCGACCCTTGCCCCGATTAGGTCTCGACACTTACGAAGTACGCCAAAATACGGTTCCCACGTCTAATTTTTGTCACAACGGCAACGCGTCTATTCTCTAGGACGCGGTAGCGTGCGTCATTTGGTGCCACGAGTAGCTGTCCCTCTGTCCATCATGGAAGGGGCAGGTTCGATCGCTTCCCAGTACCTTTAAAGGTAGAGGCCGCTTCCCAGCACATATCATTCAGCTTTCCAAGAAGTTAATGACGTGGCCCTGAACTTTGAAAACCGCGAAGCCCCATTGAAATCCGGGCCCAAAGTTCTCTCAAGGATCCGCACCAATCACTAATTCGGCAAAAATTACATTGGACGATGTGTCAGTGATCGGTTTTTGAGGGGGAATCCCCCCTCAAAAACTTTTACCAAGGCGGGTTTACAGATATGGCTTCCTCCCCGGCGGCCCGGGCAGTCAGTCAGACCCCTCTGGAGGGGGGCAGCCACAACAATTCCGAATTTCTCGGTGTGGTGTTAATTCCGGTGATTCTCTTTTCTCGAAGGAGTTTAGGGTTTCCTCCCCGGGCCCCTCCACCATCCCAGGCAACCAGAAATCCTCTCACCTCGGCAAGAGGTAGCACTTTTGATTGGACGAAGTCTGCTGTGGCACTTGCTCTGGAGTGTCAATAGTATTGTTTTGAAATTTTGAGAGTGATTTGGATACTACGGTATTTGTCTTATTCTACGCTGCTTTACGTTTGCTCTCTTTTATTTTGCGTGCTCCTATCTCTATTATTTTTATACTCTCTGGATCTACAGAATCCAAAAAAAATCCAGGACAACGTGGATTTTTTTCCTTGTTCCGTCTCTCTCTCTCGCGCTCTCTTTCTCCCTCTCTCTCTCTCACACTAATCTCACCTTCAGCTTTCACAATTCTTCACGTAAATGCCGTCATGCTCATCCTACTCATCCTCCTCGTCTCGGTAATCCATGCCCAAATTCTTCCCACCACGGCCACTGGAGGTCTAATTCCAACGATCTCGACTTTACCAATTATTACTACCGAGCTCCCACCTCAAGTCACCACGGTAAGAGATTTCGTTGCCATTTTACCTTTCCCTAAATCGATTTTAGCCCACTTGGGCCAATGATGCCGGGAGGAACACGACACTACGGGTAGGAATGATAGGTAAGACCCTAAAGTCCTGAGAGAATCACGTCTCCGCTCCTTTAGTCACCGAAGTGCTACAACCACAAATCGGATTTTCAACAACTGGCGGTGTCATCACCTTGGCTCTGCAGCAGATCAGGGATGACCATCTACTAGATTCGGTCAAGTTTGAGTACGTTTTTAGCACGACGGTTTACATAATGCCGGTGAAGCTACTCATTGCGCATTATTTTATAACCTCGGCGACCCACATGTATGAATAAATTGCTTCAGATTTGTTGTCAACTACACGGACTGTACGGAATCAAACGCTGCCGGGTTGGCTGTCGAAATGATGAAGGAGATGGGCGTTGATGTCATTATTGGTCCGGCTTGTGGAGCTGGTAAGCTGTATCGAACGGTTCTTTCGTTTATATAAAAAATAATTGAGAAAGCTTCCTAAGCCTCACTTACTTTTTCAGCTATTATCCCTGTTGGCATCCTCAGCGGCTACTATGAGATTCTGCAGGTACGATAGAACGATGCCTCTTAAAAAGTGTCCTCTTTTAGGTTGCTTGGGGCTACGCATCTGCAGCTACACTCTCGGACAATGTTCGCTTCCCATATATGACGGTCGTTACCCCAAACTACCGACAGTAAGTCGAAAATTAATTTTTTCGAAGTTTCGGTTTTTTCTAGACTCGGATACGCATTCTCTGCTCTGAATGAAATGTTCGATTGGTAGGTTTTAAAGCTTCTACCCCTCTTCCCTCTCTCCTCCTCCTCTCTCTCTATCTCGTTCTCTAGCTTTGCAATTTTAGGGATATCGTGGGACTTTTCTACGCCGAGGATGGATACGGCGCGTGCATTGACATGATTGGAGATGTATCGGTAAGGTCAACATTTTTTCAAGAAACCGTTGTGATGACGTATTTTGCTTATTATTATCCTTGATGAAATATAAGGTTAATTTATCTATTTTTAGGATGCTCTCAGTGATAGTTCCACTTATCAATCTTCCGTCAGTACCACACAAAAGGTCTCGAAAGGGAGCACCCGGCAAGCGATGGTGGCTGCGCTTCAGAAGATGCAAGCGAGGGCAAGAAGTGAGTCGTTCTCTCTTGCTCTCTCTTTCTCTCTCACACTATCTCACTCACTCTCACTCTCTCTCTCTCTTTCTCTCTTTCTCTCTCTCTCTCGCTGTTCTTTGATAATCACCGGCCACCGAAGCCCGATTTGCCGACCCTAATCATTCCATTTTGGAGTCAATCAGCTCGAGAATCTCTCTCTGTAGTGATGAAATCCTGGTCTTGTTGTTGTCTGGTGCCGGAGGCATCAAATTAAGGGACTTCACCGGTTTTAATCAGAATTCTGAACTTTTCGGGGTTCCCGAGTGGTACGGTACTCTAGTGATGTCAAGGGAACAGTGGACCAAGAAAAAGTGAAAATAGGATCAACAGGCTGACGTTTCAACGATACGGAGCAAAGAATCCATAAAACGAAAAACGGGTCCCTGGATTCACCTAGAGACGAGCATAAATGAAAACGTGGGGCGAGGGAGAGCTAAAAAAACCTAAGGATATCAGTGCTATTAACGCAACTAAAAAAACTTTGTGAGGCAATCTAGCAGCGATTAATTTATAGAAAATTGTTCACAATAGTCCTATGACAGCAATTTGCAGTCATCGGAGTCTGCCTACCTGACGATGCGACAAAACGTGACTTCTTGATCGCGATTACGGAATCCGGCATGAATACGTAAGTTTTTAGCCAAAAAGTTATGATGTTGTCCCAAGTTCTCAATTCGTCAGTTTTCTCGGGATGGGCAGGCTAGCAGAGATCCTTCAGGATTTTTTAGTTGAATTTTTAGGACCGAGTACGTCTACGTTTTGCTTGACAACCGTGGCTACGGTTTTGGGCAGCTGGGAGTTTCGGAGACTGCAGAGAAACGTAAGTAGAAAGAACGAGAGAGAGAGAGAGAGAGAGAGAGAGAGAGAGAGAGAGAGCGGATGAGGAAGAGGGGGGCGTGAAATAGAGATAGAGCGATAGAGAGGGTGAGAAAGAGTGAAAGAGAGAGAGAGAGAGAGAGAGAGAGAGAGAGCGAGGGAGAGATAGTGAGACAGAGAGCGAGAGAGAGAGAGAGAGAGAACGAAAATTTAGCCGATAACCTTTTAAACCTTCTAGTGGACGGCGGCTATACCCCAATGTGGATCGACACCATCAACGACAACGCCGACGGGCTTGACGACGTCGCAAAAGCAGCTGCCACCAGGATGCTAGTGGTATTCCTTATTTTTGTAAGTGGTAGCTCTCGTTTCAGATCGACCTGAAAAACGACGGAACTGTCGATGGGAAAACATCTGCAGATCTGGGTCCAGAGGTCAGAAAAGCACCTTTCTCCGTGATTAGCTTCTTTAGGGGATGAAAAATTTAAGCCTGCAAGTAACGGTTTTTACGTTTTGCATCCCGGATTGTCAATAGTGTGTCATAGACAATAGATATCTAGGTCCTGTAGGATATTACGAAGTATAAATACTGGCTGCCTAGCGATTAGGTGCCTTTAGAGGTACGATGCAAATAAAAAATACTGAAATAGTGTTTTTCAGTTAGTTTGGTGACACCTTTTATGATTTTAAGCATGCTATAGCCAGTTATGATAAATCGTAGAGTACTGGAATTTTTCTAGAACATTCTGTGGCATTTAAAAATCCAAAAATCTTTTTTAGATGCTCGAAAACGTGAAGGGCTACCCGTTCTACTGCTCAACGAGTGACTGCTTGGAAAATACGAACACCTATACCGGGGTACAACCTTTGGTATCTGAAAATCGGCAAGAAATGGGGGTTGCCGAGGGAGAGCTTTGGGGAACGGGGCAACTAGAAATTTTCCCGATCACTTCTGTATAATTAGTTGCATGCATGTGCTCAATATCGGCTATTAAAATGCATGCATTATTTCATAATCGATTTTTAAGAGGGATTTCGACGATTTAGATTCGAGAAAATGTTTTTGCTTTTGTACCTATCTGAATCTGTAAACCTGCAAAATCTTTCCCCCAGCTCATCGGCAGCCCTCGATGCCTGCATGCTTGTGGAATTGTCTTTAATTTGACCAGGTTTTTAGCGTCAATTTTTAGATGGGCAGCTTCGGACAGCAACTCTTCGACGCTTTCCTCTACTACGTCTACTGCGTCAACGCTTCCATCACCTTGGACCCTCAGAATGGACTTCGCAATCGGAGTGTATTCAAGCAAGTGCGGACCAGTGTGGCGTTTACTGGTAAGTATTGTACTCTAGGTTTGAAGCCGACCATTTTCTAAAGATCAAAGATTTGTTTTTCTGTGGTTTTTTGTACTAATGTGGAATACAAGCTACAAAATACACTTCCAGGCTGGTCTGGATCGATTGAGATGACGCCGAACGCTACCCGCGTACCGTACTTCTACGCTTACGGGCTTGGCTCTCGGACCGGACAACCGTGGCGGATGATCAATTTGACGTGGGCCGGATATGGGGATTATATTGTAAGCTTTTTGTAGTAAGGCCAACGCAAAACTTAGGGAAAAATTGGCGTGGATTTAGAATTTTTTGTCATGGTCCGTTAACAGCCAATTCCGACTATAAAAAAATCTATTAATTCGTGTTTTACCAGTTTGAAACTTTGAAAATAAAAACATTAACTTCTTAATCGTTTAATCTTTATGTATTAACCTCTTTCATGAAAAATCCGTTTTTGATTCCATTTTAGGAAGCATTCCCGAACTACGAGAACCCAGCCACGGCTGTTTGGCAAAGCCGAGGTGGCATTCAACCAACTGCAACCCCTAGATGCGGGTATCTCTCTCTATCTCTCACTCGCTCGCTCTCTCTCTCTCTCTCTCTCTCTCTCTCTCTCTCTCTTGCTCTCTCTCGCTCTCTCTCTCTCTCTTGCTCTCTCTCGCTCTCTCTCTCTCCATATCGATAACTTTTCAGATTCTCCGGAAAAAACTGCCCCACCAGTACCTGGGAGCAAAGTGGAGCCTATATCATCGCAGGATCAGTCATCGCCATTCTGCTACTACTCTGCTTTGTCGCTTTCATAATTTACATCATACGGTAAGCGTTATAAAATAACATCAAATATATAATAAAATATAAATATAATACATTATAGATCCTAAAAAATAATATAAAATAACTCGCCTATCTTTTAGCGAAAAGCGCAAGGAGCAGCGGCGCCTCGACTCGGAATGGCAGATTCCTTACCATTACTTGGAACGGACTGGGATGCGGGAGAGTCGGGTGAGTATCTCTCTCTCTCTCTCTCTTTCATTCTTTCGCGCTATTATCCAAATTCTTTAGATCGAGGAGAAAAGCATGCATTCGCTTCATTCCTCAAAATCTGGAGCTTCGAAATTTTCTGTTGGCAGCAAGGCCGAGACAGCCACTGGGGCTTATTTTATGTATTTAGGTAAGTTAAGGTATCAAAAAAAACGTCAAAACTTTGATTTTTAGGCGATCCCGTCTTTTGCTACAAATACAAACAGATCAACAAGTTGGCGCCGAGCGACTTTTCGGAATTTCGATTGGTAAGTTATGGAAAAACTTGAATTGCTGCTTGGACATATGCTTAGGCTTCGGATTAGGCTCAGGCTTAGGCCGAGACTTAAGTGTAGGATTAGATTTAGGCTTAGGCCTAGGCTTGACTTAAGCTTAGGCTTGGCCTTGCTTCACCATCCCTAAAAGTATCTTCTAGATGCGAAAACTAGAACATGACAACGTCCACCGCTTCATCGGCATCTGCCATGACCACACGCCGATGATGTCGGTGTGGAAGTATGCGAGTCGTGGGACTGTAGAGGTATGGCTATACCAGGGGAACCTACTGGAAATCATATTTTAGGACGTCATCGCCAAGGGCAATATCAATCTGGATGCCTATTTTGCCATCTCACTACTTCGAGATCTCGCCGAAGGGTTGAACTTCATCCACAAATCGTTCTTGGGTGTTCATGGGAATTTATGGCAAGTTAATCTAGTAAAAAAGGAAAAGAAAGTGTGAAAGCTTGAAACTTGCTGACACCTTGAATTCATTAAGAAACGCTATAACAAAAATCGAAAAATCGAATGAAAGTTTGACATTACTAGAGCTAGAAACGGCCGTAACGGGCCATTGAATCGAGTACATCATCGCAATTTCAGCTCCGCAACCTGCTGGATCGACGATCGCTGGCAGCTGAAAGTCAGTGGATTCGGATGCGCTACCCTCAGGCTGGGCGAGAAGGTATCCAAGAAAAGTAAGCTTTAACCTGAAATTATCGTAACTAACCGTTGTTAGGAATGTTGTACTATTCCCCGGAGATGCTAAGAACCCCTGGGTTGGCGCCGACCAAAGAATCTGATGTCTACGCAATGGCCATAATTTCCTCCGAGATTGTCACCAAGAAATCGGTCTACGATATGGACAACCGGAATGAGAAGGTTGAAGGTGAGGCGAGAGAGAGAGAGAGAGAGAAAGTGTGTGAGAGAGAGAAGGTGTTGGACATAGCAATACGTATCGTTTAGAAATCCTCTACCAAGTAAAACGCGGCAACCCAACGATCCCGATGCGCCCGCAGCTGAATATTCCGGAAGAAATCGAGCTTCACCCGGCCGCTGTGAGTTTAATTTGCTATAGCCAACAGTTCTATAGCTTCAATATATAATTTTATATTTAAACAATTCTAGCGTATAAATGCGTATAAGCGTTAAACCAGAAAATATTCAATAAATTGTAATAGAGCTCTATTTTTTCAGGTCCACATGATACGAGATTGTTGGTCGGAAGAAGCCGAATCGAGGCCATCGATTTCTACTGTTCGAACCATCATTAAATCAATGGTATGAGGAATTTAAGCCTGAGACGACAAAACGATAGCTTTAGACAGCACAAGATGGCGGTCAGCAAAATTTGATGGACCACGTCTTTAATTTGATGGAATCCTATGCGGAGACCTTGGAGAAAGAGGTAAGAGAGAGAGAGAGAGAGGGAGAGAGAGCGAGAGAGAGAGAGAGAGGGGAGAGAGAGAGAGAGAGAAAGAGGGAGAGAGCGAGAGAGAGGGGATAGGTCGAGCTCCTGAAACTACCAAAAATTTAGGTAGAAGATCGCATGGCCGAGCTTGTCGAGGAGAAAAAGAAGAGTGATATCCTGTTGTATCGAATGTTGCCAAAGTGGGTCTTAGAACTTTGATGCTGTTTTTAAGCAATTTTTTTATTAAAACTCGATATAAATAATTATTTTAGGCAAGCCGCCGACAAGCTAAAACTCGGCCAATCCGTCGAGCCCGAATCCTTCGACAGCGTCACAATATTCTTTTCCGACGTTGTGCAGTTTACGAATTTGGCCGCGAAATGTACTCCGCTACAGGTACGGTGCGCTCAGATATACGATAAAAGGGCAAGTTTTAGATTGTCAACCTACTTAACGATTTGTATACCACGTTTGATACAATCATCGAGCGGCATTCGGTTTATAAGGTGAGCTAACGATACTTTCAGAACTAAGCTAACTAATTAAAGGCTAAAAGAAACACAACGTCTTTAGGTGGAAACAATCGGTGACGGATACCTCTGCGTGTCCGGATTACCCCACCGGAATGGCATCCAGCACGTCAAAGAAATTTCCGAGATGTCGCTCGATTTTTTGAGGGCTGTACAGGTATCTAAAAATCAAAAAAAAAACTTCGTAATCACCATTTTTTAGCTTCATCGTATCCCTCATCTGCCGCAAGAACGGATAAATTTACGAATCGGGATGCACTCCGGATCTTGTGTCGCTGGAGTTGTAGGACTGGCAATGCCAAGGTATAGAATTTACACTAATTTTAATGACGTTCAATATTACCTACATTAGCTGCCCTAAAATGCTGCTAAAATACGCCTAAATTTTGGCCTGAAATCGTTAGTTTTCAAACGATTCTGCATGGTATCGACTTTTTCGCCGACTTTTTCCTGGCGCCAGCGCCCAACTCTGAAAAGCCCACCCAGCGCCCCCCTCTCCCGTCCTCCCATGTGGTCTAGTGGTTAGGATTCGTGGTTTTCACCCACGCGGCCCGGGTTCGATTCCCGGCATGGGAATTACGTTTTGCTTTTTGGAACCCAGCATTGTCCAACTGTAAGGATCACTTTTTACTGACCACTAGGCCCAGGTTTTTGCATCTTCGAAGTAGCTAGCCCTCTCAAGCATCTTTTTCAGGTACTGCCTCTTCGGGGATACGGTAAACACGGCTTCTCGCATGGAAAGTAATGGAAAACGTGAGTTCTAGAGCTTTCTGTAAGATTTGCTCTAATTTTAGCGGGTCGAATTCATATGTCTTCCGATGCCTACCACCTGCTATGCCGAGTTGGTGGCTACGAGACGGAGCCCAGGGGTGAAGTGATCATCAAGGTAAGCGGATTAACGGAAATAGGGCTATAACTGAAACCTTTTTCGATATAATTTGGAGCTTAATGGAATTACAGTAACCGGTTCAGGCCCGAATTAAAAATCTAAATATTGGACGTCCAAAAATAAAACTAGGAGCGTCACTTCATGCCTATAAATCGGCTTCCGAAAACCCGAGCCAGGTTATGCTCTAAATTTAGCGTTTCTGATTTATTTTGGAAGATTCTAGAAGTAATGATAGGTATTCCTGACCCTCGTTATTTTTGGACTGGTACGGAATACCTACAATTTTCCTTTGCTCCAAAAAGCGCCAGAAGTTTGCTTTGACCTCAGGTTTTTCGACTGAGGGTTACATTCAAAATCAAAGTTTTATCTTGAAGAAGATGAAAAGCAAAAAGGCAAAAAAACAACAATTTTTTAGGGCAAAGGCGTGATGGAGACGTTCTGGCTGGTGGGCCGCGGCAACATCGCGGCGTCGTCTGGCGCTGTCAGCCCGGACCCGCTACACGATCCAATCCAGAATCCGCTCGGAAATCGGGTGTTCCGCTCTCGCGAAGTGGCCCAACCAGCGACGAGAGGGCGCGATCAAACCCCACCAATGCAAGATGTCACCCGCTTGCAGACACCACATCTAAATGAGGTTCCCCCAACCTACGAGGAGGCGCGGTAGCCCCTCGGAGTTTGTACATATTGAATAAAGTTATATAAATGGTTTTTTGGGAGATTTTGTTACATTATATACTTTGCGTCACGTTTCTATAACGGTTATATAACGGTTTCCGTTTAAGTACAACGATTTGACGTGTTGCGAAGCGCGGAACGTCGCCCATGCCTGCTGTACCCAACGTGTATATATTGCGTGTAGCCTGGTCCTCTTCCGTTTATTTTTAGGTATCTATCACGCTAATTAACTTAGCTTTTGACTAGGTTTCCAGCTGTTACTGTGTTGCGTAAGGTGTAGCGCCGCGTAAGGTGTAGCGTAGTGTAGCGTAGGGCGGCTTAACCTGTGTAGTGTAAGGTGTAGCGTAATGTCGCGTAGCCCGAATTACATGTCGTGTATTTGCGGGGGACAGCATCAAATGAAATCTTTATTCAACGCCAAGCGAGGCGAAATCAGAAACTGATCCTGTCCAAGGGTAGCACACATATATAGCATTGTTACTCGTATTTTGTGTCGTCTGAGGTCAAATAACACGCGTCACAATTCACTGCTGCTGCTGCTCCGGGAATCGGATGCCGCCGCGTTCCAACTAAAGGAGCTTTATTCGTATTTCTACTAGGGTTTTCTAGACATCATTTAGATTTTTTCTACTACTTATCCAGTAAGGTACCACCTTTCATACCTGAATAAGGGAACCCTCAGCCGGGTCAACGCTTCCGTCCCCGCGGCCCTTGTTCATCGCCTGGAGCTTCTTCTCGAGTCGCGCCCGGCGGAAGGACCGCTGGTCGAAGCGGAGCGGCGTTCGCCTGGTCTCCGGCTCCGGCTGCTCCTCATCGGCCTGAGGCTCATCTACTCGGTTGTCGGCGACGAATGGCGTAGGGACTGGTGCGACTGGAATGATCAACTTTTACTGGGCTCTCTAACGTTTATATTCCTCCAAATTTCCGGGATCATTTAATGGATCTGCTAGATCCTACCCCTCTTCCATGTAGAACTCACCATTTTCCTGTTCCTCCTGTTCCTCCTTCTTCGGCCGTTCCATCCTGGCCGAGAAGCTCTGTACCGACACTCCCTCGGGCCCCATCTTGAAAGTGAACTGCTCCTGCGCCGGGGCCTTGCCGCCCTCCGGCTTGCGTCCCGGCTTTCCGCCTCGTCGGGGTCCCTGTCGCATAGCAGGCATCTCTCCCAAGTCAGTCAAAAGTCGCAGAAGGTCGGGGAGACCAGCATTCGGCATCTGGGGCATACCGGCAAACATAGGTGGTGGCGGAGGAGCAAAGGGATTTGGGCGCGGGCTGCGGTTCATCATCATGAACACCTTGGGCCCGTTTCCACGGCGCATGAATGGCATTGGGGGCATCATTGGCATCTGGTCGTCATCAGCATCCTGATCCATGCCTGGGAATCCCGGGAACGGCATCGGGGGTTGAGGTCGAGGGCCAGAGGGGCGGAAGCGACGTCCCTGTCGTCGGGGGCCATCTTGGGATGGGCCATCTGGGCCGAAAGGTGGTGGCATAGGTGCATCACCGGAAGGACCGAAGGGGAAGGGTCCGTCTGGTCGAGGTCCGGGTCCTGGCTGGAATCGGGGCCGACGTCCAGGTCCTGGTGAGAAGCGCGGTCGTGGTGGCATCATCGGTCCATCCGGAGCGGGTCCTGGGAAGGGACTATCAGGTCGAGGTCCAGGTCCGAACTGCGGCGGTATCGGGGCATCATCAGAGGGTCCAAACGGGAAGGGTCCATCTGGACGAGGTCCAGGGCCAGGCTGGAATCGGCGGGCTCCCGATCCGAACTGTGGTGGTGGCCTCATCGGTCCATCTTGAGAAGGTCCTGGGAAGGGTCCATCACGACGAGGTCCTGGCCCGAACTGGGGTGGCATCATTGGCCCATCACGGGAAGGTACTTGCTGGAACTGAGGCCCATCAGGTCGAGGTCCCTGTCCGAACATTGGCGGCATCGGCGCATCATCAGAAGGTCCGAACGGGAAGGGACCATCCGACTGTGGCCGGGGTCCAAATCCACGCTGTTCTCCATGCTCTCCACCACGAGGGCCAAATGGGAACGGGCCATCGGGACGAGGGCCAGGTCCTGGCTGGAAGCGGCGAGGTGCCATCCTTGGGCCATCTTGACCAGGTTGGAAACGTGGTCCATCCGGTCGGGGTCCTGGTCCGAACTGCGGTGGCATCAACGGACTATCTTGCGAGGGGCCATCAGGTCGGAACCGCGGGCCCTGAGCGCGAGGACCGAACCTTGGAGGCCTCATAGGGCCCTCCTGAGATGGACCATCGGGTCGTTGTCCCATCATTGGTGGTTCAAGGAAGGGAGCGTCACCCTGGGGCATCATTGGGCCGTTAGGTCCATTTCCAGGCCGAAAACCGCGAGGTCCATCAAAGTTCGGCTGGAAGTTCGGGCGCATCGGGCCGTTGTTCGTCTCCATCGGGCCGTTGCCTGGCATCTGTCTGGGAGACCTGCGCATAGGTCCCTCTTGGCCCATCGGAAAGCCCCGAGACGGCCCGTCACCACGCTGTCCCATCGGGAAGTCCTGCGAAGGTCCACCGAACGGAGATGGGAACGGCATCTGCGGTGCCTGCTCCCCCTCGAATGGTGCGTCGGCACGAGGGCCCTGGCCGAATCCGGGCAGCATTCCCATCGGTGAGCGTGGTGCCAGATGATCCATGCGACGGGATCCGAAGCGACTATTCTGGAATCCGGACTGCCGGCCCGGTCCCATGAACTCTCCGGCCTCGCGCTTGATGACTGGCAGCTTTCCGCGCATCATGTCGTCGGTGGGTTCCATTGGTGATCTGAAAAAGAGGTGTTATTTTAGGAGTCTAGTCTGCGCCTGGCTTAAGCGTGACCCTAAGCCCAGGCTTAGCCTCTACCTCGTCACCAACCTCACAAACCGCTGCGGCTGCGTCGTCTCCTTATTCATAATCGGCAGCTTCATCATCATGATCTCAGCCGGCGTTGGCTCCCGATCCATCGGGAATGGCATGTTCGTCGCCTCGGGCCCAGATTCCCGCCTTTGCATCCTCCTGCCATGCTGCTGCCGCATAGCCATCAAGGCTCGCTCGATCCTCGAATACTCGTGATCGTCGTTGTCGTTAAAGGCCATTGGGGGCATCTGGTTCCCCTGGAAGTTCTGGACGTTCTGCCTCTTGCCGAACATCTTCATGAAGCGGCGCGGCTCGTTGGGGTTGGGCGACGAGTTCGGGGCTTGAGGGGCGGATCTGGAAGGTATTTTTAAGGTCCGAAAGACCAAAGGGTGCTTACGGCATGACGGCTTCAAAGATTGGCTCCTGGAGCGGGAAGGGCTGGTTGCCTTGGGGGAGCTTGTAGTCGAAGTTCCTGGCGTAGGGACCCTCCTGGCCACGCTCCATCTCGTAGGGGTTGAAGCCGGGCATCTGGTTTTGTGGAGGTCCTGGAAGGGAGATGGGTTTTAGGAAGGAGAGAGAGAGAGAGAGAGAGAGAGAGAGAGAGAGAGAGCGCGCGATAGAGAGTGAGCGAGTGAGACAGAGAGAGAGAAAGAGAGAGCGAGAGAGAGAGAGAGAGAGAACGAGGGAGAGAGAACGAGGGCAAGGTGTTCACCTTGGAATCCTTGCTGGTTTCCTCCGAAACGACCATGATGATGACGGCCAGGTCCACCATGTCCGTGTCTTCTGGGGCCCATCGACATTGGTCCTGAAATGGCAATATTGTGCATGAGGTGCTAGATGGAGGCGGAGAGAGCGAGAAAGAGAGACGAAAGAGAGGGAGAGAGAGAGAGAGAGAGAGAGAGAGAGGGAAAGAGGGCGAGAGATAGTGAGAAAGAGAGACCGAGCTAGACCTACCTTGATTCATCTGCCCAGGTCCCATCTGCTGGCCCATGCTCATAGGTCCCATTCCTATCGGCCCCATTGGCATGGCTCCTGAATTTTGTCTGTTAGTATCGTAGCGTAGCGTATTACCGTATTTACAGGTTGCTCTAAGTATCTAGTCAAGTAAAACTCCATACCTTGTCCAATCGGTGGCTGTCCCATAGGTCCCATTCCCATAGGGCCGATCCCCTCCGGTCCCATCTGGCCCATCGGCATGGCTCCTGAAAATGAAGGTAAGAAATAATGTTAGTTCGTAATCGTATTTGTTACCATATCCTTGCTACATTTTGGTATGTCTACTGTATGTTACCGTACCTTGTCCCATCGGTGCCCCTCTATAGCCCATCATCGAATCCGGTCCGAACTCTTGGCGTTTCTCGCGGCGGTTGAAGCCTCCGAGGCCGTTGCGCTGCATCGGGAACGAGAAGACGTGCGCCTGAAAATCTCGGTTTTTCGTAAAGGGTTTCTGGTTGCTGGCCTAGCTTATATAATGTTCTGGATTTTTGATTTTACAAACTTAAGACAAATTTTTTTACTTTTTACCTCATCAAACATTGGCTGATCCACGGAATCCGTCCAGTCATCGTCCATATAGTCGAATGGGGTGGCTTCGCGGGGGACTCTGGAATTTCAGAGTGATTTTAAGCAAGCTATCAATTATAACTTGTGAATCTATTAAAAATATACATCAAATCATAAAACACAAATCATAAAATATACACAACCTATAAAATCTTCATTTTGTACTGTTCTCAATGTAATATTTTAGGTTACCTCTTCTTCTCTCCCACCGGCTTCTCCTTCTTTGGCCTCATCGGGTCACGGCCGCATTTTTTGCCTAAATAAAGTTTTTAGATATTTCAAGAGGTAAATATATCGTAATTTTATCCGGTTACCTTAATCCACTGACCTTTACATTCTCCCTTCCCTCTTCTGTCAAAAGAATCATTAAGCGAGTTGTAGTTTCCGCCCTTATCTCCGCGACCTCCCTAAAAAGTGCGGTGATACAGATTACGAGGATTACGGTACCTGGGCAAATTTATCGACCTTAGAGGCGTCTTTGAGTCCCCCGTGAAACTGGGCCAGTGCGACCCCCGCGAGGAGGGCACACAGAAGCTTGGAAATCATGCCTGTGGAAAAGCGAATAGGGAAGGTGAGAGAGAGAGAGAGAGCGAGAGAGAGAGAGAGAGAGAGAGAGAGAGAGAGAGAGAGAGAAAGTGAGCAGGCCAGGGAGCATGAGTGCACGCGGGCGGATAGAGATATAGAGGGCAGGGATGGTTGAAAAAGCGTTTTTTTTAGGATTTTCTTTAAATAAAAAAGCGTGAAATTTCACAATTACTGCTGCTCCTGCTCGATATCTAGTCGAAAAACTTCTAATTTGTGCGCGAAAAAATACGAAAAAGTTATCGGGAGCTAAAAATTATGGTAGAAGAATCAAAAAGAAACCGATAAAATATAATAAGCACTGCAGTAGGCCACAAATGTCCAGAAGAGCTCGAAGAGCTGTATGTTCTAAAATTACCAGTTCTCGAAAAGTAATGTGTCTAACCCTCGGGCGATCCCTCGTTATATACGATCCTTGGAGAGCCCGGGGGGTCTGATGCGTATTTGCGCAAAAGTGAGGGCCGATGTGGGTGCTGGGTGGATCGCCCGAGGCGCGGATTTCTTTTTCCGTCTTTCCCCACCGTTTTCTTGGACCCAGCAGAGGGCCCAAAAAATGGGCTCGTGAATCGCTTCCTAGTACTGTCAACAGATAGGGTCGCGTGGCCGACGGGGCGCACTTTTTCGTCTGCGCACTCTCTCTCACTCTCTCTCCCTCTCTCTCTCTATCTCTCGCTCCCTCTCTCGCTCTCGCTCCCTCTCTCTCGCCCTCGATCGTTCTGGGCCCCACCAACTTTCAGAATACCTTAACAAACACCCCCCTAGGGCCCAAAAACGGGTTCAACACACTTCCGCTATGGTCCCCAGGTGACCCCGGTGCTGAACATTGTGCGTCTGGGGAGCATCAAATAATGTGCTGCACTGTGGTGTCCGATCAGATCTGGAAGTCGTCTTGGGAAACCTCACTTTCTGGAAACAATTCTGAATTCTGGTTTGATTCCGGTTTACGGTATTCGTCCAAAAAGCGGTTTTTTTGTAGTCAAATCGATACATAAAAGTCAGAAACCGACGAAGATTATCTTTGAGAGATTTCTGAAAAACTTTATTTGTTCCGAATTTCAGGCTCTATCGAGTGAGCTATGTCACATAAGTAATTGACAGGATTATAACTAGAGAATATTTTATGCGCACTTAAAAAAATTGTTCTTCCCGATTTTATCGATTTATCCGCTCGGGAATTGCGGGATGTATCTCACAAGGAGGCTCCTTTGGAGTTCTGCGACCCGTCGTAGCTCATCCTGGAAAGCCTGCAATTCTAAAAAATCATGTTTTAAAAACTGTTGAATGATAAAAGTCATCGAGAAAAGTTCGTAAAGCTTCATTTTTGCTCAACGCTGGACACACAAGAGCAACATAGACCCTTCAAGATCAAATTTTCTTTCTACATGCGTTTTACCTATACCCTAGGCAGGGATTTCATCAGATGGAAGGCACCAACCTCGGGCATCTACATCGGACTTCGACATCGCTATCTGTCCCTGAAAGCTGCGCTCACGAAAAGTGCCTTTTGCTTGTTTTTCTCAACCTTCAGTCCGGGGGGGGGGGGGGGGACCTTGACGTTTCGGCCAGCGAGATTTTCGCCCTGTCCCTGTAAAATTCGTTTGTTTCATGCTTCTAATAGTCATAAAAATGGTTTTCTGACAACTATTTAGCCATTTCAGAAGAAATCACAAAGTTAGATGGCTTTTTGTCCAAATACCAAGAAAAAAAACGCCGTACGATGCGCAAACCGCCCTCCCGCATCGTTATTTCTGCTCTACTAGGTTTTACTTACTTTAATTCCTTTTATTTATACCAAAAATATCAAGAAAATTTGTTATTTGTAGGGTTTTATATTTCTTAATCCCAAATTAGCGGAAATGTCGCTGCCGGAAACGTTATAGTCCGTTTCGAACCACTACATTTGAAGCCTTTCGCCGCACACCCATTTTTTTTCTTTATTTCCCGTTCTCTTAAATGATTTTCTATTTCTAACCTGCCAAAACTATTCCCGAAATACAATATTTCTTTCCAGGAGGCCACCCGATGCTGCTCAAATGTTTCAACTGCACGAAATGCGACAAGCCGTTTGATTGCAAGGAGGGCGCGCCCAATTCGCCCATCATCCAGAGCACCGAGTGCGCCGAATGCGCGCCCGGCGCGAACCATGTGGCGCTGATGAAGTTCCTCGACCAGCCGGCCTTCACCAAAACGGACGAGGGATACGTCTGCAGCGGCGAGGTGATGATCCCCATCTGCGTGCAGTGTAAATACAAGCAATCCGGCGCGACGAGGCCCGTTTATGCCAATTGCGGCCATGTCACCTGCAATGAATGCAGCACTGAGGAGCAAGTCTGTTGGGAGTGCGGTGTGAAAATCGAGATCACCTACTGGTTCGACCCGCTGCTCGACTTTTTCGATGAGCTGGCCGAGCAGGCTATCGCTGAAGAGGCCGCTGGAAGGAATGATCGGGCCTGCGCGGCATGCAACATCAGCCGCCCTGTCGAACGCCTCTTCAGCTGCATCGACTGCGCGACTCTGATCTGCGGCGTTTGCCAATTCCATCAGCATCGCCAGCACAATATCAATCCATTGCTGGGGATCGAGCTGACCAAGTTGAAGACCGGCGCTGGCGAGCGCTACAATGACAAGTTGAGCGGCCTGCAAAGGAATCTGAAATTTCTTCACAAAGAAGTCGAGGAATCTATTGCGAAGGTGATCGCTGTTGGCACGAAGCGTCTGAAAGAGGTGGACGACCAGGAGACGTTTGTGGCTGCCAAGAAAATCGCTACCGAAGTCGATGTGGCCTCCGAGGAGTTCGAGCAGTATTGCGAGCAGTACATTCCGGTCGCCCGCGTCTTCAACGAGAACCTCACCAAGCTGAGCGAGAAACTGAATGGGCCCGCTAAGGATTAAGTGTTATTATATTAGCAATAATTACTCGCATGCATCCCTCTGTGATTTGTGGATATGTTTTCTGTGCTTGGTGTTCTCCATTACTCGATATGTATGGCTATTAACTAATAAACTTTTTCAGGCGCCGATAGATGCTGCTCAAGTGCTTCAACTGTACAAAATGTGGCAAGCCGTTTGATTGCAAGGAGGGAATGCCCAACACGCCCATCTCCGGAGACACCGAGTGCGCGGCCTGTAACGAGGGAACTATGCCATTCTTGGCCCTGATGAAGTTCCTCGACCAGCCAGGCTTCGTGAAGACCGCCGACGGCTACCTTTACAAGGGTGGGGTGGTCGTTCCGCATTGTATCCGGTGCAAATCTACGCAAACCAGTCTGACGAAGGCCGCGTATTTTCATTGCGGTCACGTGTTCTGTAATGAATGTTGCAAGGAGGAGTGCCTTGCATGCGGGGCTAAGGTGGAGGAGAACTCGTACTGGTTCGACCACCTCATGAGATTTTTCGATGCGTTGCTCGACAGAACGATGGCGGAAGAAACTGCTCGTACGGCCGATCCTACTTGTGCCGATTGCAACATCAGCCAACCTGTGGAGCGCCTGTTCAGCTGTACGGACTGCAACAAATGGATCTGCGGTGTTTGCCTTTACCACCAGCACCGCGAACATACCGTCACTCCATTACTGGGGGTCGAGTTGACCAAGTTGAAGACCGGCGCTGGCGAGCGCTACAATGAGAAGTTGAGCGGCCTGCAAAACAATCTGAAATTTCTCCACAAGGAAGTCGAGGAATCTATCGCGAAGGTGATCGCTGTTGGCACCAAGCGTCTGAACGAGGTGGACGGCCAGGAAATTTTTGTCGCTGCCAAGAAAATCGCTACCGAAGTCGATGTGGCCTCCGACGAGTTCGAGCAGTATTGCGAGCAGTACATTCCGGTCGCCCGCGTCTTCAACGAGAACCTCACCAAGCTGAGCGAGAAACTGGAAGGGGCCTCTAAGGATTAAGTGTTATTGTGTTAGCAATAATTACTCGCTTGCATCGTTTTCTGTGATTTCTAGAGACGTTTTGTGTTCTGTGTTCTCCATTAATCGATTGGTGCATGTATGGCCGTTAACTAATAAACCCTTTTCAGGCCTCGGTAGATGCTGCTCAAGTGCTTCAACTGTACGGAATGCGACAGGCCGTTTGATTGCAAGGAGGGAATGCCGAACACGCCGATTCCCGGAACCAGTGTGTGCGCTGCATGTACGGAGAGCACCTCGGCATTTTCCGCCCTGCTGCAGCTCCTGAACCAGCCGGCATTCAAAAAGATCGATGATGGTTACGTGTACAACGGAGATGCGGTCTTCCCGAACTGTGCACATTGCAACTATACGATGACGGCTGCTGCCCGTCCTATCTACTTTCTTTGCGGTCATGTAGCATGCCATGCATGTTACGATGAGACGACCAATTGCCCAACATGTGACGTCCCCGTGGGCACCGCGTACTGGTTTCATCCGCTGCTCCAGTTTTTTGACGAACTGGCTAAACAGTCTATGGCTTCCAAAACGGCTGTGAAGGAGGATCTGAATTGCGCCGATTGCAACATCAGCCAGCCGGTGGAGCGACTGCTGAGTTGCGTCAACTGCAATACGCTGGTCTGCGGGATTTGCCAATTCCATCAGCATCGCGAGCATAACGTGACGCCGTTGTTGGGAATCGAGTTGGCCAAATTGAAGACGGGCACCGGCGAGCGTTACGATGCGAAATTGAGCGGCCTCCATAAGAATCTGACATTCCTCCACCAGGAAGTCGAGAAATCCATTGTGAAGGTGATTGAAATCGGGAATCGGCGTCTGCAAGAAGTGGACCACCAAACGAGGTTCATTTCCGCGAAGAACATCGCCACCGAAGTCGACGTGGCCTCGAACGAGTTCGAGCAGCATTGTGAGGAGTACATTCCGGCCGCCCGCGTCTTCAATGAGAAATTGACCAAGCTTGGGGAGAAGCTTGAAGGACCCGCTAAGAATTAAAAGCCATTATGTTAGCAATAATTACTCGCTTGTATCGCCATTGTGATTTGTAGATATGTCCTGTGTTTTGTGTTCTCCATTACTCGATTCGTGCATGTATGGCAATTAACTAATAAACATTTTTCAGGCCCCGGTAGATGCTCATCACTTACTTCAACTGTGCGAAATGCGACAACCCGTTTGATTGCAAGGATGGCATGCCGCACACTCCTGTCGCTGGCACTTTGGAATGCGCCGCTTGTCGCCCGAAAACCGCTACATCTTGGGGTCTGATCAAGTTCCTCGATCAGCCGGGCTTCACGAAAACGAAGGATGGATACGTTTCCGACGGGCCGCTTGTGCTGCCCAAATGTGGCGAATGCAAGACCACTCTGTTGAGCGCCACCAATCCCTCCCTATTGAACTGTGGGCATTTGCTCTGCGATCGTTGTGACAAGCGAAAAAATTGCATCGAGTGCGGCAACGAGATCACCAAGCGTTTCTTTTTCACGGCTGTGATGAAATTCATTGATGGGCTCGCTGAAGAAACGCTGACTCGAAGGACGGATGGAAAAGAAACCCTGAGAAAATGCCTAGATTGCGCCATCGATCAGCCTGTTGAGCGCACGTTCAACTGTAGCGATTGTACGAAGCTGGTTTGTGGAGTCTGCTGCGTGAATCGCCATCGCGATCATTCTGTCAGCCCGCTGCTGGGCATTGAACTCACAAAGTTGAAAGCCAATACCCTTCACCGTCACGATGAGAAGCTGAATGGGCTTCACAAAAATCTGACGTTCCTTCACCAGGAAGTGGAGAAGTCGATTACGAGGGTCATCAGCATCGGGCACAAGCGGCTAAACGAGATCGAGGCACAGCAAAAATTCGCTGCAGCCCGGGACATTGCTGCGGACGTCGAGGTTGCGTCGGGCGAATTTGAGCATCATTGTGAAGATTACATCCCGGCGGCCCGCATTTTTAACGAGAAACTTACCCAGCTCGCAGAGCTACTCGAGGGAGCCAAAATTAACTAATTAATTCTATGCCCATTACTGTTTAATTGCTCCCTTGGTGTATTCGATTTGATCGCCTTATTTTTCCCCGTTTTCCCTGTGCAGTTTCTCCTATGTGCAATGAGTCTTGCGAACAAACTAATAAACTTTTTTCAGGAGGTCATCCGATGCTGCTCGAATGTTTCAACTGCGCGAGATGCGACAAGCCGTTTGATTGCAAGGAGGGAATGCCCAACACGCCGGTTGTTGAAGGGGATTGCGCCTCTTGCAGTCCGAACACGACTCCATTGTGGGGTCTAATCAAGTTTCTCGATCAGCCAGGATTCACGAAGACTGATGAGGGTTATGTCTGCAATGGCACGATTTTGATTCCCAAATGTGCAGCCTGCGAAGTCCTGTTGACCGCAGGCCAAAGGCCCACTGTTTTATGTTGCGGTCATCTGGTGTGTGATAACTGCGACCGCAAGAGCCAAGTGTGTCCTGACTGCGGCGGCCCTAGTGGCGGGAGGGAGTGGTTCTTCTCGCTGACGTCATTCTTTGAAACTTTGGTTGAAGATAGCCTTTTAATGAAGGAAGAGTCAGCGGCAGATCGAAATGCCGGCGTTCTGAGATGCTGCGCTGATTGCGAGATCGAACAGACGGTGGAGCGTTTATTCAGCTGCATTGACTGTACCACACTTGTGTGTGGCGTCTGTTACTTCCACCGTCACCGAGAACATTCTGTCGCCCCGCTGCTAGGCATTGAACTGACAAAATTGAAGGCGGATGCGCGTAATCGGCACGATGATAAATTGAATGGGCTTCAAAAGAATCTGAAATTCCTACACCAAGAAGTGGAGAAGTCGATTACGGACGTGATCACCATTGGACAGAACCGCTTGCAAGAGATCGACGGGCAAGAGCAATTTTCCAAGGCCAGGCGCATCGCTTCGGAAGTCGACAGTGCAACAGATGAGTTTGAGAAGTATTTCGAGGAATATGTCCCGATCGCTCGCGTCTTCAACGAGAAACTTACCCAACTGGGCGAGAAGCTGCAATCGGCTCGCGCGGAATAAAGATATCTTCGAATTCCTTTGTTGAAAATTTTTGTAATTTCTATGTTGCGTTGGATAAAATTGTTGCATAAGTTTGCAAAGTTTTCACGCAGGGCTAGACGCCGAAGCCACATTTTTTATTTAGTTTTGTTTTCAGGACAAACGGCAAAATGGATTTAGTTTCAGCTGTTTCGCTCTGCATTCTTTATTGCCAGCAACGCATCCCCGCATTCTCTCTGCGCCTATTGCTCTTGCGCGCTCTCTTGGCTTCGCGTTCCCACATGTTTGTTGCTGGGGGCTCCCCTCTTTCCCGGGCGTTTTCCCGCGCATTGGAACCCAAAGGACGGTCCCTGCCTCGACTCTAGCTGCCCGCCAAATTCGGACTCTTTATTATATATGTTTTCATTATCTTGTCCACTTTATTGACTAATGATCTATATTTCATTTCCAGAGCGACGCGGCTGCTCACCGGGCTAGTTCAGCGATTGTCATTAGGCAGCTTGCTCCTGGAGATGGCCACCAAATTCTCCGCCGACTACGCCAAGCGTGTCTCGGCCTGCAAGAAATGCAAGCTGCAACTGCCGAAAGGGGTAAGTGACGGAATTTGTGACTTTTATAGTATTCGTCTCAGGAGCTCCGAATTGCCAAGCACACGCCGAATCCATTTGTACAAAATGCCGAGGGCCCGCCGCCGGATATGAAACAGTAATAAAACGATTACTTTGTAAATTTACGGATTTTCAGATACTATCATGCGAGATGCTTGTTCGAGATGTTCATGAAGGCTCGCGCTACGACCAAGGTGATCGAGGGCCCTGGCGATATTGAAGGTATTTAGGTTTTGTTTTAGGGATGTATTTTTGGCTTAGGTTGGCAGGACGTTACCGACGAGGACAAGGAAAAGGTTGTCGAGTTGATTGACGAAACGATGCAGGCGCGCGAGAAAGGCGCCTCTACTTCCGCGAGTCGAAAATCCGTTCAGAAAACCCTGAATTTTGGCCAAAAGGTTCGGATTTTATGTAGTTACTTTACAAAAAGAACCTTAGCCCCTGAAAGAACCGGACGAGGACGGCGCCGATGAGAATGCGGAAACGTCTCCGAGCAAAAAGGGCAAGAAACAAGCTAAAGAAGAGGAGAAGGAAGAGGAAGATGACGGGGACAAGCCCGATGAAACTAGCCGCTTCAACTCGTTTGATAAGGTAAATCAGAAAAATAAGTTTTTTGATGAATTTGTAGTTCTGCAAACTGTGCGACGTCATCGCCACCTTCAACAAGCACACAGATAAGGCGGCAAAAATTCGCCAGTTCTTTGACAAAAGTGGCTACGACGGCGACACGCATACGATCATGCGGTTTCTGATCCCGAGCAGCGACCAGCGAGTCTACAATTTGAAGGAGAAGCAGCTGCTCAAGCATTTTTCCGCTGTACGCTAATCCTGCGATTTCGAGCTAACTTGTTTTTAGATTTACAACGAGCCCCTCGATCGTCTGACGGCCAGCTACAACAAGAGCGGCGACCTCTCGGAGACGATCAGCGAAGTAGCGGCCAAAAGCGACAAATTCCCCGAAATCACGAATAGTGGATGGAGCATTCAAAAGGTTCGAAAAAACACTTTTTAAAAACCGATTTTTAGGTGGATCGCTATCTGAAGAAGCTGGCTGAGAAAACGAAAGACGAGGACCAAGTCGAGCATCTGCGCTTTATCGCTAAACGGCTGTCATCGGCCGAGATCAAATATCTACTGCGACTGGTGAAGAAGGACATGCGTTTCAACGCCGGAACCAAGGTCATCATGGACGGCCTGCACCCGAAAGCCTATGAAGCCTATCAGAGCTGCCGGTGCGTTAATTTTAATTTTATCGAGAACAATTGAATTTTAGTGACATGCGCGAGATTGTGCGGCGCGTCGAGACCGGGTTGCTCAGCTCGAAGACGCTCGACGTCGACATCAGCCTCGGCACCCCGATATTGCCCATGCTCGTGAGTTTTTACTTTATCTATGTTGTATTCATTTTTCTAGGCGGAAGCCTGTAAATCGGTCGAATTTGCGATGAAGCGCTGCCCCAACGGCATGCTGGCCGAGATCAAGTATGATGGAGAACGAGTGCAGGTTCACAAAAAGGTACAATTTGTGCATTTTTTTAGATTGATCATATTTTTTTTCAGGGCAAGGAATTTTCCTTCTACTCCCGGTCGTTGAAACCGGTGCAAGATCACAAGGTGGCGCCGTTCCAGAAAATCATTGCCAAGGCGTTCCCCGACGTTGAAAACCTGATTCTCGACGCGGAAGTGCTGATGGTGGACACTGAAACGAGTAAGTTTGCTAGATAATTGTTCGTTGAAAGCTGACATTTTGTTCACAATCTTTTTGAAAAATTTATGATTTGCAGGCAAGCCACTCCCGTTCGGCACCCTCGGCATCCACAAGCGCGAAAATTTCAAGAATGCTGCCCCCTGCCTGTTCGTCTTTGACTGTCTTCTGCACAACGACACGGCCGTCAGGAATCTGTAGGTTTAGCGTTGAAAATTATATTTGAGATATTATGAATTTGAAGAATATATTTTTAGCCCCCTCCAACAGCGCAAAAAGTTCCTCGAGGACAACCTGAAAGAGATCCCGAACAGCATCATGCACAGCAACTATCAAGTCATCAAGAATGGGGTAAGACAGTTTTGGCAAGCAAAAAAAAATCCAAATTTTTTAGGAAAATCACAAGCTGAAGACGATGATCCTCGACGCGATCGATGAGGGGCTTGAGGGGCTGGTGATGAAGGTAATTATGACCTTGATTTATAATTTGTCCCTTTCATCGGGGTTCAAAATCTTTCTAAAAAATTTCTTGTTTAAACTGGCATTATTTTACGCTTTTATCACTATTCCTAAACGTAAAAACTTACAAATGCTATTAAGACAAAAATATCAATTTTGTAAAACGTTTTGTGTGGTTTTTCGACTCTATCGCTAAATTTTACTAAAAATAAAAGAACAGGACATTATAGGCGCAACCAGAGTTGCAGAAAAAAATTACGCTTCCTCGAATGTCCAAAAAACCTCTAATTCCCATTTTCAGGATCTCAACGGCGTCTACGAGCCGGGCAAACGGCATTGGCTGAAGGTGAAGAAGGACTATCTGGAAGAGGGCGGCATGGCCGACACGGCCGACCTGATCGTCCTCGGCGCCTACTACGGCACCGGCAATAAAGGTACGGTTTTTTATATCATGCTTCCAGTATTTTCTAGGCGGCCTGATGTCCGTTTTCCTGATGGGCGTCTACTGCGAGAAGACCAAGTCCTACCGCACGGTCACCAAGTGCGGCAACGGGCACACCGACGAGATACTGGAGCGGATAAACAAGGAGCTGAAGCCGAAGGTAATTTTTGGCAATTTTGGATGAAGTTCTGTTTTTTTTTAGATGAAACAAATCAACCAGAAGGCGAGCAAGCTGCCCAGCTGGATCCGATGCGCCAGCGGACTGTGCCCAGATTTTGTCATCGAGGACCCCGAGCAGGCGCCGGTTTGGGAGATTACCGGTTCGTAAAAGCGTAATTTCTTGAATTCCTAGGCTCTAGTTCATTAGCGGGGTGGAAGCTGTTTTCCTTTATACAGCCTCGCCTTAATAATAATCAAACCTAAGTGGCTGTGACTAAAAAGATTATAAAAATGCTCAGATTTTTGATTTAACTTAAAAAATCAAAATTGATTAAGTGAAGGGATTTGATAGTTTTTAGTTTTTATTTTTGTGGTTGAAAATGGCAGCAAATCCGGTTTATATACTTACGGAAAGCTGGTCCCTACCAAGCCCCCCCCCGCTAGTAAACCAGTTCCGATTGCTGTTTAGGCGCCGAATTCTCGAAATCGGACAAACACACCGCCGACGGCATCTCCATCCGCTTCCCGCGCGTCACCCGAATTCGCGACGATAAGGACGTCAGCACGTCGACGTCGCTGAAGGAGCTGAAGCGGCTCTTTGAAGCCTCCAAAGAAAAGTGTGACATCGAACGGGACGCCACCGACAAGGTGCCGCTCTACGCCAAGGACCGGATGTCGCTTGGGAAAGCCATGCACGAGCCCGAGGTATGAATTTACTCTTGTAAATTTCAAAATTGTTCTTAGGATGTAAAACCCGAGACCTCGAAGGCCGAGGAAGACGTGAAGCCGTCGAAGAAGCGGAGCGCACTATCTGAAGTCGTTAGTTTCTTTCAGATTTGGATTTCTCTCTTTTTAGAACACCAGCCCGAAGGCGAAGAAGGTGAAGCCGGAAGCAAAGGAGGAAGAAGCGGATGATGTGGAGATGAAGCCTGAAACTGCAAAAGACGATGACGAGGATAAGGAGCAGATCAAGGAGAAAAAGACGAAAACGAAGGAAGCGAGCTCCCAGAAAGCCGGCGAGAAGCAGAAATGCCCGTAAGTTTTTCTGTTTTAGCGTTTTCGTTTACGGCTAATCAAGTTAAAAACTTGTTTTTAGATACGGCTCGCTCTGCTATCGCACCAAGAACAAGGAGCACATGGCCGAGTACGAGCATATCACGAAGAAATAGATCTCAATCTGTCCCCCAGTTTTGTAATTTACTTTTTACTCCCCGCGGTCCCAGCTTTACACTCGTTGTTCTCCCACCAGAAGTAGCATACGGTGTTCTATATTCACATTTTTATGACCCATTTGATTTCCATTAGCAAACATCCGGTTTTGAGTTGTATTCGCTAAATCCCCCTTCGATTGTGCGTGTCTCTTTTCCGGGCCCTACCTCATGCACGCTACAATTTCCCCCACACACACACACGCCCACACATTGCGATGCAAACAATTTTACTTGACGATTCAGAATAAAGTTCTTGTCCTTGAAGAAAGTACTGAAAAACGTGGAAAATCGCAAAAAATACAGACAAACTGGTTGAGTACGTTTCTGTACGCTTGACGTTGGGCGTCATTTGATGTAGAGCGTTCTGACAGCTTTCGAAAATAAAATCAAACGACGGAAGAATTTAACTATTTTTATTTAATCTGTATTAAACTTTATTACTATTTTCCAAACGAGATCTAACCTTTTTCTTTTCAGTCCGGCATGTCTGGAGCGTCTTGGTCGGTGCCGCGCAACTACACATATTGTGGCCCAGACTTGCGCGCAATCCCAGCAGTCGCACTGACATCTGTAAATTTTCTAGCTCTTTAAATTGGGTTTTGAGCTACTTTATACGTCTTTATTATGTTTTTTCTAGTTCTGCCGTCTCGCCCACTCGTTCAAGACCAAGGGCCAGCCAATTGCCGACTACGGCCTCAACCGCATGCTGCAGTCCGTCCAGCAGCAAATCGACGGCATCATGTACGCTGCAGGTTTTTAATTGATCAGAACTCTATGTAATTTCATTTTTAGTCACTGGCCACGACCCGTGCTCTGCCCGCCAACTCTTCGACGACTGCCTCCACATCGCCAAAAAGGCCCACCGGCTCACCACCAACGTTCGCGTAAGTTTTTTTAGGTTTTTCTATTGCCGTTATTTTTAGGATTTCTTCAAACGACTGCCGCGCGAGATCCAAGAAGAGCACATCTACGGCCAGCAAGTCGAGTCCGAGACGATCGCCCTCAGCTGTCTTGCCGCCCTCGACGACCAGGCCGATGGGAACATTCACCATTTCCGCTTCAAGGCCGACCAATGGAACCCGGAGGTGGCCCTCATCCAGGACGACTTCACCAAGCTGCGCAGAGCGGTCAGTTTTTGCCTAGTTTATTTTTCTTCGGAGACCCTTTTGCTTAATATTTTTTTTTGGAAGGTTGGCTGGGAAAATCAAGCTTTTCTTATGGTTCTCAGTATGGCAAAAATAGGGCTTGCATTTATATATTGTTTCCAATATTTTAAACGTGAGAAAATCATAAATTTTTGGATTAAAAACAGGAAATATTAGTTTTGGACCTAAATGAACCTTTTGTCCAAAATTTCGCAATTTCGGGCCTAGGTTTTTTTTTAATTGCTTCTTCTTTTCGAATGGCTAAAATTCACTTAAATATTATTAACCGGTTATTTCCACTTTTTCCAGGCGCTGAGCAGCGAGCGGATACACGAGACGCAGCTGAAGATCGAAGAATACACCCACGAGATCACCAAGTCGTGCCAGCTCTTCTTGATGGCCATCGAGGACACGGCCGCCCGGCAATTCCCCGAATCTTTCCAGGCCTACGGCGCCGGCGAGAAAACTGCCTAATTTCCCGGCTCTCATTATTGTGTTTCGGTAACATTTCCCCCTCATACTTTAACGCACTTACTAGTTGTTCGCGTCTCTGTGTGTATATTTGTTGATTGTTCTTGTTTTTTTTGCCTTCGCCTTGTGCTCTCGATATTACGAGTATATTTTCTGGCATCACGGGTCCTCTGTTCATTGCTCAATGTTGCTTTTCACTAACTGCTATGTTGTTGGTAGTTTGAATGAATTATTTACAGTCCTGTTTTTTCGTCCTTCACTAGTTTCCTTCCGCTGCAATTTCAACAAGCTGGAAATCGCGTCATTTGACTGCTCGGAGAGGTCGGTAGCCCAATTTTTGATGACCATACAATTTCCAGGCTGACATTAGCAATTCTGCGAAGCTTCAAAGCCCTTGGCAACATGCCGCGATGGCCCGAACATATTTCGCGGCGCCCCTGCGAGATTTATGGCCCGAATTCGGGGCCAGGTTGTCGTGCCGTGGCCAAATTTAGGCCCCGGCCGAGGCGTGGGCTTAACTTTATGGCGTTTGAGGGATTGATAGATGGGCGGCGTTTTCGATACGTGCCCTTTTTGATAGAGAACGGAAACTATGGGCGTAGAGATCCCCTATTTTTCAAGGAGCAACAACTTTTTTAGGCCAAAAAAAGGTCCGGTTCTGTTTTCAGCAGCCAGAGCATCCGTTTTGTCGTAAAGTAAGGGTACGTCAGCATGGCCAGCTTCTGAAAATGGCAATTTTTAGGCCAGTGTAACCTAAAATCTGGGATAATGGGCGCCCCTAGCGCCATCCCTAACTTGCAATTACTCGCTAGCGAGCCCAGCCGACTAATGAAAGGCTTCTAGCTTGGGCGTTTGCCGACAAGTTTGCTCGTTTTCAATTTAGCTTTATATAGCTCTCGGTGGGGTTATGAGTTTTTTAAATCATTAAATAATCTTAGCTCATCATAAGCAATTTTCAGACGGCGAATTTCCTTCGAACTCTTCGAAATCCGGGCGTGCAAAAAGCTGACCCGTGCCCAGCCAACCTGCCAAATAACCGTGAGAATTTTGCATATTTTTCAAGCGAGTCTTTGGAATCAGCTCTGGCGGTAGGTTGGGGTTTGAGCTACTGAATGGGGTTTCCGGGTTCCCGCGATCTTCCCACTGAAATTATTAATATCGTAGATTGTTGGCTACGTTTTAGCTAGGTACCTTTTGAAAATGATGCAATTAGTCTAAAACTGTAGCTAGTTTTTGAATCTTCAGGCTTCCGCCTTTAAAGGCGGAGTGCAGTTCAGGATTTGGACGTGCGTTTTTGCTTAGGGTTTTCAAGCCCTAATTCAGCTAGAATGCGTAAGACAACGTCAAAAGTGTCAAAAACCATCCAGAAATTCAAGTAAAAACTTTAAAAGGCAAGCTTTTCATGGAATAGGTTGTTATTAAATGTTTTCTGCCGATTTTCGACTTCTTTTTTGCGACTTCCGGGTTTTTATGCTCCAAACATCTTGCCGTTCCTCGGTGTGTTAAAATTTCTAAAAAGTGACCGCTAAATCTTTAGAAAAGCGTTTTTTGGAAAACTTAAACTTATTAAGTTTTTATTGTCTTAGTTAGCTACAAAAAATTGTTTTTAAGTTTTTTAAGCCGCCGTTCCAACGTCAAAAGTCCTAAAAAAGGATGCGCGAGCTCGAATCCCCGGGCAATGACATCGTTGCATGGCTGAGTAGCGTGCTGGTGTGATGTAACCTCAGCCTTCTCGGCTTTCCCGAGCTTCTGACTTGTCCATTGTCGCTTTTTGTCCATGAGGAATTCCTTCGGGGTCAAGGCCCTAGCGAGGCCACGCCCCCTTTTGGGGCCTAGGTGCCCCGCCTTGCCTAAAGTGGGGCCCACCCCGGCGAAAACCGACATACACCAAAGGCACCCCATCACAATGGCCCCGGGCTGCTGGCAAATCCGAAACTGCCGGTTAAGCCCCCAGGTCAAGCCCATTGTGGCACTCTGGCTTTGAGAGGCGTTGCTATAGTGCGCCGCTCCACCGAATTTTTCTTTAGAAATCCGGCTTCAACCCGGAAATTCGGGGGTTTTGGCTTTTTCTTCCGGAACCGCTAGATTCGGAAGAACTCGGAAATTTCGGGAGAATTCTCAGAACTTTTTTCCTCTCTTTAACTCAGGGTTTGAGCTTTTTCTTCCGGGGCTCGTGATTTTTCAAACAGCGCAAGGATTTCTGTGCCTTTTTACGACATAGAGCTGATGGTCTTCAGGCCGCGTAGAAATGGATTCTACCCTCAAATTCTGAGATTTGTCTTTTTCTTCCGGAATTCCGGATTTCCTGGATTCTACAAGATTTAGGAATTCTATAAGGTTAGTTTTATATTTCTTTATGTTTCCCAACTGTATAATCTTCTGTTTTGTTGCTGGCGGCCTCCTGGTTTTCCTGGGTCCTTTAAAAGGCGTGAAGCCTATTAACCGTAATGAATAAAGCACAAAAACTGTTTCAAATACAAACTAGGGCCCTTTAGTTTTTGAAACGCTTTTCTTACAATCTTGTTTTGGCGTTCCCAGCCCTTTTAACCCCTGAAGCATGAAATGTCTAATATCCAGCTAAACGTAGCAAAAATCCCCGTTTCTCCTACCCTCTATCCATTTATTTGCGTAAACAATCGCCCAAACGGGGGAGATCCCGAGCCGACCGGGAACAAAATAATTACTGGGATGGGGTCGCGGTCGTAGCCGGCGTTCGCACGGCCAGGGAAAAGCTGAAAGTGACTGGTCCGAGTTTGGCCAAAAAACGCGGCGTTCCCCACGAAATTCGAGCCCCATCCCGTGACGATGGATGATAAAACTGCGGTCGAGATTTGGGTGCTAGGGCTTGAAATCATATTTTTAGATGGGAGTTTGTAGTTTTTAAAAGGTGTAACTTGGAAAAATGCGAAATTTTGGTATGAATATTGCTGTATCTCGCTCGCACTCTCTCTCTCTCTCACTCTCTCTCTTTTTCTCTCTTTCTCTCTTTCTCTCTTTCTGTCCTATTTTGCCATAGCTCGAATTTTCTCTAGTTTTCCCTTGATCTCTCGTTATCTATCGGTTTCGGTGCTTCTCTCCTTGGTTGTCGAGCTCTGTCGAGCTCTATCGCCGTCACTCTCTCTCTCTCGCTCTCTCTCGCTCCCGCTCCCTCCTTATCACTCTCGCTCTCTCGCTGTGTCTCTCTCTATATCTCGCTTTCCCTCTCGCTTTTTCGCCATTTTGCTGCCCTTTCTCGCTCTCCATAATTTTAAAGGGATAGTGCCAGGAAAAATTTAGAGAGGATGGCAAGTAGCTTATGTGAATTCGCGATTTTAGTTCGCCCGGTTTCGGTGGTGCTCCCGAAATAATCCCCTACCCAAATTCGGCGCATTCCCCATGATGCGTCGGCTTCCTTTAGTGGGGCCCCCGGGTCACTCGAGCACTCCACGAATAGGGTATCTGCTAGGGAGAAGGCCAGATTGAGAGACGCAGAGATATCGAGCACCCACTAGCACAGGGCAGCTGGTGAAAATGAAGCGAACTTCCTGCCCATGCCTTCGCCCGGGCGTGGCCAAGACCAAAGGCAAAACCCTTTGGTTTCGCCCGCCCGAATTCCATGGCCTAACTAGTAACCCCAGCCGCCCACCCTGGTCCGGACTGCCCAAATGAGATGCATGCGTAATTATTATTAGGGCCTTTCCATGTCCTTTTCTCTCTTTCTCTCTCCCGTTCTCTCTCTCTCTCTGTCTCTCTCTCTCTCTCTCTCTCTCTCTCCCTCTTTCTCCCCGATTCCATTCCACGCCTTTCGACGCACCCACTCAAATACACACACCTCCAGGACTGCCCCTCCCTTTTTGGCAAAATGAGCCCAAGGTGTATGAATTAGCCACCCCGCCCTCGCCGACGACGCCGAGCAGGGCGGGAGCAAACAAAATGTTGCGTGACGGCGTGCGTTTTTAGTACTAATCTTCGATTACTGGATCAGCCTCGAGCGTTCCTTTTTGGATTACCGTATCATCTTATTAAAAGGTACGTTTTGTACTATATTTTCCAAAAAATAGCATTTTGCACTGGCTTTTTAAGCTTCGTAATTTCTAAAGTGTGCTTTTTTCAGATTTGATTTCCGTCAGTTAATCTGCCATTCATTTTCTCAGTAAAGCCTTTGTTACCTCTGGGTGTTTTAGGATATCTCTCGCGTTCCATTCACTCACTCCCCGTCTCTCTCTCTCTCTATCTCTCTCTCTCTATCTCTCTCTCTCCCTCTCTCTCTCTTCTCTAAAATTTTCTAGCTGGTTTTTTGTAGTCCTCCGCAAAATAATGCCCTATAAATAACCGCCCAAAAAGGGAAAAACACGTGAACTTTTTTGCGGTTGTCGGCATTTTTCTTTTGCTTATATGGGGTGGGTTGGGGGCGGCAGCTTGAACACGGGCAATCGCTCATCCACGCTGACGGGGCCCGCCCAGGGCTTGAGGCCAACTTTTGGAGCGCTGTCAGAGCGGCGTGGATTTTTAGGTTTTGGTTATGTTCTGGAGCGGATAAGGTTTTAAGGAAATCTCGGTCTTGATTTGTCTTTCTTTCTCTGTCGCTCTCTCTCGTCTCTCTTTCGCTCTTGCTCGCTCTCTCTCTCTCTCTGATTTTCCGACTGATTTTTGTCCTCTCCAACTTCTAAAACCACAGAACCACCCCCATTCAATGATTTGGGCTCCTGGCTTGCGCCGAGCCCCAATTTTCGGTGTCAGCTTTGTCTTTTCCGGGCCGTCAGGTTTTTGAGTCGTCCAAAGAATGGGGGTGTCCCGACGATTTTTGAGGGGGTCAAGAAGCCAGAGAAGCAAGCAGGAAGGGGCCATTTGTCTGGCTAGGTTCACGTCATGTCAAGATTTCCGTGTTTTGCCAAGTTTGGAGCTGTCATCTTGCAGTGGATTTTTGAAAATCTGCCGATTTCCAGGGGTCTCTACGTTCTGGAGAGTTAGGTTTTGCCTTCTAGGTCCCTTTAAAACGGAGCCAATGGCCAGCTTGCAAATTGGCCTTTTTTTGGCCGAAAAATTAATTTTTTTTTTGGTTTGAATCGAAATTGGTAAAGTTTTTACATTTATAAATCATATGGTTATTTTTCAAACGATTCTCCTGTTTACGAAAAAATTCTGAAGTAGCTCATAGCTTTCCCACGTATCTTTCTTTCGGTAAGAGTTTACTTTATCCCCCCCACAGCCGAAGGGTCTCAAAGTTGTCGGTATTTTCGCTTATTTTGTCGGGATTTTTGCAACGCCATTCGATAGAGCGTCGAAAAATATACTAAGAGTTTTAATTTGAGCCTACAATAATGTAAAATAAAAAAGTTATAGCCAAAAACTTCCGGCTGGGGGGGGGGGGTAAAGTAAACCGTAGCCTTTCTTTCCTCCAGCAGCCATCCTCATGCTCCCTTCAAGCCTATCACGACTCATTAGCTGGCACTTATTTCGGCCCCTCCTCTAGACTAACCAAAAAGAGAAAGAGACGGGGAGTATGCGAATAAGAAATACGCTATCCTCCTCCGCCTCTTCTTCTTCTTATTCCGCAAGAATCCGCGTGCACACACCCGCCGGCAAAAGATGCCCCCAGGCCATTTTCAGATCCACTCCCCCCCACTTTCATTCCGCCCATTTCTGCTACGCGCACACATCCCGCCGGGCCCATAATGGGGTTGCAAAATGGAATCCGCGGGATTTTTATATGCTTGCTCAGAACTGGATACTTTCCTGATGCGTCTGGGCTAGCTTGCTTGGCCGTATTTTTGGTACTTCTGGGAGCAACTTGGTGTTGGGTGCTAGGGCTTGAAATGATATTTTTAGATTGGAGTTTGTAGTTTTTAAAAGGGTGTAACTTGGAAAGGTGCGAAATTTTCGTATGAATATTGCTGTATCTCGCTCGCACTCTCTCTCTCTCTCTCTCTTTCTGTCTTTCTGTCTTTCTGTCTTTCTCTCCTGTTTTGCAATAGCTCGAATTTTCTCTAGTTTTCCCTTGGTCTCTCGTTATCTATTGGTTTCTGTGATTCTCTCCTTAGTTGTCGAGCTCTATCGCCGGCACTCTCTCTCTCTCGCTCTTTCTCGCTCCCGCTCCCTCTATCACTCTCGCTCAACAACGAATCGAACAACAAACAATTTTCGTCCGTAAAAGTTGTCAGTTTTGACTCGTAAAATTCAAACGTAGCATACCAAATTTGCTATCAGTAGGTCGAAATTCATGTCGCCTCATCCAGACCAAGACCCTCGCCGACGTGATGCAGCTGGTGCATGCTGTCCAGTTGTTGGAGTCGACTGATCTCGGCCCAATGACTGCTCAGCTGCTCCGTACAGCTGTACAGAAGAAGATCAAGCGTGCTCCAACCGACTCCGAAGTTGCCGACTACCTGAACCAGAAGCTTGACGGCGCCTTCGAGACGTACTACGCCGACACCCGCAACATGTGGACAAGAGTGCGACAAGCGACCGGCCACCTCGTCAAGACCGACAAGCTCGATGTGAAGTGGGCGTGGAGCAACGACAAGATCCAACTGCTCGTGCTCGGATGTGGCGTCACCAAGAAGACGTGTGAAAGGATGCTCAAGCGCGCCGTCCATCAAGCTCAGCTCGTTCACCTCACCGCCAAGAAGAGCCAGGGCAAGGTCTACAACAACACCGCCCACCAGCCCGTCTCCAACTACTTCCTGCGTGACGGACGCTATATCCGCTTTGCGGACTGGCGCTTCGTTCACCGTGCAAGACTCGACGTTGTTCCACTAAATGGCTGCAACCGTGCCCGTGATCAAAAAGACAAGCGCTGCCGAAGATGTGGCTACCAACTCGAGAGCGTCGCCCACGTCCTGTGTCATTGCCCTGCTCACGCCCACGCCATCACCCTGCGCCACAACGCCGTCCTCGACCGCCTCGTCAACGCCATCAAGCTGCCCGCGACCACCACGAAATATGTCAATGTCAAGATCCCCGGCACTGATGGTCAACTACGTCCCGATCTCGCCCTCGTCGACCATGTGAAGAAGCGTGTGACGATCGTGGACGTGACCATGCCGTTCGAGAACCACGACCTGAGCGTCTTCGCTGCCGCACGTGCCGAGAAGCTCCGCAAGTACGCCGACATCTTCAACAAGTTCAACGCGGATGGCTACGACACGTTCCTGGACGCCTTCATCGTCGGGCCACTCGGCGGATGGGACCAAGAGAACGACAACGTGCTGCGCCGACTCGCCGTCTCCGTCAGGTACGCCGCGCTGATGAAGAAGTTGATGGTCGCCGATGCGCTGAAGTGGTCAAGAGATGCCTACATCGAGCACATCACCGCCCACCGCCAATACCAAGCATAAATGAAGCGATATCCATTTGCTAGTTATCTTTTAAAATGTAAATTTTTCGTGCCCCCTCCCGAATCTCCCATCCATTTGTGATCAATAGATTCCCACAATTTCTCCCTGAAAATGTTGTAAAGCCCCTAATTTAAATGACCTGCGTGTCATTTCGTGTATTCTTTCGAGATTGTTTTACTGCCGCATTATCCGGCCCTCGGGCCGAGAATTTGCTAATAAACGTTAATACCAAATTTGCTGTCAGTAGGTCGAAATTCATGTTCCCGAAATTTCATTTTGTCGACATTTTATGCTGTCGAAACAACATTTTGAGGAAAATCAATTTGTCGGGATTTTTTTAGCTCGTAAATGTAAAATTTAAGCGTATTATAACTTCGAAAAATGCAATTTCGACAACGTTTGAACAGAATAACTTCCGCGATTCTGATTTTTCGATAAAATAAAAATAACCGGAAAACAAGGGTTTCCTAAGGAGTCTCGGCTAGCTTTCCACCCCGGATATATCTAAATTTCCTATTTTCTAGCTGTAGTTTGGTATCTCGCATACTTTAGTTTATTTTTTACTTCCACGTCCTTTAAAACGTGTGTAGGTGTTTAGCTTTGCCGGATTCGGACTTTTGGTTGTCTAGGCGAGGACGGACCTTCCTAAATAACCTCTGCTAGCTTGCCTTTTACCGGTGCTATCGCGTTCCTCTGTAGTTCCCGCCGTCATTTTGTTTTGCCGCGGTATTCAGGCGCATTTTCCAGTGCCCTGTCCCTTTAATCACCTGCAAGGACACCTTTTTCGGAATTCAATCCTTTGCCTTGTTGCCACATCCCCGGAATGCACACGCTTTTTTGTTTTTGGATCCTGCGCGAGCGCGGGGAATTAATTTGGGCGCGCTAATCTAGTGCCCACATCTTCTTAGGGCCCCCCCCCCGGCTGGGCCTTAAGAAGATGGCTTTTTTGCCGCCTGGGCCCCGAACCCATCAAGTGGAACTCCCTGCCGCCCACCACCACCAAACCAGATCCTGGGAAAAAGATCGGGGGGAGTTGGTATAATTAAGGCTTCTCCTTGGGCCTTCTCTTCCTCGGCAAGGGTCCCGGGCCTCACACTGCTTTTCATTTTGGGCAGTAGTGTAGTGGAGGTTCGGAAATATGCCAGGATTTTCAGGTGTATTTCTCCCTCTCTCTCTCTCTCTCTCTCTCTCTCTCTCTCACTCTCTCTCTTTTTCGTTCTCTCTCGCACGCTCTCTCATTCGCTCCCTCGCCTTCTCTCTGTCTCTAGCTCCACTCTATCTCTGTCTTGCCTTCACTCTCTCTCTCCCTCTCTCTCTCTCTCTCTCTCTCTCTCTCTCTCTCTCTCTCTCTCTCGAACGCTCGCATTTTTGCCATAAAATTCGCATCCATTTTCCAAGAATCTTCAGGATACCCAGAATAAGCAAAACAACCCAAAAAACCATTCCATTTTCCCACCTGCTAACAATAGCATACCATAGACAGCAATCAAGCACCATATTCACCTGCTCAACTTTGTTGGCGACCTGGGATTTGCGTATCCCGGCTGATTGTCTTCTTCACCTCAGCCTCCTACAAATCTCTGGGAGCGCCACTCATTTTTTCTGTAGTTTGTTTTTGCTTGGAGATGACGGTGGGAATCTATAGAAATCGTATCGCATTCGAGGGATATCTTGCTGCGTTTGAACTGCTGGCGTGTTCCAAGAGATTTTGATGTTCTAGGAAGTCTAAATTTTCACATTTTGACGTTTTTGATGTCGGTATTTCGGCTGTCTGTCTTTTAGATGTCGGTATTTTGGTTTATCGACGTTCTATCATCACAATTTCAATTTATGTCTGAATTTTCTCCCGATTATTGAAACTTTTTCACTTTTTTTTGCCGCGTATCGTACCTATCGGCTGATTTTAACGAGTTTGTTGTCGGGATTTCGGGTGTCGGTATTTTATTGCTTGACATTTTATTAGGCCATAACCAATTCAGGCTTCAATTGTTCCCCTCCCTTTTTTTATTTTGAGCCTTTCTCCGTTTTTTGTCACATTGGTACCTTTCCATTCGCTTTCTTTGAACGCCACAATTGCTGCGCCTTTTTCGAACTGAAAATAGCTTTTTTATCTCTATAAAAACTGCTCTAATTCCAGAAATCGCAACCCCTTTCGCCCGGCTATGAGTTGAAAATGCGCCCGTGCCTCGGAAGCTTCTTGGCTTCATTTCTGACGCTGCTGAAGCTCGCCAATGGCGTCGCGCGATTCGAGCCGGCTAGCGTCAGCGACACGAGTCTGGTTATAAAAATGATAAAGGTATAGGTTTCTTTTGATGATGAATTATGATCATCAGGCGGACAACGTCTCCAGCTTCGACATGATCGCATTCATCTACGACCTCGATCGACTTGTCGAATTCAGGAAAACGGAAGTGAAAGGCAGCCAGAGGGATCAGGTATGCGTTTTTACGTTTTTTTTATATCTATAAATCATTAAAATCAATATTTAAATTTAAAATTAAAAATCATTAAAGAGTTTTCAAAGGCTACGTTTGGGTGCGATAAAGTACGCTACGCTAAACTCAGATCCGAACAAAAGCGGAATAGAACACCCAAGGTTTTGAAAAATTCTGCGCCATTTTTCGGAAATTCTGGGCGTGGGAAATTCCTCAAGCTACCTTGCTAGTACGCCCTGGATTCTTAGCTACGTATTATTACGTAACGTAAGCAACTTTGTAGGTTTCAACCCAATTATAAAACTTGATTCCTTTTTTTGAGATATTTAGCCCGTTTCTAGTATCAAAACGTACAAAGATTTTGAATACGTATGGCGCCCGTTTTTGATATCTGCGCGTAAGTACTCCAGAGTACGTTAGAGTACGTTACGCTACGCTAGCTTACGCACAGATATAGTATATACCTTGCCAAAAAATTGCTCCGGGCCAACAAATTATGCGGATTGTGTATGCGAGCAAGCTAAAAAATGCGGTCATGGTCGGCCCCAGATAAATGGCCCCCCTTTGGGGGTCTCGCAACGAAGTCTGTCAATCACCGAAATGAGCGGCCGGCGGGGCTGAACCTTGGGGCCCTGGGCCCCAAGGCCCGGGCCCAAACGCCCGGGCCCTAAGGTCCAGGACAAACTGAAATTCGAGCCGTTAGGGCGCCGCTTACTCGGACCTTTAAGCTGATATGGTGCGGCCGGCCGGTGCTCGGCTAACTAGTAAATGGGCTACACTCAACGAATGGACTCAAGGGCTGGGGGGGAGGAGTCCACTTTCCATTATTCAGGGGGAAATATTTAAGGAGTGGCCCTTGGTCTCTCCTTAAATAATCCTGAGACTAGTCTGGGGGTATACGGGTTTCGACACCGGCGCAAAGTGACGGGAAAATAAGTGGAACGCCGATGTTAAGTCGTATTTCATGAAAATCTGATTTGAGAGCCTGCTTCCTAACCAGCTCTTGGTCACCTATCGGTTCTTATTTTATAAAAAAACGCATAATCGGGGCTTGAAATTTACCGTTTTCTGAAATTTTACAAACTAGCAGCACCTCTCTAACGTTCCAAATTCCTATGGGTTCCCAGAAGCCACCAAGTAGTTCTGCCGCTTTTAGAAAGAGTTCCCCCGTCTGGAAATAGGTTTTTAGAAGCGCCCGAAACTTCAATTCCAGGTTTTTTTCCTTAAGAGGCATTCATTAATGGCGAAAAGTAAAATGCCGACAGCCAAATTGGCGCTAGCCAAAATGCCGACATGCAAAGTTGTGTCCGATTGTGAAGCTGAGAAACGATTGTTTTGCGCTCACCGATTTGGGTTACCTACTACCATTCCAGGCATAAGTTGGTTTGTCGATAATGACTCTAATAATTTATTATGGTTGTCGGTATTTTTTCTGCCAGGTTTTGGCTTGTCGGTATTTTGAGCGTCGAAAATACCGCAGCAATTTTCGCGATTCTAAGAGGTTCCAGAGCCGTTCAAGCGGCGCCTTCCAGGTCCCCATAAAAAGTTACCCATTTGAAATCGTTTTTAAACCTGGTGCTCCAGTCGCTTAAAAACCCTACAGTACCCCTTCTAGCCCTGAATCCACCGGATATGGCCGATCCGCCAAATCAACATTCCCCCAGGATCTGTCCGGGAGTATTTGTGTTTGTGTTCACCCAGTAATGTGACCAGTAGGTGGAGAGAGAGAGAGAGAGAGAGAGAGGGAGAGAGAGAGAGAACGGGAGACAGAGATTTGTTGAAGCTCTCGACTCAACAAGTGTATGCCCCCAGGCTACAGCTATTGCCAGAGGACTCAAACGGACACGAGATGACAATGGAGAGACAATAGAGAGACCCCGGAAGGTGTGGAGGGTCTCTGTCTCTCTCTCTCTCTCGCTCTCTCCCTCTCGTTATGGGCAGACTGTTTGCCAGCCGGTAGCAGGTCACCCGGGAGGGCCTTCGGCCCTGTTAGGGCCCATCCTGTGTTCAAGGGGTCATTAAAAAACAATCACTGCCCACCGATGGTCCCGAAGATGGATTGGACCCATTTGGGGGGACTGTGAATTTTTGAGGAGGAAAATTGAGCCTAATTAGACGAGTGGAAATGGTTGTTTGGAGCAAGGAGCGTCAGTGGATTTTTTTTTGATGTGATGATGATGAATATGTAAAAAGTAAACAAACAGGATAAGACGTTGAAAAGGAATTAGAAGAAATTTTTAGGGTTTACGGATTTTCCATAGAAGTTTCTTATTCTTTAAACGTTCTAGATTTGAATTTTTAAAGCAAAGAAGGCAATTAAAAATAAAGCAGACTGCAAAATACTCCAAAAATGAGATACTCAAAGTGTGAGAAATGCTTCTTAATAAGTATTTTTGAGCTTGAAAGTTTTTTGTAAAACCGGATTTAAAAAAGTCTAATTCAGATTTTTTAAACAAAAATATTCAGCTTAAATTTAAGATTATCGACGATTTTCCGAAATGAAATTTTTTCTGCGAATTTTTGAAAATTTTTTTAGATCGACACTACTTTTTAAAAGATTCTAAAATACCTGAATTTTTTCGCATTTTTCTGCATTTGTCACAAATCGCCCTTTGCCGTATGCCCTTTTATTCAATCTCGGTGAGCCCGAAATCACGAGCTCAAGCTCCTTGAACTGGCGGTGGTGTTCGATGCAAATCGGGTGAAAGGGCCCTGGGCCCTAGCTGGCTGGAACGTGTAAATGAGGCCGGGAACACTGATTGGGGCCCAATGCCCTGTGGCAACATTCCCTCCACCCCCACCCCCAAGTGAGCCATAATTCAGTTAGATGGGTGAATAACATGGCAGAGGTCAGATGTTTGAATGTCGGCAAAGCGGGGGAAGGGGAGATAGCAGTTTACAAGGGAGAATAGTGGAAACGAAACGCTAAAGAATTTGACTACTCGTTTAGGAAATTGAAATGATTTGTGCCATTTAGGCAAATAGCGAAAAACGCTCAAAAATTCTTTAAAAAAATAGCGCAAAACGGTCAAAAAGTCCTCATACCAACTGGCTCTCGAGATAGTCTTTTCTTTAACCGTTCCCCAGCCATTGATGCTAGTTCACCGATGAGAGTTTGGCGATTTTTTGAGAAAATTCGGATATGTAACCTTGGGTGACAAGAAGATACTCTAAATATTTCTGTTAGGTGCGTTTTTCGATAGATTACTTGTGAATAATTCATCAAATAACCATTGTTTAAAACGTCTATCACGTAGATAGAATTAAAATAAAAAGAACTTTCTCTCGCCATGCCCCCAATTCCTCAGAGATGTTTGCTAGTCTGCCATTTCTGACATCAGCCAAAAGACCATCTTTTTTCTCGGCACGGATTCCCCAAAAACCGTTGCTAGATTGTCACGTTTCTGCGAGTCTTTGCATTTACGCTAGTTGTGGGTTGTGCTTTGTAGTTCTCCGGGAAATACCTTGAAAATCCTGCAGCTTTCTGACCTCTTCGTGAATTTTGACGAATTCTCTGCTTTTAGGGTTGTGCTCACGTGTTACCGCTATGCACAAGACAAGACTGCGTCCAAGGTTCATTTTATCCCCAAATTCACATCAAAAGAATTCGGCAACTTCGAAAATTCCCAGCTTATTGTCTGCATTTTCTGGGTGGGCGTTAGGTAGGTAAGCCGCTCAGGAAAAGCCTTTTGATGGGTGCATTCTTTCGGCATTCTTTCAGCTTTTCCTCCGCATTCCGTGGCACCTTCTGAATGAGTCTCGGGCCCGGGACATTTAGGACCATTGGCCTTTTGACACTGTGCAGCCTCGGGAGGGAGAAGCCGCAACCTTCCGTTCCCCCGCCTCAACCTAACCCCAACACACATAATTGCCCCGCACACAGCTGCCCCCAGGGCCTCAAGGACTCAACAAAACAGAGAATGTCACAAGCCACAAACTTATGGAGGTGGTTCAGGAATTCGGGGATGGTAAAATTGGAACTCTGGGCGGTTCAGTTTATTTTAGATTTCTGGAGAGCTCGAAAAGGAAGGAAATTCAAAAAGTGCATGCAGGCTAGCAAAAACCAGTGACTGAATCCAACAATTCGACCCAAAGGCATGGTGCTATTAAAAAATGTGAACGCGTGCTAGCAAAACCCTCTGAAAAATCCTTCTGAATAGTATAGCCAAGGAAGTGGAATTGAGCAAGAAACCTAGGCCACCCTCTTTCACGAGAAAGTGAAGCAAACTAGCAAAGACACTTTTTGAAATCCTTATCAAAATGTGTGTATTTACAAGGCTAGGCAAATTAGCAGAAGCAATTTTGGAATATGCGCCTGTATTTGAAAAGCCAGGTAAACTAGCTAATTCAGTTCAATTGAGCAATTCATCGAATCCTTTAGAAATTCGAGGGATGCTAGCAGGGATGGTTTAGGAATTCCAGCGGGAAAATATTTTGTTCATCAAAGTTAGGCAGATTAAGAGAAACCATTTTGTATTGCTTCCCTTTAAGGTCCGCGATAATCATTTCTATCTGGAGACTCAAAGATTTCCTCTAGAAAACGTTCAAATTAGTCATAGCTACTCGTTCCCATTGTCCAACTAGTACTAATCCACTCTACCCTACTACCTCCGTCCATTCCAAAGTGCGCGCTTTATGCAAAAGGTGGGCGCTCTTCCGGCCGCTGCGGCTCATTCTTGGGGTGCGGCTAATGGCCTAACAAAGGCTGTTGTGTTGTGTCGGGATTTTGGACTAGGTGGACGTTGCGGCTCGCCAGTGTTTCAAGAAAATGACCAGCTAAACCCCAGGGACAGGAGCAAAATTTCAATTTAAACCATGGGCAAAAAAATTCCAATCGAATCGAATATCGAAAAAGCTACTTTCTTTGATGTTAACGCTGGGTTCTTTTAACAACTTAATTGGCATCTATAAATTTCATATTATGTCTATATTAAGTCGGAACAATACTTTTAAACTGCCGTATCGATGCCTTTGGCGGCCCGCCAACCACCCTCACCCTACTAGTTAGCGAAAGTGGCCGGATTACGGCGGTTCCGGGGTCGGTTCCGGGCGCTGGGTTCGGGCATAAACCGACATAAGGATAAATGAATATAGGCAACATACCATAAAATGAATTGTTGCGTTTGTTTGCCCGAAAAGTGGCTAGGAAACGGCTTTAAAGGGGCAACAAATTCAGAGGATTTTGCTTTATCGCCCTCGCTCTCTCTCCCTCTCCCTCTCTCGATCTCGATCTCTCTCCTCTCTCTCACTCTCTCCCTCTCTCTCAATCTCACGCTTTCTGACTAGCTGGTGCTTATTTTAGAATTTTTTCGAAAGACACTAGCACCCTTCCGTACCACCCTAAAAAGTGTCCTTACCCCAAAATATGTCAAGATTTGAATTTCCAACTCCCTGACCAGTCCGCTCGACCCCATCCAAAACCCATCAAAAGTTTCAGAAGTGCCCCTGGCACTTCTGAATCGCGTAAAAGTTGACTTTAGCGGTCCCTGGGGGCAAGCTCCGAGTTTTTTAGCGGATGACCAGCACCAGCTAGAAAAAACACTCGACCCGGTTGAGGTCAGCTAAAGCGGGTCCCAAGGGGATTTTTCTGGGAGTTGTCCAGAGGAAAGACGGGTAGTGCCAAGGTTTTTAGGGACTCAAAACAATTTGGGAGGGGCTGGATTTTGGAGTGATTCGTAGTGGAAGTTTAACATTTTAGAGATGGACTTAAGAATACCTTTAAAGGGACTGGGAAGCGGTAAAATCTACCCCCTGCCGCCGCTAGGTCTAGACAACTATGCTGCCCGCTTACAACAGCATGATAATTCGAGCTGCCGGATTGTCGAGACCTAGACGTGGAAAAGAGTCGATTTCCGGGCTTTCCAACTCCTTTAAAAGTGTTTCCAAGTGCCAGCATCTACCTCTTAACTCGGCTAGGTCTAGACAGTGGTAGAATACCCTTTAGAGTACTGGGTTACTGCCGAAATCCAACGAAATGCAACTTTCAATTTATCTTTTTTTTCAGCTCTTCTCCTTCGACGGCCTTCTCCCAAACACCTGGTTCGTCTTCCGCATCCACTACCGCCTCATCTTCAACCAACCGAACTCACTCAATAACGACCTCGAGACGAAGCAGGTCAGTCTATCGAATTGTCTGAATCCATTTTTAGGTGAGAATAAAAGTTAAATATTGGCTTTTTCAGGAGCTAGTCGTCCGAACCAAGAACAGCTCCAAAGAAAATCCAGAGAAAGTCAACGACACCGTCGCGTTCATCGAAGAGACATTTCTGGGCACTTCTGACGTGTATATCGCGGTGAAATCGGTGTTCCCGGATGCGAAAAAGGTAAGAGAAGTTATAAAAAATTGCAAAAGTAAAACTTCGAGGGTTTTTTAAGGGGGATTCGGACACCATACCAAAAATTTAGTCAGCCTTAAAGGTACGGTAACACCTTTTAATGGGATTTTTACCGTTTTAAGGGGGCGGTGACATCTTTATCAATTTTTTGCGATCGTTTTCTGCGAAATTTGCAAGATTTTTACCTAGAGAAGGGTCTTTCAAAACAATTTTATGCAAATCGCATTAGCCGCAGAAAACTCTTGCCTTTTCTCGAAAAGTTGGGGCCGAAAATTAGTCCACTTTATTTGTTGCGACCCCCGAGCGCTTCTTTCTCTCTCTCTCTCTCCCTCGCTCTCTCTGGCTCTCTCTCTCTCTCTCTTTCTTTCTATTTGCAAAGGTTATTTGGGATGTGCCGGGGTGGGGTTGAAACTTGCTATTTGAATATTCAACAGGGCTGGGCCTGGGGGTCGTCTCGTACTCGGAAAACAATAGCTGGGTGAGAGGGGATCTTCGGAAAAACTGGTTAGGTGCCAAAAAGGCGCTGAAAATTCGAGGGGCAGTGGAGTAGAAATTGCGGAAGCCACGTACCCACCTGGGTTTTTACTAAATTTATAATTTGCTTGGCGTGGCCAGAAGTGTGGTAGTGGTGTCGGGTTCTGGGTCAACAAAGAGAAAACTAATGACGCCGAAGTTTTTAAAGGGGTTGGGAAGTTAAAATCGACTAGAATTTTGACGATTTTACATGACTCTTAAAATTCGCTTGGTTGCTCCGAAAGGTCCTCTGCCAGCTTGTCTAGCAGTTTCCTCAATAATCTTTGCTAGATGGGGACCTATTTGTTCTGCTTGCCGGTGCTTATTTTGGTTTCCCTCCTCGATGCTAAAAAAAGCGAATACCCCCCCGAGTTCTAAAGCTTTAGAAAGAGCGACAGTGATAGATTGGGTGTCACCGAAAAGCTAGCGAGCGAGGACGATTTTGAATAAAAACACAAACCACAAACAAATCTCTGAAATTCCGAAAATTTCCCTAAAAAGAAAAATATCAAGTTTTAGGTGATCACCGTCATCGTCCCAGAAATGCGATGCGGACGGGGCGTCATCAAGCCGTTAGCCCAACAGGTCGCGACAAGTGCGAGGTGAGTGGATTTAAGATTTTAAAGGGACTTGGAAACGTGAAAAATAACGGAACTCCCCTTACCAGGGATTTTGGGACTTATTCGTAAAATTCATTTTTTCAGGTTCCACTTCGAGGTCTCGCAGCTAGGGCTCAAAACCAAGGACTGCTCCCAGATTTGCATCTTTCCCTTCCTACGGGTCCAGATTCGGAACGGGACGACGGAGACGTTCAGGTGAGAGTGAGAGAGAGAGAGCGAGAGAAAAGAGCGAGACGGAGCGAGTGATATAGAGAGAGACAGAGAGTGAGAGAGAGGGCGAGACAGGGTGAGAGAGAGGGCGAGACAGAGAGAGAGAATGAGCCTGTGAGAGAGAGAGATAGATAGAGAGAAGGAGCGTGAAATCTCATCAACCTTCAATTCCAGAGCCAAAGAATGGTGCGGCACCGTGCAGGAGGCGAACAAATTGGGCACGTCGGACGATAGTACGAAATATTCCCTAATTCCAGTCCTTCTTCTCCTCATAGCCGCCGGCGCCCGTTTATAGTAGCGTCCCGTAGTGTAACCCGAACACTTTCAAATTCCCGTTGCCTCGCACCCGATTTCTTTTGGTTTCTATGTCTACTTTTTTTTGGATGATTTCCAGCCTTGATATGGGTATTTTTGTACTTCCAATTTGCGTCTAGATCCGAAAATTGCGAAAACAAAAAAACAAAGTTATAATTGCCTGATTTGCACGTGCCCCGATACTGTAGATCCACGAAATGTGATTGATTTTCGATTTTGACTACTGTATGTATTGAAGGAAACCCCGAAATGAACTTTATGAACGCCGGAAAATGCAAGAATTAGACGTTTAAAATTTCCAGGTCTATCAAAAAATGTCAGAAGATTTGAATAATTGAATGCCATTAAATAATTGATTTTTGTCAGCTCGCACAATTTATTCGCCACACATACGCGCAAGTAAATCGACATCAGAGTACAGAAAATTCGAGCGAACAGGATCGAGTATCGGAGCGGAATCCGGCGGCGATTAAAAAAGGTAGTAGGCGACGACGGCGATGAAGATGAGGCCGAAGAGGGGGCGCGGTTCTGGAAATTAAAATATTGTCGGATTTATACAAGTATTAAAGCGCGTCCGGTAAAATCGTACGGGCCTTCAAGTAATAAAAATAACAAATTATTTAAGATATCTTGAAAGGGACGATGTGGGGAAGGAAAATGAATGAAAAAAATAAATGGAATTGTCCAGTTTACCGTAGCCCTCATTCAGATAGTCCTCCAGCACGTCCTGCCATCCCCGGTCGTCAAAGTAGTCGGCTTTCCGGAATTCGCCGGACTAAAAACATTTTTTCCGGTCTTTGGGTTAAGTTTCCGAGTAAAGAACAGCTGCTAGATTGCCAGTGACTGAAAAATACAAGAGCCGCGTATATAGCGGCGAGAGATTGCGAGAAAGCGAGAGAAAAAGAGCTAGGAAGGGAGCGAAAGAGTGAGAGAGAGAAAGTTAGAGAGAAAGAAATGGAATTCGTACCGGGTCCATTTCGTCTAGCGACGGCGCGGGCTCGTCATGCGAATAGGTGGAGGTTGAGTGCTAAAAAGTGGAGGTTTTCGAGTGCCTCATCTGACCTCAAAATCGGCAACGGTCAGCGTGGGCGGCTCGTCCGTTACTAAAACACGTAAACTAGCTGAATTTCCATAAAAATGTGAAAGTTCAAGAAACACTGATGCCAAGCAAAATCCCACATTCGTAGGTGAAGTGGGCCCAGAGGGCGTGGACGGTGGTGAACATGAGCATCGGAACGATGTGGCCCTCGGTGACGAGCACTGTGCCTGACTGATGAGCGTGGCAGAAGCTGGAAAATGTTTTCGGGCGGCAAATATTAGTACAGCGAGACGCGACGCGACAGCATCGTGTTCCTGGATTAGGTGAGCTCGTGAAAATCCCTTTAAGACGCGAGAACCGCTTTTTCTGCCCTCAAAACTCACGCGACCCCGGTCTGCCGATGGTCGGACGTGATCTTAATCTGCAGCGCCGAATTCCGGCAGCCCTTGTTCGAATCCTAAAAAGGGTGGGTGCTCGATGTCGACCGTCTTGAATTACGTTTTGCTCCTCCGTCGACACGACGTCCATCGTCAACTTGATGCGTCGGCCCTTGGGAGCCTACAAGTATCGAGTTTTTGAAGGACCGGAAGTTAAGGTAGAGAAGCGTAGCGGATGCGTCACGCTATGATTAACGGAAAGCCAACTAGGCCGCGCGCGCAGCTGCTAAACGATTAAAAACTGTGGCTACCGTAAGGAAGTAGTTGCACGTAGTCCGCCGGTCATTCGAGACGACGTACCCATCGTTGGGGATCCTCTCCTCGTCCAGCACCTCGCGAGCTCTAGAATGGAGGGAATTCGGCGAGAGAGAGAGAGACAGAGAGAGAGAGAGACAGAGAGAGAGAGAGAGCGAGAGCGAGAAAGAGCGTGAGCAAGCGAGAAAGCTGGCCACTTCGGTCGCCGAAGCTTCACCCTTCCCTTCGGGTTGTCCTCCGTGATCTCGACGACCCGCCCGCACGACATCACCTAAACGCAAATTTCTAGGAAGGCTTCAACCATTCTGACCCTCATCTGGCAGTACGGCGGGGCGAAGCCGGACGGGCACAAGCAATCGCCTCCACACCCCGGTTGACTCGGATTCGGGTAGCCGCCATTCTGGCATTGCTCATTTGGTGGCCGTGGTGGGCACTTTTCTGAAATTTTTTACACGATTACAAAAAAAAATAATGTTTTGATAAACTGCAACGTAAAACGTAAAGAATGTAAGAACCAAGAACTCGCTTTCCGAAACCGCTAAATTCACCATTGCACTTGTACAGCCTGTTGACAAGGTACACGTCGTAGAAGCTGAGGTAGGCGCTGCCCATCGTGTCGCGGTACACCTCGTACTTCGGCCGCGCCACGATCGTGCGCCTGTGGCCGCGGGCGAAACTGGAAAAAAGAGACACATTGGTAGGTCGACAGCGCCCTACGCCATCTCCGAGTAGTGCATCGTGCTGCCAAAGTCGTACGGCGTGTCGAGCGCCTTGAAATAATCGCCTTTGAATGATCGCTGAGTGTTGAAGTTTCGGTCGTCTCCCACGTCCTAAATTCGTCAATCAGATTTTACCGGAAATTTCGGTAATGCACTTTTAGCGGTGGGGGAGCTAGTGCAGGAGCATTTTGCAATTCTTTAGCAATCAAAAACTGCTATAGGCACTATATTGTGCCATCGAAGAACATCAAAAAAGTGTCGAAATTCGAGGTTCTGAAAATTGGAGATTCTGATTTTCGGGGGTATGACAAATACCTCAAATACATTATCTATTACCAAAAAGTCAATTGGCGTGAAACCAAAAAAAACTGATTTCCCCCACGCACGTATTCCTCCTTTGCGATATGAATGTAGGTCTCCCGGTCGCCGCGCATCATCGTGTGTGCCAGACCGAGCGTGTGCCCGAACTCATGGACGACCGTCATCTAAAATTCACCTTTCCATATTTCCGATATTTTGAGAAATGCCATTCGTTAGAGGACCGGAACAATACGAGGAACTTTTTTCAAGCCTAAAAATACATATTTAAACGATTTTTTATAGCTAGAAATAATGATCGACCCCGACATAAGGAAATAGCAATCGTTAGGTTGGAAGGCGAGAGTTCCGCCTCCCCCACCGCTAATGCACCAAAACCGTTTCCCACTCACCGGTGGCGCGAATTCGCCGAGTTGCACCGAGTTGGGGACCTGGTGCTCGTCAGTCCGCTTCACCTTGCCGAGATTGGCGACGGCCCCGGTGCGCGCGCCGGGATCCGAGGACTGGTAGGTGAACAGCACGTTCGTCCTGGAATTGAAATAGATAAATAAACTAAATGGAAGCAGAAGCATCTACTCTTACAGTAGCGGTCAAAAAGATGTCCTCTCGGGAAATCGTTTGGTGTTCAAAAACCACAGGCCCACATTTTATGAAACTTTGCCTTTAGGTCAATTTTAATACGGAGAATCCGATGGTGACCACGAAACCGGCTGCAAATTTTATTTTAGTCGCCAAATTTGAATTGTTAAGAAAATCGGTAAAATAAACTTTTTCCTGAGGGATTTCGGGTTTCAAAAATGTGTCCATCGTGTTCGCAGGGGTCGAAAACCTATCACGAACATTTTTTAAGACATGTATCTCTTTGAGGCTCGCTGCTATGAGGCCGAGAAGTTGTCGCCGCGGGGCGATTTCCTGGCCCCCGTAAGCCTATCCAAGGGAGTTTGGCCCGCGCGACAGCAACTTTCGGCCGTCAGTATGGTCAGGCCCAGGCAGCAAAAACGTCGTACAATAACGGACTAGTGGTTTTCGACCCTTGCGAACACGATGGACACATTTTTGAAGCCCGAAAATCCCTCATGAAAAAGTTTATTTCACAGAATTTTTAAAAATCGAAGTTTGACCATTAAAATCAAATTTTCAGTAAATTTCAATGTTGCCACCGGATTCCCCGCAGCCGAATTTACCTAGGCACGAAGCACCTTGCTTGCCAATTTATAAATGTTGTTGATATTTAATTATTTTTCATAGTTTCCGACGACTAAAATTATAATAATGTCTACCCCACTGCCATGAAATATGAGATTTCGCGTACTTTCAACCGATTGGACCCACGGGAGATGATAGAAAATTTCGCCACCGCCGCTCTAAATACGTCAAACCGTTGCAAATTCTATTGAATAGTACAAAATTTCGTTTTGTTTTGAACAAAATGGTCGATTTTCGAATATTTTTTGAAGTTTGTTGATGATTTTCCCTTTTGAAAATAGTGGCATACTCGGGCATCGGGAGCGGCTTCTCGTCCATTATGTCGTAGTGTTGCCAATATTCGTAGTATTTTTCGGCCATATCAGCGTCGATTTGCGTGAACGGGACGCACGTCTGCTTTTGCCATAAGGCCGCCGCCTCGACGACGATGCGCTGAGCACGTTCGGCTGGAAATGAAGGTACGGGGCAAGCCGGCAGAGGCGGCTTAGGAATTCGAGGACAAACGTGCGATTCGCAGCCTATTAGAGTAACCCTTACATAATGGAGTCATGTGCTTGAACTTCTTCTTGCCGGCGTGGACGTAGTAGTAGATCCCGTTATCCCAGGTCTCGAAGCCCAACACGGCGCCCATGAGGTGACGTGAAAGTTTTGGATCTCAAAACTCTCTAATGCATGAAATCAGATGTCTCGAACCCTCGACCGGCTCGACGCCGCGCAGCATGAAGTTCACAAGCTGGGAGCCAACTTGAAGTTGAGGCTGAGAAAGTAAGTTCTCACTCTCACTCGCTCCCTCTCTCACTTTTACTTTTGAAAACTGTTCACGTACCTTCTGCCCATAACTGCCATAAACGAGAAGGGCAAGGGCTACGAGAAATCGCTAAAGACGTTGGGTTTATATAGCACAATTCAGCTACCAAGTGCATCAAAGGCAAAAATAAGGAATGCAAGGCTACGCAATTTTTGTTTGCTAGCGATTCAAAACATGTATGGTAATTTCTGAACGTGTTAACGAGGCTTCAGGTTTGAGTTTTCGTGTCTTCCCTAGATTTCCCTCTTTAATTCGCTCCCACTCACTAAAATCTCATTCAAAAAGTTCGGTCGCGGTACGAAATTTGGGCTCTCTTCCGAAGCCAACCCCAGCCCCTTCTTATCGCCTCTCCCCTCTCCCCCTTCCCGTCTGTCCCATGGCCTAGTGGTCCAAAGCGCTTGCCCCAGGCGAGGGGCGCCAGTTCGGTTTTGCTCCGCGATGAGCCCCTACCGTAACCCTGTTTGCTATCCCGCGGACGGTTACCGGCCAGTAACCAAGACAACGAGACTTTAGTGGTGACGGAGGGCTGTGGTTCAGTTTAGCCCCCCCACCCCAGCCGACCCCCACCTACTGATATATCCCGTCGTCGTAGGAGCGGTCGTAAAGTATGACAAAATACTCGCCAAAGCAAGACAAACATTTTGGTATACTTTACACACCTGTAGACCAACAGGTGGCCGAGATACAGAAGTTGGTGGCCGGCTGGGGGGGGTGGGGGATAAGCTGAACACTTACCGGGCGGAGTTTTGCGGATTACGGTAGGTTATCGCACACTCGCATAGCTCAAGTACGATAGAAAATAAACAAGTACGAAAGTACAATTACATTCTTACACAGTTTTACACCCAACTAAACAAATTTTTCACAGTTTGCACATTTCATGAGCACTTTAAGTGTGCTCACAAAAATGGGAGATACCTTACGATCCTTATCGCATTAATAAGTAAAGAAATCTGTGGAAACGCGAATGTTTTGCAATTTTCTTGACCTTTCAACTCCCCGGTCTCAGACCAACCAACCCTGCCCAAAAAACACTCAAAAAGTTACTCCCGCGGTTTTCACGGTAATCAACTCGAAGTTCAACTGGACGCTCGAGCTCCCGCTTAAAACGAGTCGGGCTTAATGAGGACCACATGCAAAAAAGGGGAAGCACCTTCGGGTTGAAATTGTCGAAATTGGCTGCCCCTGGGCATCGAAAAGCACCTTTCCGGTGCACGTCTGTCTGTCTTTCGGCCTGTCTGGGGCTCCCCACTTTTTGCGACGTGAGTTCATCCTCGGAAATTCATAATATTCACGTATTCCTGGAATTGGCTATTTTTAAAACAAATACGTAAAATGAACCAACAAAAAAAGCACGACCTATTCGAAGAGATCCAAATCACTGGCATTAAATATTTGAAGGCCAGGAATTCGTGCATAAGGTTAGTTTTTTTTTACTTTTGTCATCGACCTCAGCCAGGAATGAAAAACCGCTTTGCGGTTGTTTCGCATCTCCACTATTGAAAGCTTCTGGCCATGGTTTCGGTTCGTTCCGAATACGGATATCTTGAGAATCTGCCCGCAACGCCATACGCAACGTGCTCGGGTGCGTGGCGCGCGAGACCATAACCGATAGGAACTCTTATAAAAAAACAAGGAGACGATCTTAACATAAATCATATGCACCTCGAAAAAGCGCAGAAACCCCACAAACCCATTTTATTTGATTTTTTCAGAATCACTTGGCTTACCGTAATTGCCATCTTCTTGGGGTTGACGTTTTATCAGATTTTTGAGCAGGTCTGACCTTGATTTTAATTTTTTTGGACAATTTGATCGTGATTTCTAGGTTCACGATTTCCTTGGCTACCCGATGGTGACGAACATCGAAGCCGAATATCCGCCCTATATCCACTTTCCAGCTATTGCCATTTGTCCAAATAATCAGTATCGGTAAACAATAGAAATCTGGAAAAAATTCACAGCTTCCAAATCTAGAATCAGCTACCTAGCGTCTGAGGACATTATCAAACGCCCGCCAAAAGACAATCGAACGATTCTGGAAACTTGGGCGTTTTTTGAGGAGGTCTTTTCTTATTTTCTGCTGCGCTTTCAGTTTTTAAATAAAGTTTTTATTTTTACTATTTTTAAAGTATCTGACCATGCAAATTTCAGGTGTTGCACCGAACTTGGGACCTGAAAGCCGAGCCCTTTCTACGAAAGGCCATTCCAGCTATAAACACAACAATTGCTTCGTAAGTTTCGAGCCACTCTATCTCTCCGTCTCTGTCTCTCTGTCTCTATCCCTCTCTCTGTCTCGCTCTCTCTCTCTCACTCTCTCTCTCTCTCTCTCTCTCTCACGATATATTTTGCTTTAGCTGTGCTCTACCAGATGGCTCAGAATGCGACATGAGTCAATGGAAACAGATCTGGACGATCAACGGGCTGTGCTGGGCTTTTAATTACGATGCAAGTCGGCCGATTGTTATTGATCAACCTGGTAGTTTCATTAACTTTTTCTTTGCCTTTCATGCTTTTAAGAATGAGACCTATTTCCAACGTAGAGATTTCCGATAAAATGTCTGGCTTTTAGGTCCCAGTCATGGTCTTCGTCTAATTTTGAATGCGGAAGTTTACGAGAGAACACTGACCTGTGGCGCTACCGTTTCGACGCCTCCTGAGGATGGGTTTAAGGTACCGTATCTTGCGTTTATCTCGTAGTATACGTTTTTACTACAGAATTTCTAGATCCTAATCTACGATCCGGCGGAGCAACCAATTTCCACAGCTACTGGAGTCAGTGTATCGCCTGGAGTGTCGGCGAATCTGCCGTTTAGGATAAAGCTGGTAGGTTACTTTTTTTTCAGAAGTGATTGCAATATCTTTGCCTGCGTAACTGGGCGGGCTAGCAGAGATTCTTGAGCAAGATTTTACACAAATTCAACAGCATTAGATATGCCAACATTATAAAGTTAAACACCATAAAGTCCATTTTAGCGCCGAAAAATGCCGGGCACCGGTTGCCGCCAAGAATCCTTAAAGTCGATCCTTGCTGCTGATGACTATTTTAACGAGAGCAATTTACAGTAAGAACGATCTTTTGTACAATAAGAAAAATGTTTGATAATCTACAGCTAAATAAGCAACTAAATCTCCAGGGTAATACGGTGTTTTCAGCACCTGCCCGGGTCGCCAATATCACAAGAAATTCGAAAAGGAGTGTAACTGTACGATTCGTACGCTTTACGATTTGAAAGGAAGTTGGTTTGACTTCATGGTGCCTTTAAAACCGAGTATAATTTTTAGAGTCAAAATATCCACCATGTGATATTGATCAGTACTTTACGTGCGTACAGTGGATCCAGAAGAAGTAAATCTATCTAAAAAAACTTGTAAAGATAAAATTCAGTTTAAAGCCAAAAACGGACCTTCGGAAAGACAAGGAATGTCTTCCGGTGTGTAATTCAATGGAGTTCATTCCCCAGCAGGTATTAAATAATTTATTTCGAACTATTTATAACTTAAAAAGCCAAAAAAAATTGATTTCAGGACCTCTCCGACCTTCCCAGAACGCTGCTACCAAATCCCGGACCGTTTGGGGAGTCGCGAAATATTAAGGTAGTGCTCAAGATTGGAATCTTATTTTCTAAAACTTTAGATAAATGCGACAGTCAAACGATTAATTGGGATGAATCCGGATGGAAGCCGGATCTACGAAGAAACGCCAATCGATTGCGAGAAATCAGACATTATTCGGGACGCCTATGTGAGTTTTGACGTTTAAACGGAGAGAGACCGAGAGAGCGAGAGAGAGAGAGAGAGAGAGAGAGAGAGAGAGAGAGATTTCTACATTACATCAAAAATTCCGGCGCATTATAAAACGCGCACCGCGTTCGGGAATTTGCAAAAACTTTTTCTTTTACTTTAGCGTTTTTTTTCAGTCGCGATTTTCCATTTTTCAGCTTTTTTTAGATAGTGTTTTGAAGGATTTTAGGAATTTTATAATCTTCTTTTTTTGCAGCTCGACGAGCTAAGAATTCGCCTTGACGATATCTTCGAAAAAAGAGCGCGCTATGAGGACCAGGATCGAAGGGATTTCCATGATCTGGTAGCCGCTTGGGAGCACATCGTCAACGTGTATTTTGGAGCACAACGTATTTCAATCATATTTTAGATTATTTATTACCGGGTATATCGTGAATCCGATCGATGCCGAGAAGGCGAAGACTGTTTCTCAAATTCTATTCAAAGAAATGGGAAAATTTCCAGCATGTGAAGAAGCGTTTGAGGCGATGTATTCGGTGAGTTAGAGAGAAAGAGAGAGCGAGAGAGAGAGAGAGAGAGAGCGACATAGAGGGAGAAGTGTTAAATTTACATTTCCAGAATGATACCCTGATGGAAGCTTATAAATCCACAAAGCTACTTATGACGAAGACGAGCTCTCGGGTACGCTGGGAGCCTATTGCCGATTTGGATCTGGTGGTATCCCAGAGCATTGTAGCGGTAAGCAAGGCGGCAGCACCTATTTTTGCGAGCAATCGATTCATTCAAAATATTTCAACATGTTTGAATTTGATGTCGACTTCAGTATCGCACCGGTGCCACCTCGAAAAAAGATTGGGCGACCGTCTTCCAGATGTTTGGCTACAAATATACGTTCCAGGAGGAGTACCCGAGGGTTTGTTTGAGCTCATGATACTGAAAATTCTATAATAATTTTAGTTTTATCCGTTAAAAAAGTGTTTTTAGGCCTGGAAAAAGCCGATCGAGAATCTGTTGCTCGAGACACAAACGGCGTTGATAGCTGAAAAGGAGACTTTGGTAGATGCGGTAATGGTAAGTTTCTTATCAGTATGTCTCACTCTGTCTCTTTCACTCTTTCTCTCTCTCTCTTTCTCTCTCAAGATTACCGAGTATCAAGCTTTCAAGTTTGACCTGCGAATCCGCCCCCTAGAAGGCGAATCGCTTACCCTTCAAAGCCCCCTCCCTTCCCCTGCGCTCATCGGTCTCGTGGTGTAGTGGTTATCACATCTGTCTAACACACAGAAGGTCGGCGGTTCGATCCCGCCCGAGATCATTTTGCGTTTTGCACTTTTTGCTTTTTGGGGACATCTCTGTAGCAGCATTTCTTGGCCGTTTTTTCTTATTGGAATCAGTTTACGGATACTGTCCGCGCAAAGACTATCGAGTTTAGGAAACCAACGAATGGAAAGACCCGCAAAATCGTCAGATGCTCTCAGAATGTGTCGACCGTATGATAGCGCATTTGCCGAACGAAATTCTGACCTTTAAAAATAAATATCAAATACTATCAGTAAGGAAGCTCAAATAGGAATAAACAGAATAATTTTAGAACTATTTTCACAAAACATTTTCCGACCATCTCGATAAATATTTGGAAAAATTCGAATTAAACCAGAAGTTTGCCAGGTGAGTCGAATTCCTAAAAGACCTTTGCTAGCTTGCCCTGGTCAGTATTTAGTTACCATCTTTTTAGTTAACTTTAAATTTTAGAGAAAACCTGGCCGTCGTGAACATCTACGTCCAATCCAACACGATCGAGACGTGGACCCAGAGCTGGCGGTATAGCTTTTGGAGTTTGGCATGTAAAATAATCTCTAATTTTTGATTCTATAGTACTTTAGGTGATATTGGTGGTGCGCTTGGACTGTTCATAGGAGCGTCCGTAGCCTCGATCCTGGAGGTGATCTACGTCCTCGGGCAGCATATAAAGCGGGCCAAGTTGCGACGTGAGTTTTATGGAATATTTTTAACTTAAAAATTTTTTTATTTTAACTTAAAGTCTTTAATATGCCACTCAAATTCTAAAACAAAAGAACAAGACTATGCTCAAGCGTTATTGAATATCTACATTTTTCATTTAGACAAAAAGAAGAACGTGCAGCAACCGGAGCACCCCGTCTCCCAGCCGTCTCCGGGAGATACAGAAGCCACTAAAAACTTGAATATCAGGGATAAAGTGTGATAAAAACGGTTTTCCATAAACGTGGTAAAAAATCCAAAGGAGAAAAACAACTTTTCTTGCTATCAGGCATAAGATGAGCGATCGATTTTGAAAGCAAAAACCAAAAGCAAAGGCAAAAGCAAAAATTGAAAACGCAAAATGATCTCGGGCGGGATCGAACCGCCGACCTTCTGTGTGTTAGACAGATGTGATAACCACTACACCACGAGACCGATGGATCCTGGGGAAAGAGAGGGGCCGGGGAAGGGTAGCGTCCCCAACGGCCAGATGTCAGGGCTGTCAAAACTTGGCCAGGGTGGTAACAGTGTCCGCTGATAAGATCTAATGGCCTTTTTGATAAAAAATGGGGTCTGAAATGACTAGTTAGATGCGGAAAACCTAATAGCAAAGTTATCGTAATAATTAACGACCCGAGTCTAGCAATGTCACCTTACTATTAGCTTAATTCGATTCCGAGTCGAAACGAAATAAATTAATCTAAGTAATTAGAGTAGAATGATTATAACTCCCTTCGAACTCGAATTATAACTGGTGGAAAACACTTTCTTCATCACTGAAAGCGAATTGGCCGGAACTACAGATAAAAGCGTTGCGAAGAACAAGTTCACAGATTTTTTTTTAGCTAGAACTTAATCAAGCTTATTTGGTCCCAAAACTATTTGATCTTATTGAACAAAACCGCAAACTTTGCAAGCCGCTTTACTTTCCAGCTTAAAAACCGTTTCGACACCCTTCTACGAAAAACGATGACGCCCTGCCCCTGAAAGCAAGCCAGAATCCCAATTCGACCATCACACCTTTTCCAGAAATTAGTATTCAACTCGAAAAGCATACGATTCAAGCGCAAAAAGCTTTCCGCCGAGACGGCACTACTATTATTTCCCCCCGCCATACTATGAAGCCGAAATTTTTGATAATTTTGGCGATTCTGGGGGCTACTGCTCTCGGGAAACCGACAAAAGACGCTACCAAAGACGAGAAAAGCCGTGAAGAAGCCAAAGCGGGTAAAAAAGCTGAGGCTAAAGACGTCTGCGACAACTTCGTGCCTCTGGATTACTGGTTCGAGGCCAAGGCGCTGAAAGGGGCTAGCAAGCCGGGAGCTGGTGGGTTTATTCTGTTAAAATCCTGGATTTTACGAACGACTTTATTAAACGGATGTTTTGGGTAACTTTTAATAGCTTTCCACCTTAAAAAAAGTCGACTTTGCCCGATCTTAAATGATTTCGACGAATATTAATGCCTTCGTTTTAGCTTTAAAACCTCAAAAAAATTGCACGTACGTACTACCCCATTTTCGATACCTTTAAACCCAATTAAAATTTGTTAATCTATATTTTAGCCGCCAAACTACGAGCGAAAACGGCCGGATGTCCAGTTGGCACAAAACTAGCCTGCCAATTCAAGCCCGCACAATGTGTCCTGGAGGAGAAGCCAAAAGGTCCAGTTTTGCATAAAAACTGCATTTCTAGACGGTCTGAAACTTCAAAACAGCTTCGGAACCCAATTCCAAGCAAATCCCCCAAAAAGCAAAACGTAAGCCCAATGCGGGGCTCGAACCCGCGACAACCAGATTAAGAGTCTGGTGCTCTACCGACTGAGCTAACCGGGCGGCGAGTGGAGAAGAGGGGCACGGGCTCAAGAGGGGAGGGGCCGTAGGAAGTGGTCACGGAGAGCACTCAAGAAGACCTTTTCAGCCCGAACCTTCCACGACTGGCAGAAGCATTGTGATAAGTTCAAGCTGTCACTTCCCGAAATTGTGCCCTACGAGATGGAGATGACCGGGAAGATCGTGAAGGAGATTTATGGTATTTTAAAGATTTCAGTTTTAGAACTGGGAGTAAACTAACAGAGAAAACGTTGGAAAAACTGAGGATTTTACTAGCGATTTTCAAAAATTGTTCAAAAGTTAATCTTTTAGAGGCCAGCGAACAGAAATCATTAGAATTTGGTCTTTTTACCTGAATTTTTTAAGGTAACAAAAAGCTGAAGGGGCACGAATGGATTTGGCTAAATGTGAAAGTTGTCGAAAAGGAGTCGGAAGCGAAGGCTCAGTGGCTCACCTCGATGGAAACGTTCCCACAGGAGCTGACAGAAATCGATAAAATCGGTGAGCCTGGGCTTCAAGCTACAAAACGTTGAAACGAAACCTTTAACTTTTTGCATCTACTTTTTGTGTTTTTTTAGAGGAATTCTAAGATTTAAAAACAAGACTTGTGATTTTAAAGAAAAATTTAGAGCACCACCCAAAATACAAGCCCGGAGATTGCGTTGCCTATCACGCCGAGGGTCATTTTGTGCCCCTGGATTGTAAGACGAAGCTGGTTTCTGCGTGCTTCATGCCATTGAAGACAACAAGTAGCTTGAAATTCCGGTTTTTCGCATTTTTGGGTTTTAGTGATACCAAAGGGGAGCAATGTATCTCCAAAGCATCCGCATCACAAGGAGCACGACCACAAAGGGAATCCGAAGTAGGGTTTTTACGCAAAAAATAAAGTTTTTCCGCTTCAAAGGAAAATATTGAAAATTTCGATGAATCACTGGCTCATAGCATACCTTAACGATACCAGAAATCTAAAGTCTTGCGATTGAATGAATTGATTCTTGACAATTTTTGGCAACATTTGCACAAATTGGGATTTCGTAAATTCAAGGATTTCCGCAGACATTCCAGGGCGAAGCGCAACAGCGCGGTGGATGGGAAGCTTTTCAAGGACTTTGAAAATGAACATGAACAAGAGGAAGATGAGGAGAAAAAGCCTCAAAATTCTGGAAAAACAGAGGAGAAACCGCAACCGGCTCCAAAAGTCGATCAAAATGAAGCGGTTTTGAAGTAAGCCAGCTCCAATTTTTGAATCTATTAATTTTGCTAGCTCGGAGCAGAAGCCGAAACCGGAAGCAAAGATGGAAACGAAAACAGAAAAAAACGATGGTAAAGAAGAATTAGAGGAGGAAGACGAACCCGTTGGATTCGGGCTCAAAAATGTTCCGGAAGTATTGAGGTATCCGGAATTTCAATACAAAAATGTTTTTTTACTATTTTAGGCCAACATTTATCCCGGCTTTTGCGCAAAATGAAGCAGCGAAAGATGCAGAATCAGGAGCTAAAAATTTAAAGTTTGCCCCCGATGAGGTGGATGAGCTCGAAGAAGCAGCAAAAGCGGCCGCTTCTTCGACGCCGCAGAGGTGGGTCATTATTGGATAAAAAAGTTGGTTACCTTAAAAACTTCGTCAAATTTAAGCCACCAAAACATGATCATTTTATAATATTTTGAGGGGATACTAGACAAACTTTGCAAAAATTCCAATTTTAGTTCTCGATCCCCTGCAGGCTCCACACCGGCTCCGGAGGCCCTGAAAACCAAGCTTCTGATGACTACAGTCAAGCCTAGAAGCGGGAAAAATCAGAATCTCAGAATGGAAAGACAGGGAGATGAAAATCTACCGGAGGATCATCAAGAGCGCGCAATTGCAGGAGTTGGGCCGGAAACAGAACCGGAAAGGTAGTTGGAGCCGGACATGCTCAGCTAAAATTAAATCTTGTTTGCAGCTCTCGAGGTCCGCTAAGATCATCAGAAGCTCCGGAAGCCTCAAAACCCAAGCTTCCGATGACCTCCATGCGGCCTAGCAGCGCCAGAAGCGGAAACCTTAGAAGCATGGAAAGACCCGGCGATGAGAGACCCGAGGAACAAGGCGGGAGAGCAATTTCGGAAGATGAACCAGAAAGAGGAGCGTCAAGGTAGATAACTTAAATATTACAAGTATAATTCAATCTGATTTTTAGTTCTCGAGTGCCGTTAAGCTCAACAGAAGCTTCGGAAGCTTCAAAGCTCAACCTCCCCATGACCTCAGTGAAGCCTAGCGGCCTGCGAAGCGGAAACCTTAGAAGTATGGAAAGACCCGGCGATGAGAATTTGCCCGAGGATTATGAAGGCAGAATAAAACCTGAAAAGTAAGGAGCATGAGCTTGAACTAAAAATTCTTAGCACGGATGCATCGGAAAAATCTTCAAACCCACAAAAACCTCCACAAGAAGGCAAGGACGACGAGAAAGAAGAGGATGAGGACGTAAAAAATCTATTTGGGTTGGACGATGACGACGTGGCTTCCAAGTAAAGCGTGTTTTGAGGTGAAAAGGATGACTTTTAGCTCTACCGGCGGCTCAAACTCTACCGTAAATAGGGCTGCTGCGGAATTCGAGCCCGAACCGAGTCGTGCGCCGAAGCAGCGGAATGCTAGTTGGGATGCGTCAGTTTTTACTTACTTTCCGGTTTGGCTTGGTACCATCTACTGTGCTACGTTTTTCAGCACTACAAACTTGAGAAAATTTGCGTTATGACGTTTTAGGATTGCTTTCGGTCGTGAGAAACAAATTCCATCAGCTTCCACTATACTTTTGTCGACTCCGAATCAGGTTACAACACCCAGAAATGGTACGTAATTCACAATTATGTCTTTGCCAACGGCTTTTTTGCCTATTATGCTTGCTTACGTCGTTCGCTTATGTATTGGGTACTTTTGAAAGTGTCACGCTGGCACGGTACTAATGAAGATACGTTTCAAACTACGAAAACTGGCTTTTCGCCGATTTCCGTACCATTTTCTTATGATTTTTCTAGATACCCAGGTCGTCGCGGGACCTCCAGCTTCCCAAAATCAATCGGAAACCAAGGATGACACATCGCAAAGACCTCTAGCTTTCGGTCCTGTCGGAGGAGCCCGGTTTTTCGACGCAAAAAATTCGGATGAATTGTCAAAAAGTAATGATTCCAACCCGACGAGTCCGAGCCTGGATATGAACTCAAGCTCTGGTGGCCCAAACACGTCCGTGAAGCCAAGCCAGGCTTTAAGCTTCAGGCTTCAGTCGACAAAGTCTTCCTCAAACGAATCCTCAAGTCAGGCCGTAAATCCAGGTCTCTCAGCCATCTTAGGACTTTCCGAATCGAGAAAGCCGGAAAATAGCACCGAAACGAAGATTGTCGCTTCAAAAATGGCAGATAAAACTGGGTCTGAACGCCTTGAAGATGATCAGGAAGAAGAAGAAGGGGAGAAGTTAGAAGAAGATGATAAATCTAACCTCGAGAATCCTAAACGCGGCTTGGTGTCTGGGCTTGGCTTGAAGGAAGCGAAGCCGGACACTCCACAGCCATCCGTGGTATCAAATAAGCCAGTAGTGACCGTTACCTACCCATCTACGGCAAGTCCAGAAGACGCGACGACGGTCTCGAAGCGCACCGTGGTCATCTGGGTGACGGGGATACGATATGGTGAGTTGGAGTAGGGAACCTAGGGACGCGACCGATACACAACGCGACACAGAGCGCGTGTAAAGTGCGGCGCCTCGCACCACGTAGCGCTGGAAGCGGGACGTCAGGCACTAAGCGACGCGACGCGCCACGCAACGCCAGATGCAACGCGTAAGGCAATCCCAGAGGCAACGCTTAGCGCAACGCAAGACGCAGCGCGGCGTGTAGCGCTACACGCTGCATGTATAATAGTTAACCAGGCGAGGCGAGCCGCAGCGCGTAATACGTACGCGACACGCAGCGCGGCACGTGACGCGAACGCAAGGCGTCACGCAACGCCGCACGTCACACCACACACAAACCTGCAGAGCGACCTTTTGACTTTGTCCAAAGCGTCCTGAAGTCTAATTGCGCTTTTTTCAGTGACGAAACCGCGGAGGGGCTGAAATGGGCTGAAACCTGCAAAAAGGATAAATAATAAATGATGATTACCGTTTTTCAAACTCCATGAAAGCGAGAGAGAGCAAGATAGAGACAGAGAGACAGAACAAGCGAGAGAGAGAGAGAGAGAGAGAGAGAGAGAGAGAGAGAGAGAGAGAGAGAGAGAGAGAGAGAGAGAGAGAGAGAGAGAGCGAGAGAGCTACAGAACAACATGTTGAAGTGGAACCCCGGTGCGGAGTCCCGCATCAAAAATTAATAAAAGGGCAGGTGAAAGTGGATCATGGAGGTCATGAAGGTATTGGCAGCGGAGTAAACGGGGGTATTGATCTCTAAAACTGCCAGTTGCGTACTATTTACGCCGATCATCAAATGATCCCATCATTAATCTACCACGTCGATATTTTTGGGTGGAACGTCACGTTTTTATCTGCGCTGTTAGTGGACATTAGGGAGCTGGAGGTTAGTAGATTTTTGTTAGGGGCTTTTAAAGGGACGTAGAAGAATCAAAATATCCTGGGCGAGGTCTCGACAGGTAGGCACTGGTCCAAAATGCGCTTTTTTTCGTATCATCTGATCTCTCTCTCTCTCTCTCTCTCTTTCTCACTCTCACCCTCCCTCTCTCTCCCTCTCCCTCTCTCCCTCTCGCTCTCCCTTTCTCTTTCTCTCTCCTTGAGTCCCGTTCCAAGAAATCAGTTGGTGACAGAATAAGCGTATTTTGTAGCGTCACGTCGCTGTCGAGACCTAGTCAATCCAAAGGGTCGATTTTTCGCTTTCAAGTCCCTTTCAAACCAACTCTCAGCGCTTCCCACCCCTCGACTTCATCATTTCAATCACTACGGTAGTCGAAATGGTCCTATTGGTATTCATCGGACTCGCCTACCTACCCTATTTCTACGTAGTAGCCACCTGCTCGGTCTATCACCCGAATCTAAAGCGTATTATGCTGTTGCTCATCCTAAATTCATTTTTATTTCTATTTACACGTTTTGTATTAATATTATACTCCTTTCGGTATATCGATCGAACGGGTAAGCTGTTCTGTTTGAATTTTTTATGCATTTTTAACATTAGGCTAAGTTTCTAAACATCAATTTTCTTTTAATTTTTAGGGGACGAAACGTCCGATTTATTGCTGCTAATTGCGGGTACTGTTAGATTGGCATGTATGATTGTCGTTTTTGCCATGTTTCCATTTATTCTAACAGAACGGTAGGACTCTAAAGTTATGGTGAATCTCTCTCTCTCTCTCTCTCTCTCTCTCTCTCTCTCTCTCTCTCTCTCTCTCTCTCTCTTTCTCTCTCCCTCTCTCTCTCCCCCCCCCCCCCCCCCCCCCCCCCCCCCCCCCCCCCTCTAAAGCTAAAATTCAGAATCTTTGCCGTTATCTACCTATGGGACTACGAACATAAAAGACGGACGTGGATTTCGAGTATTATAATTGTCGGTTCAGCTATCGTGGCCCCGATTGGAGCTATTGGTTTGAGTATAGGTACGGAATTAGTAGTTTTTTACATAAATTAAAGGAACTAGCAAGGTATATGGCGTCGTGGATTGCTCCGGGAAATTTTCGTTTTTCAAAAATTTTGGGGACGGCTTAAGTGTTGTAGAAAGGAGCTCGCTGTGTTCCTAATCGCCTAAAATTGTCTAGAAATATAGGTGTAAAATGGAGTACTTTTAGCTGTGCTCGAGATTCGGGCCTTCGCCACCTACTTTGGCATCCCGGCGTTTCTGCTCGCTATGATTGGCTTCGCGTGGGTAAGTCGAACATTTTGAAGGGACTGGGACGAACGAAATCTACCCCTCCTGCTTGCTAGGTCTCGACAGCTACGTAGTGCTCCTATTGAGATGAAATCAATAATAATTTCAGCGTTTTATAACGACCTTTCATCCATAAAAAAATAATGAATTTTACGGCTATTTTGTCAACTGCGTAGTTTTCGAGATCTAGTGTCGAGCCCGGGTTGATCCTTGGGCCTTCGTAGCGCCTTTAATTTAATTTTGATTCGATTTTAGGGTACCGGGAAACTCTCACGAGTTAATCAGAAAACCCTTGATGATTTGAATCGCAAGAATTGTGAATATGGACTCTCGGCCAAATACCAAGCCGCGGAAAATCAGCGGTGTTTTGGGGTAATTTTTACAAAATAACACGATAAATTACACGGGATTTCAGTTTGCCAACAAATTCCTGTATTTTTCGACGTTTTCTGACTTTTTTGGCACCGGCGTGGTGATTATACACGTTTTATTATACAAACAACCGACGTTAAATTGCCTGATTGCTGGGGCAATTTTTGAGCACTACTCGACGCTGTATGTAAATCTGGCCAAAAATTTCAGTTTAAAAATGTATAGTTTTGCCGGCGGCGGCAGGTCGGTGCAGGTTAATTTTGTGAATTTCGAAATGTTCTAAAATGGTTCTTTGAAAAAAATATCTATCAAAAACTTCATAAAGACAATCTAGTTTTCATTTTAATTAACATATGCTTTTGATGCGTTTTTTAAGGTATCCGATCAGCTATTTATTCGTCTCACTCTATGCTGTGGAAGAGTGGCGAAAGAAGTACTTTTCGATTTTTGAGCCGATCCTATGCGGCCAGAAAATCGGCGACACACCCCCGGAAAAGGCAAACATCAATCACGACCAGGATACGAAGGACTATTTCGACTATTACAAGTCCACTTGGGCGTGATAAAACAGTTAAAGGTAGACTAAATCTCGTTCAAAAAGTTCGGTCTCGGTAGGAAATTTGAGCTTTCTGCCGCAGCAACTCAGCCCGCACTCAGACGGTTACCGGCCGGTAACCAAACCAACGAGACTTTAGCGTACCTTTAAAGGTGTTGAAACATGAAGAGGGAAACCCGGAAATAAGTGGACATCGAATACAGTGTGTGTCAAAACGATAGAGCCACCTCTTTGAACGCTATTATCTCGGCCCTCGTTGAGTTTGACGCCAAGCTAAGTAGCAGGTCTTGTAGCGCTCGAAAAGGCGCATTTTTCCATCTACTTGAAGTTTTGCAAAAATAGAGCACGCGATTTTTATAAGGAAAAGCACAAATAGAGCCAAAAAACAGAAGTGTCAAAACGATAGAGCCACACTTTACATATCATTAGCGTCAGGTTTGAGCTTGCAAATTGCATGCTAAGTGATAATACGAAGTTCAAGCCTATGCAGATTGGCCTCACCCTGGAAAATCCGGAAGTCAGAAGTGGAAAGTCACTTTGAATGTTCATTAGCATGTAGTTTGCAAGCTCAAACCTGATGCTAATGATATGTAAAGTGTGGCTCTATCGTTTTGACACTTCTGTTTTTTGGCTCTATTTGTGCTTCCTTATAAAAATCGCGTGCTCTATTTTTGCAAAACTTCAAGTAGATGGAAAAATGCGCCTTTTCGAGCGCTACAAGACCTGCTACTTAGCTTGGCGTCAAACTCAACGAGGGCCGAGATAATAGCGTTCAAAGAGGTGGCTCTATCGTTTTGACACACACTGTAGATGCAATCAAGTTATTTCGGAACTTATTAATTTTTATTAATAAAAACTTTTATTCCCGAAACTGGCCGGTCCAATCGATGGGGACCGCAGTCGGCTTCTCAGGGTGTAGGTCGAAATCCTGGCAATACCCGGTCGCCGAGATCTTCGTCTCAGGAAGCCGGGAAAAATCTTGGTGATCGCATTTCGATAGGGTTGGACGTAGAAGATGGTGAGTAGAGGGTTAAAGGCACTGATGATCGTCACCGACAGTATTGGCCACTCATCGAAGTACGGCACGTGTTCGTAGTATCTGAAACCGTAGCTTTAGCAACTAGAAGACCGGACAGCTACGATACACGCCAAAATACGTTTACGTCTGCTCTGATTTCGAGAAAATCGACGTGCTAGCCAAAATTAGTATCCTAGAGGTATTTTGAACTTGCGCGTAGCTGTCCAGACCTAGTCAACGAAAAGGGTCGATTTCTTCGCTCGCCGGTTTCTTTAAGAGGTTGTTTTAAATGGTTGTTGTGTAGCTTTTTTTGTTAAAAACAACTTACGGCAACTGAAATTGACGATAGTTGTACGTGGCTGCCATCGTCATCGGAAATAACGGCAGTAGGGATTGGATCGTCAGGCTCTAAAACGGTACAATTAAACGAGGTGTGCGACGCTACGTAATGAGGCGCAAGACGTACTGTCAACGTAACGTTACCACACCTGAACAATCTTCTGTTGAGCCCACTTAGTTCTCGCGCACTGGGCAGACTTCTGGATATCCCTCAAAAAACATTGCCGATAGTAAATCGAAACGGCATAGCACGGAAATACTGGCATCGTCACCCAAAGCGTCATTGGCAGGATGCTAAAAGCCGCTTACAAATTAGCTTTCTGGTTCTATCAATTTTTAATGCTTTCGTTTTCCGCTTCCGGTAAAACCTAAAATTTCTTAAACACTTACCTTGGATCCCAAACGCTTTTGAAACCGCCAGCTCTGATACTCGGATCTGCCAAGGAATTTGTGTAGTTGGCCGCATGCCAAATTGCTCGAATCTCCTTTTCAGGAGTGGCGTGTGTTATGAGGAGGGTCTAAATGTAAGTAATTTTCGATGAATTGAGCTTATTAGTTTGACAATTCTGAGTAATAAGTTAAAAAGAACAAATATAAATTGAAAATAGGATCGAAAATACGTACTGATGTGATCCATGCAGGAATCACGATGATAAGACATAAGAAAAATATTCTCCATGGTTTCTTGGGTGGGCAGTGGAGGACACGGTAGCGGAACCTGGAAGATTCTCGGTTTCTCTGTCCCTCTTTCCTTCTCTTCCTCAACCTCTCTCTTTTTCTTTCCCTCCCTCTCTCTCTCTCTCTCTCTCTACTTTCTATACTTTTAGGGAAGTCACTGACCAGAAAAAGAACGGAAAGCAGGAGTAGACATAAGAAGTACTGTACATGAAGATACCATGAGCTGAAAATGGGCGGATTCAACTTCGAAATGTTTCTCGTATTCACTCACTCTCTCTCACTGGATCTCTCTAGCTCGCTCTCTCGCTCGCTCTCTCTCTCTCTCTCTCTCTCTCTCTCTCTCGCTTTCTATATCCCACACTCTTCTCTGATTCTAAAGACTTACCGGTCACGCACGAGGAAGCACTAAGATAACCGCAAATCCCATGAAATTCGATCGTCAACGCGTCAGCTATCGGAATTATTCTGAATTTACAAAAATATAGAATTATCTAAATCCAAGCTACCGTTCGACCGTATATTCGGCAGTGATGGCAACGATTAGCTCGTGGATGGCGACACTAAAAAATATATTAGCCCATGTTTGAGTAACCATACTTCCAACCTCATGATCAGCACCGCATAACTTCGAAAAGTCTTTGACGTCCGCGTGAATACCAGAAAAATGAGCCCAAAATTGAAGATCATGGAGAGTATGTCGAAGAACAAATGGATCTTTGGGAATATCCATATACGAAATTCCGAAATTTCGTACATTTCTGAAAACTCCGGATTCGTAAAAAGGTCGGTCGAAGACGCAAGAGGAACTAGGCACTTGAAAGGAATTTGACGAAAACAAATCTGGCACAGAATATCTGGATTTGTAGTGGAATTGAAAATTTGAGCGAGACGGGAGAGAGCGTGAGAAAGAGACCGAGAGCGAGAGGGCGAGTGAGAGAGACCGAGTAAGAAAAAGAGAGAGAGAGAGAGAGAGAGAAGTGCGAGAGAGAGAGCGCGAGAGAGAGCGAGTGCTAGAATGAGAGAGAGAGAGAGAGAGAGAGAGAGAGAGAGAGAGAGAGCAGAAAACTTCAGAAATCTTTTTAGTGCTTGAGGCTTTGCTCTGCCGAAACTCCACCTGCCAGAGGCCAAAGCAATGCGTAAGAAAAAGGATATTTTTTTTGATCGTTGACGTTGAGGTGTGTAAGATACTTAACGCCGTCACAGATGATTTTGGATACGGTCATCTTGCATCAGCAATGCCTGCCGAGAGGGACAGAGAGAGAGCGAGAGAGAGAGAGCGAGAGAGAGAGAGATAGAGAGATAACCTCATACTGAAAGGCTTGGAACCTATAATTTAAAAACCTTTTTAAAAATAAGACCCGCATCTTGCATACCTGAGCCCAACTAATAACCCCCTAATTTTCTTGAGCTAAGACTTCTATACCCAAGAATTTATTGAATCGAATTTCCTACTATGGTTGCTCTGAGTGTTATGCGAGCGGGAGAGCGATAGAGCGAGAGATCGAGAGAGAGAAAGCGCGAGAGAGAGACCAAGAGTAGGTGAGCAAGAGTGAGCTTGACAAAGAATACCTTCGAATGAAAGAACTTCCAGTTGTAAAGTTATAATAAGGAGGTTCCGATTTACGTAAACCAATCACACCCTATGTATCTCATTTTGGAGATCATCCGGCAGAGTGAGAGACAGCGAGCAAGCGAAAGATACAGAGTGAGAGTGGGAGAGAGTGAGAGAGAAAGAGAGAGCAAGGTAAAGCGCCACCAACTTCACGACAAAACGGTTCCAACAATATGTGTTACTCAAAACGGCATCCAAATCCAATCATGTTGCGCGGAAATTACGACGTCTGGTCGGCAGGGCCCCCGAAAACAGCAGGTGAAAATGTTATGGGAGGCTCAATGAATTCCTGGAATAACCAATCGTAATGGCTCAAAAAGGGTTCGGAGTACTTCGTGGAACGTGGAACGTGGTACGATACGGGGAATGGGCTCCGGGCGGAAATGTTGCATGTCACGTATTTTCTAATAATAGGACATATTGTCTGGCAATTGAACAGTTCGGTGGATATTGAAATGGGCTAAGATTCCTCAAGAGTCGCCGCTGACTTGCCCAAGTTAAATCTCAAAGAAAACGGTTAAATTCGCTGAGTAACCCTTGCTGTGTTGCTTGCTGCAGAGCTATAAAAGTTGTTTAAACCCCCAAAAAATCTTCACATACCTGCCTGATCGTGAAGTATAGAAATGGCTTAGTCTTCTTAAATAATCCTACCTAGCTTGCTTACCGATATTGCAGATTCCCAAAGAAATTATGCTAGATTATCATTTTTGGATGCGAAAGAGCCGAGAAAACGAGATTTTGAATCTGTACTCATAAAGAAACCATGCTAAATTGTCTTCCTTGCGTCTCTCTCTTTTTTTCTCTCACTCTCTCTTTCGCTCTCTCTCTCTCTCGTTCTTGGTGTCTCTCCCATCTACCTTACGCTCTTTAACTTGATCTATCTCATTCTCTCGGTCCGATCGCTCCGAATGGGTGACGTCCATTAATGCGTTTCTGGACAATTCGTAACTACCCCTGCTAATTTGGCGGGCTGACGCATTTTATTTGTCGTTTTTTGGATAGAATTCTTTATTCAATGAAAGCTCCTCTGTGTAGAGCTGGGCATAACCGATCCCCTCCGTCGACTGCCCAAATCGAAAATTGATGGCCTCTCGTAGTCTCCGGATCGCTTTGTTGGTTGCTTTCGGACTTGTCGATAGAACTTTTGTAGAGCAGTTCGATAGGGTAGGATAAAGAACATTGTGAGAAGAGGGTTAAAGGCGCTGACTATAGTGACAGCGAGAATTGGCCATTCGTCAAAGTAGGGTACGTACTCGTGGTAGCTGAAACCAATGAATAACGAAAATGAAGCAAAATAAGAAAGAAGAGAGGGAGAGCGAGAGAGAGAGAGAGAGAGAGAGAGAGAGAGCGAGAGATGGAGGTAGAGAGATAGCAAGCGAGAAAGAGAGATAAATAGTTAGCGAGAGAGTGAGTGCATCTATAAAACCGTACGGTAACTGAAACTGCTGGTAGTTGAACATTGCCGCCACCGTCATCGGAAACAAAGGCATTAGAGCTTGGATGGTAAGACTCTAAAAGGAACGCTTTTCTGCCTCGCGCTCTCTCTCTCTTCCTCTCTCTCTCTCTCTCTCTCTCTTCCTCTCTCTCGCTTTCTCTCTCTCTCTTTCTCTCTCTCAATTTCCCTGCTACTCACTTGCACAATATTATGTTGCGCCTTCTTGGTCTTCTCTGACATTGCCGCTTGTTGAATATCCTTCAGAAATTTTTGCCGATAGTAGATAGATACGGCATAGCATGGGAAGACGGGCAACGTCACCCAGAGAATCATCGGGAGGATTCTAAAAGCGTTAACTGACTTCCGTTCTACACATCTAGAACACCTCCCACCTACCGTATTGACCAGATGCTCCGAAAGCCGCCAGCCATCACACGTGGACTCTTATCAAAAGCTGTGAAGTTGGCATCATACCAAATTTGTCGAATCTCGGCTATCCAGAGATCTATCCGGAATATCCAGAGAGACTGAAAGAAACTGATTTTTTTTTTGATCTACAGTAGGACTTACCCCGGTCACTAACGGAGGCAAATAAAATAACAAGCAGATCAGACCGATTTTTAATGTACTTCTGGGAGGATCGTGGAGAACACGGTATCGGAACCTGGAAAAAGCAATAAACTTTGATACTGTGAAAGATTCTTACCAAAAGAAGAACGGGAAGCTAGAGTAGACAAATGCGGTGCTTATCATTGTGATGCAATGTGCTGAAAAACTCATGTTAATTTCATAGCGGCAACATTCCTACCAGCAATGAATCAGGAAGGTGAAAAATCAAAAATCAGAAAATCACAAGGGAAACTTATGAAGACTTACCAAATACACATGAATACGGCGTGAAGTTGAGACAAAGTCCGTGGAACTCGAAGGTTAGAGCTTCCTTTATCGGGATTATTCTAAAAAATTAATAATTAGCGGCTTTCCTGTCTCACTCTCTCTCTCTCTCTCTCTCTCTCTCGCTCTCTATCCTGCTCTCTAACCCTCTCTCACCTTTGCATCGCAAATTCCGCAGATAGAGCGACGAACAACTCCTGAAGTGAGACACTAAAAATATTTAGCTTTTTCCACCTCTTAGTTTCCCAGCGTTACCTTAATAACATGATAGCATAGGGTCGGAAGGCCTTTGAAGACTTTGTGAGTATCAAAAATATCAGAGTCGCGTTAAAAAGTATCGATAAGAAGTCGAATGTCATGTGGATCTTCGGGTACAGCCATAGTCGGATAGGCGTGATCTCGTACATCTAAAATGTATTTTTTTTTCTATTCTAACATCTGTATGATCGAATTATAAAAATATCTAGACACGGAAAAGCTGATATACAGTATGCAAAAATAAAAATATACGGGGAAATAATATTTTTTAAACCAACTCGTAAATATTGAATTGCGCTCGTTAGCGCTCATGGTTGGGGTCGTTTACAAAAACAATCGGGACTTTGAATTTAAATTTATTTCGTCTGATAAAAGTAAAAAAAAAATAATTTCCCCTAAATTTAAATTGCAAATTTTAATAATCGAATTGGGAAATGTAGCCAAACGTAGTGCACCGGAGTGCCCACAAAAAGCCAACGGGCAATTTCCGGAAAACGTAGTGGCCTACCTAAAATCCTATAACACACAAAAACGTCCAAATTATTTGAAAACTAGAGATTGACATTTGGTAGATTAGCGAAACGACTTAGTCTAGTGAGCTAGCTAACAGGCGTTAGACTACCTACGCTATTTCAGCAAAACAAGTTGGTGTAAATTTAATTAGGCGGCGCTGGGTGGCCTAAATACACGTTTAATGTAGACACTCAAAAATTAACCCGACTAAATGACATTTACACCTATTCACACCTCGCACGCAAATAAATACGCTTTTCGTGCCTCACGGCATCCACAAAATAGCGGTTGGTTCTCCTGGAATTATGCTGGTTGCCAGACCAAACTGTTTCGCCTTCAGCGCTTCGCTAAAGAGGTTACGGTAGCTTTAACCAAAACAGAAAATCCCAGAGCAGGCATTTTATATTTAAAAAGCCATCCAAGAAGCGAAAAGTCATACTTTGAAATTATTTTTGACCGGCCAGACAGTGGTTTAATGGAGGATAAGCTTCTTACTCGTTAGATAGATGTTTGAGGCCTCGTAAATCCCTAGGGGACGAGTTGACGCCAGGTGATTTTTGATTACGGTGGTCGTGTTTAAAATACACAATCTCAAAACACCGGCCAGAATTTAGCAGAATTCAGCCATCTGCTCCTAAAAATCAGCCTCCTGTTTCATTGTCCTCAAAATTTGGGAACCCAAGTAAGGTTCGAATTTTCATTATCAAGAAACATTAAAAAAACAGATACTATCTTTTCAACTATGCGTTTTTAGCTACCTTATCTCATACGAAATATTTTTACGCGCCGCAAAAATTCGTAAATATTTTGGTGAGTAGGTTTTTAGGCGTCACAGAGTTGCACCTGCCCCGCATCGTAATTATTTGTGTTCTCGGAAATTGGGCATAACCTGGTCGGCTCGCGGCCAAAATAATTTTCATTTTAGAGTCCAGATCTTTGAATGACCAAATTTGGAGTAGTTCGTGTATTAAAGGGCATAACAGTGGGCAGGCTGGCAGAGAGCCGGTGCGGAAAAACGTAGAAAATAGCAAAAAAATGAAAAAAATGCCTAGAAAACTTAACATGGGCTAGTTTTAGATGGGCAGGCTAGAAAAAATTCTTTGCGGAATTATGCGGAAGGAATTTCAAAACATTTAAAACATGGTATCCGATATTTGCTGCTAATCTATCTCTAAATTTGAACACAGGCAGGTTAGCAGATATTTATTACACAAAATTAAAACGTTTTCCTTAACCTCATTAAAATTATCACATTACTTTTTAGCTTTTGAAACTTCGTTTTTGTGATTTTTACAATTTTTCATTCATATTCACGTGATTGAAAGATTTATTTAAGGTATTCCCAGGTATAATTCGACCTCCAAAACCTCCAGACATTTTCCCTTTCGGCGCCCGGGTTTCATTTCAAAATCGAACCGCTTCGAAACATTGTCTGACCCTACGGAGGCGCGTGGCGGCTAGGCGTAGATGGTATCTCGATGGAAATTTATTCTCACCCCTCACCGCCACTTTCCAGTCCTTTTCAGGTCAACAGTTGGCTTTTTGAATGTGGTGAGGAATGGTGGGTGGTCCGCAGGTCGTAAAGGGCTTGAAAAGGATCTACCGAAATTTGGATATCATAGATGCGAATTTTTTTAAAGATATTTTGAAGCCTGGATTCCAGGAAGTTCTAATTTTAAAGGGACTGGTAAGCTTGTAAATCGTTCATTTCGTCGACTAAAGCCAAAAATCGGTGATATAGTATACGTTACTCCACAGTACGTTAACATCAATCTCAGCTTTGCGGTCGCGAACGGGTATAAATCTGAATGGTCATAGTTTTGTGCTTACCATGTTTGTCGATATCTAGCAAATCAAGGGGGTCGATTTTCACCTTCCTAGTTCCTTTAAAACCAATTAAGGCGCCGAAAGATAAAAAACAACCCAGTTTACCTTAATTTCAATTAAATGCTAAACTTTAAATCCTGTTGACACCAAAATGTTGCATAAATTCTGGAAAAGCATTGATTTTGATCGATATAAACATCCGGAATAATTAGCAAAAAAGCATGAATTTTTCATCCAGTGGGACAAAGTCCAATCTTCCGCCTTTTTCGTACCTTCCAGTTGCAAAATCTTGCTAATTTCCTGCGACTCCCACGTAGCCCCAGGGCTTTTTCGCACCTATAGAGACTATAGACGGAAACGGGTGATATTTGCCGAGTTGAGGGTCGAGGGTTGTAGTATCGCTTCCGGCAACCGGCTGCATTCATCCGGTTATACGTCTATTCCCAGGTGTGATTTTTGAAGGGATGGGCAATATTTGACAATGGGCAAGGAAGTGGCAACTGCCGGAAGGGTATGGTATTACGGTAGCTGGTTGCGTAGGTGTGATTGCCAAAGCGTGAAATGGTGTAATACGTGAATTTCAGGAAAATCAGGGTACAGTACGATAGAAAGAGAGATAGAGAGAGAGAGAGAGATAGAGAGAGAGAGAGAGAGAAAGAGGGAAGAGGTCCCAAAAAAGGAGAAAAACAACGCAGGGAATCAGGAATCGCTGGGGATTTGTAAATTTCGTCGTATTTCAATGGTTTTACAACTTTTTTGCCTTTAATAAGCATGCAAACGAGGACGACCGGATGTACCGAAAATTTTTGTAATTTTTTGAAAGTTTTACGAGCATTTTGATTTTTTTTTTCTCCAATAGATTTAACCCATAAATTTGGCTTTTTCTAAAAATATAGTAAAGCGTTGTGTAACACATTTGTAATGATATTTTTAATGTGCTTTACCACACTTTTAGAAAGCCTTCAAACATTCAAGTTAGCTAATCGGTTTAGTATTTCTTTCAAGCCCGGAACTCTCCTTTTCCTTTTTTGGTAGCGTTTTCTGAGTGTTTTCTAGTTTTTTTTACAGCTGAGGTTGTGAATTCAGGTTCCAAAATTTTTTTAAAAGCTTTGCATATGGTTACCACCATTCCACGATCCCCAAATTTACCATAAAAGTCCTGCTCCACGCTCACGTAGCCCTTTTCCTAGCCCCAGGCATTTCGATAAGCAATCTAGCCTCTTTAAGGTCTTTGTTGGCCAATTCTCTGGCCTAAGCCGCGGTGATCAATTGGCCCGGGGGCATAATTTGCTGCTTGTATCTGAACTTTAGCCTTGGGCCATGATTGGGTGGCACCAGAAATATCCCAGTCTAGTTGCTGATGCAAATCAGTCTGCCCCCAGGCAACACGGCCCGGCTTTGAGCCGCTTAACATCAGTATTAGCCGACTAATTGGGGTTCGGGTGGTGGTGGGTGGCTAATTGGACTGGTTTTGGCAATATTGGATAAGAGTTAGGTGAGAGAGGGAGAGCGAGAGAGAGAGGGGAAGAAGAGGGCGGGAGGGGGGAGAGAGAGGGGGAGGGGAGAGAGAGAGGAGAGAGAGGGAGGGGGAGAGAGAGAGGGAGATAGAGAGAGAGAGAGAGAGAGAGAGAGAGAGAGAGAGCGAGACGAGAGAGAGGAGAGAGAGAGAGAGAGAAAGGGAGAGGGGAGATAGAGAGAGAGAGCGAGAGAGAGAGAGAGAGATAGATAGAGAGAGAAGAGAGAGGGAAAGAGCGAGAGAGAGAGATAGAGGGAGAGATAGAGCGAGATAGAGAGAACGAGTGAGAGAAAGAAAAGTATACGGATTTGCTTTTTTTTGAAGATATTTTCCTTTTTCTTCTTTTACAGTGTCCGCAAAACTGCGCGCGAACCAAGTCACCTTTACGGCCACCACAGGTGTCCCCGGAAGTCATAAAAAAAACGTTGATGGCGGCACGGTCGAAAGAGGCAGAGTTTTTAGGTCGCATCGCTGATCAGGATCAGTGTCACAGTCACCTGGCAGAGGGTCGTAAAGTGTTTTAAAAGGTAGTGGGCGCAGGACCGTCTATTAAATCTGTTTTAAATCGCTGGTATGAGAGATTACGCTTATGTTAGTAAAAATTTAGAAAAATTTAATTTTCCATCCCGGTGCGGACGAAAAGATATGCGCTTTAACATCTCGCTGAACTCATGCTCTCTCTCTCCCTCTCGCTCTCTCTCTCTCTCTCTCTCTCTCTCTCTCTCTTTCTCTCTCTCTCACTATCGTGCTCTCTCCCTATCTTCTCTAGCTCTCTCGCTCGCTCTCTCTGCCTCTGTGTCTCTCTTTCTCTCTCTCTTTAGCTTTCTCTCTCTCTGTCTCTTTCTCTCTTCCTCTCTCTCCCTTACAAAATCAAATTCAAATTCACTTTCTCAATTCCCGGTTTTCCCACGCTGGCGCCCTGTCGGATTTGAAACAGCTACTGACTCCCCTTTATCCCATTGATCTCTATAGAAAACACCCACATCCGCCCAGCTAACAAATGGGCTCACCTCAACCCCCCGATAGCGCAGCGGGAGCACCATTTACGGAGCGCCTTCATGCCCTTTTTGCCTTTTTTGCCCGGGCCATCCGCCCCGTTTTTTCGGGGAGCCGAAGCGTGAGAATTGACCGCCGGATGGTGGGTACAATAGAAAAGCGATCGGATCAGGGTAAACGATCCCGGGGAGTCAAATGGTATATTGCGGCTGTCTGGGAGTCGGGCTTGGACCTTTTAAACGGGGGTTTCGAGGATCGCTTTGTATATTTCCACAAAAATGACTAGCAAACAAGGTT